ATTTACCGCATTGCACCTTGCGGCCCGCGCGGCAAGTTTGGAATGCGTCGAGTCCCTGCTCAGGAAAGGGAACGCGGAGCCTAACGCTATGGACTTTGATATGCGCACGCCCCTGCACGCTGCTATAGGAAAATCCGATTCAGCGTGCGATATAATAGAGACACTGATCAGTTGGGGCGCAAACGTGAACCAGAAAGACGAATACGGCTTTACCCCACTGCACTTGGCTGCACTTGACGGGCTGTCTGCGTGTGTAGAGACATTAATCTATCACGGCGCTGACGTAACGACAAGGTCTAAAAAAGGAAATTCGGCTCTTAACGTAATTGCTCGCAAAACGCCTGCGTCGCTTGCAATGATAACAAGAAAATTGGACTGTGCGATCACGCTGCATCACTCGCAAACGAGCAATCGCGAAGTTGAACTCGAACTCGATTTTCGCAGTATACTTCAACATTGTTATCCACGTGAAATAAGTTACCTAAACACTTTTGTCGACGAAGGTCAAAAGGAAGTCCTATTACATCCACTTTGCTCCGCTTTTCTCTACATAAAGTGGGAGAAAATCCGTAAATATTATGTTGCACGCCTCTTCCTGAGTTTTATATTTGTATTATGTCTTACATTGTATGTTTTAACGGCCCTTGCACATAATTGCTATAACGGAAGCAAAGATATGGAAGAAACAATTCAAGAGCAAGAGCTCTGTCAGAAACAGTCTATACTCGGAGATTTGTTACGGAAAAATCCATTCGTAATCGAAATGCAGTGGTGGGTGCTCGCAGGGATAACAATATTTGAAATATTCAGGAAAGTTTATGGTATAGCTGGTTATTCTACAGTGAAGCAATATCTTATGCAATCTGAAAACATTATCGAATGGTTCGTGATTGTGAGCGTTTTCCTAATTTCCTACATTTACACAAACATCACGTATACGTGGCAAAATCACGTCGGAGCATTCGCAGTGCTCGCTGGATGGACCAACCTGATGATGATGATCGGCCAGCTCCCTGTCTTCGGCACCTACGTGGCTATGTACCAGAAAGTCCAGAAAGAGTTCGCCAAACTACTCATGGCCTATTCCTGCATCCTTATTGGCTTCACAATAAGTTTCTGTGTAATATTTCCCGACTCGTCATCCTTTGCAAATCCATTCATGGGCTTCATAACTGTATTAACTATGATGATAGGGGAGCTAAATTTAGATTTACTATTGAACGAGCCAGACGGGAACGATCCACCTGTCCTGTTGGAATTTTCGGCACAAATCACTTATGTATTGTTTCTGATGTTTGTCACAGTTGTACTGATGAACCTACTTGTGGGTATAGCGGTCCATGATATACAGGGCTTACGAAAAACGGCAGGGCTGTCCAAACTAGTGCGACAAACTAAACTGATATCGTATATGGAGCTGGCCTTATTCAACGGATATCTCCCGAAATGTTTGTTGAAAATTCTCCACTCATCGGCTTTGGTTTCGCCGCAAGCGTATCGAGTGGTTTTGAGCGTGAAACCCCTTAATCCATCAGAGAAAAGGCTACCGAGAGACATAATGATGGCCGCTTATGACATAGCAAAAATGAGGAAGCAGTATGGGCATACCATTTCATCAAGTGGGTCGACTACTGGTGCGTACTCGTGCTTCAAGAAATATGAGAACAATAATGACTCTGGGTACCGAGAGTACGGTTACTCATCAGGGTTGGGGAGTGTCCAGGCAAGGCTAGACGAGACTTCGGAGAACGTGCGCCAACTGACTCAGGAAGTGAAGGAGTTAAAGAAGCTTATAAGTGCCCAGCAGCTAGTCATCCAGCAAGCGCTGGCCGGCTCGATGGACAGCCGTTGATGATATAATGGCTGGTCCAGTCATTTAGTTTCAATGCCAACCGTACACAAGTCAATAAACTATAGCGAGCGTGCATTGTCGTACATTTATACTCGTTTAGGACCTATTGTGGTTGTAGCGGACTTAAATTCTGAGCGGTGATATTTTTTGCTGTAGTTATAAGACGGTAGTTTGTAAGTGTGACGTATTTTTGGACATTTTTAGTCGCGCAGGACGTACTGGATACTGTGATTGTAGAATACACTTTGTATTGTTATAACTTGTGATATGAATAAACATTACAGTAAATACTTTTGCAACAGAGTAGAATGTTTTTTTGCGCAGTGCGCTGGCGCTGCGGTCATAAAGGACACACACAAAGGCAGTAGTTTCGGTAACCTTTCATATTTGAAATAGGATCTAGTTAACCCAGATACTCCTGAAACTTTTTATCCTTGTCAATTTTTATAAATTTTTAGTATGTTTCTAAATAGAGGTCAAGTATCCACAGAAAAATTTTAGAAAAATTCTTGGTCAACTGGAAAAGCCGGAAAATGGGTGGTGTTTTAACACCTGGTCGGAGAATGGACTACTACTACGTGAAAAAATTATACTATGATTTTGTTAGGTTTAAGAGTTAAAAACGAGTTGTAAGTTATACACATTTATTTAAAAAATACCAAAATCTTATTCAGAGGAGGTAGGAGGATGGTGGAGACATAAATCATAACCCAGGATACTTTAGTACGTGGCGCATTTTTTACACCAAATTGATTTTTTCTTGCAAATTTTACATGTCAGTTGCATGTAGTACTCGTAAGTAAAGTAGTATGTACTCGTCTACGGGTCTACCGGGTCTACGGAGCTTACATCCCTATGTATGTACATAGGGATCTAAGCTCCGTAGACCCTGGTTGTGGCGCCATTCTTCATAAATATTGTTTGGCACAAACTTTAACAGAAGGTACTTGCACTATATTGCATTGTTGTAATAATTGTGATTGCGGTAGGTACTTTCATGGCAGAAGAACTAGCTGCATTGGAGGCATCATTAGATTCATTTCGTCTTACTTTAAAAAATTCAGAAAGCGGGATGTTATCCTCTTTGTCTGAAGAAGACTTGTCGTACTGTACTTCTGCCTCGGCTCTAAGTTGAGAACCTGGTAATTCACGAAAAATAGTAATAGAAAACTTACACGCTATAAGTAACTATAGTTAGATAAACGGAAGTAGGCTAACCTGGAAGATTTTGTAAGGTAACGTGGTCTTCTTCACCAGAATCTTCATCTGTTGCTTCTGCATTAGCATTTTCTGGTGGTAAAATTGCTATGTAATTCGGTATCTGATCATTGTCGTCAATGTTTTCTAATGTTTCCACTGTTTCGTGAAGTCTCAGCGGTCTTTTATATCGTGGCCTAAACTTTTAATGAATATACAAGTTAGACGTCGATTATGCGACCAGGTGTTAAAACACCGATCGTAATTTTGTCATAAAAAGTCTCAAAAATGTAAAGCTTTTCAAAAACATAAGTTTATAGTTTTGTAGCTAACAGTAGTACCTAAAATAATAACTAGTATAATCTGAGGTATTACTAGCAAGTTTATGAAATATCTTAGCTTTTATATGACGTTTTTGCACAAAACTAAATAACAGAATTCAAAATAGTAAAATACTAACAAAATAAAGCAAATATGCGATATCGAACATACTCAATTACAGCTTGATTCGTAATGAAGAGAAAATACAAGGAACAGTAAATAAATTCTCGATATTTTTATAATTTATCTGAGGATATTCCGAACTACTTTTTAGCGGTGTTATAACACCTGGTAGGAGTAAGTGGGTTAAAAAGAAGGTATGAATCTTCTTGATTTTATCTATAACTATGTATTAACCTTGTGCCTTCAGACCCCCTCATTCTGATCATCTAAAAACTTAACTAAGTCGTAAGATGAAATTAGCGCTATGTGCTGGTTTTCTATTGATGATACTTACAAAAGTATAGTTTTTAGAATCGGACAGATAGTTGGGTAGCTTTTAAAGATTATCCCTTACAAACACTTCATATACCTAGTACCCATTTAAAATAATTTAATTAGGTACCTTGTAGTAAGTCATTTCGGCTCTATTATTACAACGTCAATATTTTCTATAAAATTAATTAATGACTTAGAAAATTAGCGATAATTTTAAAGAATATTTCCTCAAGAGGCGAGCCTTCTTTATAAAACTGTATTAGGCAGCAATTTAAATAAATAAAGAGTAAGGCGTGACGCGTGGAGGGCTGCTCTTACAGCCGACAGCGAATATATTGAGAACAATCATACAATTCATGCTTCATTAATCTACAATCTCCTAAGGTACGTACATAAGACATCTGACTAACGCATCAAGCAAGTAGGATGGTAAGTTTGCAATCACGGAACAAAAAAACAACACAAAGCTTTAAAAAAATGGGGAAGAAGACTTCTATGACTCAAGATAAATCAAGTTGACATACAATAAAAAATAATGTAGTCTCGGTTTCAATTCCCCACTAGGTCTGTGATCTTGACATAGCCAATCAAATAAGCCAATGACCCCTTTATGGAACGAAGTTAGAATACCTAGATAGGTCAGAAGACATACGTCTAATAGGCTCAGGGAATAATGCCTTGGGATTTTTAGCCTTATGATTAAAAATACAAATAAGTAATCCTATCCTAAATCCTAGGCAAGATCTAACTTTAATAGGTAGTTACTAATTCCATAAGTATTAAACTAATTCGTCGATCAAAACGAAAGAAACGTTATAGTACGAATCGCAAAATGGCTTAAACTTTTTAGCTTCCCGCCAAACTCAGAGGATAGCAAATGTCACTTCCGCCTGTACAATTTGACGTTTGGCAAATATTGATGATAGGCTTTTATTCATGTTTTTAAAACGAAAAAATAAGTTACAATTAATAAAACCAATAAAAATTACCTATTTTTTCTTCATAATCACAATTAAATCATTCATCATGAATTTTATAGATGACAGAGGCTGCATAAAATGAGATTCCTTTGCCGAACCTCGACTGAAAACTAGCGGATGTGACGTTTTCCTTTGACATCTTGACATTTCAAAGTTTTGCAGCCTCATACCTGCGCGCGCTTACTGAAAACGAAAAAAACAAGGTATCCAGACGGATCAATAGCCTGAAGAGATAGGAAAATCTAGACTCAGGTCTCATCTCTTTCGGCGCGGGTCATTTGTGGTGTGGAAGCTGGGATTGCGTATCGATTAGTGCCGTTCATGTTAGCTGCGAATCTAGTCCGGGCAAATGCAGGGGAGCTTCAAGATTCAGCTCATAAACATGGGCACACGGGCGGCTGCCTGTAAGCATTCATTTTAATACTCTCGCTTAAGCATTCAATTCATTTGTGGACCTATCTGAATTAGTTTATCGGGAGCAATTGATTGCGCGATAATATTGCGCTTTTATGTCTGTTGAGGACACTTTGAAAAGTTTCAATTTCTTTTTTTATGGACTAATTTAAAAACTTTTAAACGTTAGTACCTAGCTCTTACATTTAAAATATTATTTACCTAATTTAGAACAATTTAATGTTAACTATGCCTACTTATTTTAGTATTTAAATAATTTCCAAATTTATTTAAAACTGACATGTCAAAATAAAATATTTTTTTAAAACCAATCACATTTATGAAAAATTTCCAAGCATAGAATTGAATTATTTCCATATATTTCCATATTAGTACAGCGATAAACTCATTCCGATCAGGTCCAAAAGCTTGCATGCACATTAACGCGTTTATTTTTCAGAGGCGTCTGAACAGGGGGCCCTCATTGCGTAGAAAGCTTTTTGTGTGTACTAATGCTGCCCCCGCAGGCTGATAACATGCAGTATGTGTCGGAGCCACTCAGCCAGAAAGGTGAGCGCGGTCGGTCGGTCGTGTAGTTGTTGCACCTGGTGTGGATTGTCGGACCCGTGGCACGACTGCTTACTCTCGTTCCGTTGGGGTTGCCATCTGGCCTCTAGGTCTTCGGTTTTTATGGAGATTGGTTAAATTAATTTTATACATGGGGTTTTGATTTGAATAACTTGATTGGTATACAATGTAAATAATAGTTTCAACATATTTAATTTTGAACTGATTTTTTATATAAATTATTTTTGGTGTTCAAATTCTCATATAAAATAGTCACATCACACAAAGAAAATATTTTAAACTTTTTTACGGGGTCAACTTTGGAGTTCTTATATCTAGAAATCATTATCTTGTATGTACATACAAGATTATCTCTGATTTAGAATTTAAATGAATACTACAGCTTTTTATTACCTATCTACCTACTATAAATTAGTGTATGATTCAATCCCTTCACAATGCTGTTTCTTTCAGTTAACTGAAGTGTAAATTCTTCATGAGCATTGTAAATATACATTTTATAATGTTCTTTCAAATTGTCTATTAAAGTAGGTATCTCAGAGTAATATAATTTATTGCCTGCATACTTATTCCTAGATTAAAAAATAATATTTTATAGCATAGAATGTATGTAGATGGCAACCCTATATTTAGGCCCTACACTGCATTTTCCCTTCTTAGGTCTCTTGTGTAGTTGTCTCGATCCTGGGTTTAGTGTGGGTTGAACGAAAATCATATTTATTCCTTTGTGATATGATATACCTAGTACAGTCGGCATCAAATAATTCGTGACACCCAAGGTGGCCAAAAACCTTATTCCAATGATGGTTTTCGCGTATGAAAAATCCGCCAGATGGTAATACGTAGACGCGAGGTCCAAATGCTGCATGATTGGTTATTTTTGACATGACATTGACAGATGTCAAAATCCACCAATCACGCAGCAGTCAGACCCCACATCCACGTCCCGCCATCTAGCGGATCTTTCATTCGCGAAAACCCTTATTTATTGTAACAAAGACGTGTTGCGAACTTTTTGGCTACTTGGGTGTCCCTATTTGACGCTGACTGTACCTAGTTACCTACAAATTGTACTATTAATAGATATTAAGATATTGGATGCTGGGGTGGATTGATATTGATTTCGTCTGGGGCGAGAGAGCATGCGCGAAACTACCCCCGTCTAGACGCATATACTGGGGGTACATATCTATGGATTCTGTCTGGAAACTGTATTCAGTGGGCATTCAGTTTTAGATCTTATCAGTGTAACGTAAAACATAATTTTGCTGCTACAATTCTTAAGAGCGGCGGCTGGAGTTATAAAATGTTGAAGGAACTGCGGTATCACAAAGGAATAAAGGTATTTTTTGTTTGAAGAACCTCACTGCTCGTTTGGAACTGTCCCATTGCTGTTTGGTGTCCCTTGTTCCGTATTGTCAGATGTCCCGGCTGCACGTTGGTCCGTTAATGTTGGTATGTTGTCCCTTCTGTCTATAAGCGGCTACTTTTAGCGCCTTGTCACTTAAGTACTAATAAAAAAAAACTAAACTATACGCACCAGCGTTAATGTTTAATATCTGTCTATCAATATTTTTAATACTTTACCTACAGATTTTTTTGGTTTTTTTTTTACTGTAACTTCGTAATCCACCCATAATTCTGATCAATAAACTGAGTATTTGATAGTTTTTGAAATATCAGATAGAACTATGGACCTGAAAATTTTGGGCACAATGTCCAAGAAACAGGAGACGCACAACTTGAGGCCCTCGTAAAGGTTGCGACATTTCAACCTGTTGATTTCGGTGTCTAAAAAAGGCTTTGGGTGCTCTGAAAAAGGTCGTACAGCTTTTATTAGCTACTAGCTTTCCGGCCGGGGTTTTCCCGGATATTATTCGATTTTTTTTTCGTAAAAACCATCCTTGGACTTCAACTGCTTCAACGAACATTAAAAAAAATGGTAGTTGGTCCAGGCGTTGTTAAGTTATACGCTTACCAACACATTTTGCGATTCATTTTTATACCAATAGGAATATACTTATGTGACCTGGTACTTTAAGTGCTGCTGTCTGTACTTCTGTGATGTGTAGCGTCAGCAGGACACGCCAGTGTTTGTGCTCGTTTCTGCTGTGTGGCTCACCTTTCTTTCAGGTTAGGCTGATCCGTTCTACCCGCTACTGCTTCTTAGTTAGTTTAAAGCTGGAGTCTTTGTGTTGAGTTGTGTGGCACGATCGTAATTTAAAGTATAAGGACATTAAATGTGTTGAGAAAAGTTGCTCAATGTCGCGTGACTAGGCTCCTGTTTTTCTCTAGAATATAAAAGAACTTTAAGGTCTTCTTGCACAAATTTCTTTGGATTATACCTTCTTATAAGTTACGGGAATATAATAGAGCTTCATAAGCATGACGAGTGTCAATTTTCGTCTAGATTTATGATGTTGAATTTTCGCTGGAAGACCTCTAAAAGTAGAGGGTGATTTTTTGGAACTTATTTTGATCTGATCTTTGTTCATAGAAAGTTCCTTAAAATTTAACCAGTTATTTTTGGATGGATTTCGTTATTGCTACACAACTTCGACACAGCAAATTCTAGCTTAATCATTTTATAACAACGTCTTGAAGGGCAAGACTGAGTTAGTTATAATGTATGTTCTGTTAGAACTAACTATACCTAATTTTATGTTGTTTGTTACCTCTCATCTTCAACGTTATTGAGAAAACATAGTGCGTGTTGACACCAAGACGAAACTAAATTACCAGTTCTGCCTCTTCCTTAAAAGTATAATAGACGGAGTGCTCCTGCATACGAAGCCGCCGCCGCGCCGCCTCCGCGCCTTTGCACTGTTTATACGCACCGCGTGAAGCCCGCTGCCGCGCCGCCGCCGCGCCGTCAAAGCCGGACCGGTGAAATTATGCTTTGACGGCGTGGTGGCGGCGCGTATGAACAGTGTAGGGGCGCGCGGTCGGCGCGGCGGCGGCGTCGTGTGCAGGAGCGCTTAAGTCTCCAAATTGAGCTCTCAAAGTGGATACCTGCTCTTAATCGAGCTCTATTAGCTGATTAAATACCCTATTTCGGTGTGAACGCGCACTAGAATCACCTACGAGCTCCCCCATAAAGTGTGGTTCGTCTGCAGTCACGGCGAAGATACGCAGCCTGTATGACTGCCAGCTGCGGCTGATGCACAACATCCAGCCGCTGCCGTCGGGCATTGACATCGCGAACACCGTCAAGTACTTCTCACAGACGCTGCTCAGTAAGTCCACTGCTCAATTCAGACTTCATAGGTTTCCAATAGGATCTCCAACCCGCTTTCCAAGCGTGGGGATTATGGAAAAACCCTCCACAGTGGAGGAGGCTCTAGTCCAGCAGTGGACTGTAAAGGGCTGTTGATGATGATGATGATGAGGTTTCCAATGAGAAAAATGCATAAGGTTGCGCAACATAACGTTACCCTTTATGGGTTTTTAGTTAGAGGAATACATCAGGTTACCCACAGACGCTGCTCAGTAAGTCCACTATTTAGTCCACCCTTCATAGGTTTCCAGAGAGAAAGGCTTGTCTGAATTAAGTGTTACTTTTTCAAAGCGCCGCGATTTCCCAATCGATTCTGTTTGAATCAGAATTGAGGAGGAACTAAAGTCGCTGACTATCCCTGAAGTGGCAATGGGCAGGGTACATAGTACGCATAACTGACGGCCGATGGGGCTGCAAGGTTCTGGAGTAGCGGCTGGAGTACCAGAAACGCAGCGTGGGACGTCCACTCATACCCATAAGGTGGATTGACAACTTCACCAAGGTAGCAAGAAGGCGCTGGATGCAGGCCGCTACAACCGTGCAATTTGGAGATCATTGGGGGAGGCCTTTGTTCAGCAGTGGACGTCCTGTGGCTAAAATGATGATTAAGACTAAACTCACGATCTGCCTTCCCAGGCGTCCTCAAAGATGTGCCCCGTTCTCCCCTGGAGATGCTGCGCGACGCGGACAACGATCCCGACCGGATGACGCTGTACCCCAACCTCAATTAAAAACTCCATCAGTTTATTAACACTAAAATCCCTCTGCCTTCCCAGGCGTACCTACTTAAAGATGTCGCCCGCTCTCGTGAACTGCGATTTTGACAAGAGGACGCTATACTGGCTATACCCCAAACACGATTACGAGTACAAACTCCATCACCTTATTAACATCACTCTGCCTCCCCAGGCGTCCTCAAAGATGTGCCCCGCTCTCCCCTGGAGATGCTGCGCGACGCGGACAACGATCCCGACCGGATGATACTCTATCCCAACCTCGACTACAAGGGGTTGTTCAACGCTATATCCCAGCTGGTCGATGCTGCTCCACATCTGCAGTATGGGATACAGGGTAAGTGGGTAATATTCGTATTTAAAGTAAACAGGTATAGGTACTTATTTAAAGGTACGTCGTTGTGTGTATTTTGCTCAATAATAAATGCGGTATGCACATTATTTAATCGAAATCATAAGTCAACAGCCAGCCAGTGTCATACACTGTACTTAATGGTTCAGACTGAAACATAGGCTAATTAGTCCAGAGGCAGTCGAGTGCTGGTTGGGAGCCTTCCTAAGAAAGGAAATAAGCACAAAATCTAAGAAATAAGGTCTGGTAAAATATACAAAGAATTTCGTTTTAGGTTGATCTAACAGACACTAAATCTCTATTAGTTCAGATGTAGCATGAGCAGTGTAGACGAATTCTCCATTTTTCTCTTAATTCCGATAAATTGGAGAGGGACGTGTTCCTGCAGTGTAGACTAAACGATCTGATGATTCTAATCGTTTATTCCAGCATTTGGCCAAGCAGTTCTCCAGTGCCTGGGCTGTCTCCTCCCATTCCTGGAGTACGACATGATCGACAACTTGCCTTACCTGGTGGCGTACTGCGTGGCTGTCTTCCCGGTGACGCTACACCAACAGATACTGCACCTGCTGTGCTATTACATACTGCCTTTTACTATCAGTGAGTAGAGTTCAAAATGCATTAAGGATTTGTCATACTGGATGACTAATGCGTTCTAAGGTCAGGACAAAGTGAAGCGCGCGCTTGTACGCTAAGACCTGACCCCAGCACGCATCTAGTCTTTAAACTGCATGGCTCTCCTGAATCTCTAATGTTTGTTTTTCAAAGTTTTCGACATTTACGTTTACAATATTCCTACAGCACGTCGCTATTCTGGCCTAGAAGAGGAAAGCCAGGCGTCTCAGTCTGTAGCAGCCATTGTCATGATGGTATTCCAGCATTCTAGCAACCCAGGTAAGAGATTATTTGTTGTCTACTATGATCAGTTTAAAAAAGACCTTAATTTGTTAATAAGAGAAGGATTTATAATAATTATAAAGTTTTTCTAAAAAGAAGTGCCAATTAGCTGTCAAACATCATTTTCATTTACATTTTTGTTCTTCTCAGAGTTCTTAAGACCTACCTATTTACTTTCTTAATAATCTCCCTACCTACCACAGCCTATCGCCATGTCTCTGCCTTTATGATAAAATCAAATTAAGTCCAACCAGTGAAGTTTGGAATGGAGTCGGGTGGGTGTAGGCACGGTAATAATATTATTGTAACTTCATATAAACGGACGAAACGCGAGCTTTCCTTCGAAATTCAAATCTCGGTATGCGCTCGACATGCAAAAGTCGGGGGTGTCGCGAATGTGCCACAGTAATAAACGGACGATGTGTTGTTTTTTAAACAGTAAGTGTTTTTTTTATAAAAATAATTACAAGTAGGTACCTATTTATACAAGGTGTTAGGTAAATGGATTTATAAGCCGACACTAGCCCATGTTAACATTTATGCATGTAGATGGTATGATGAAGTCACTGATATCATTTTTTTAAATTTTAATAAAAACAAAATTTATAAAATCAGATTTGTATCCAAATTAAAATTATTAAAATGATGATATCAATTTTCTGACTTCAGATTATAACATGCGATAGGGACAGCCCTATCGCATGTTGTCATACGGTGACGTACTGCGCGGCTGTTGACATTTATTTCAAAAATATGGTCGAGTTGGAATACTGTATAGATAGTATTACCGTGGTGTAGGTTCACCGCAATAAAGTTTTTGCAACGTCTTCACTGGGCGTCACATGTACAAAATTACCTATGTTCTATCAACCCTTCCTAACATGCAATAAATAATTTGAATTTGACAACAGTCCATCGCTCGGCGAGGATCGAACCAGCATTCCTTGAATCTCAAATCGGCAGTACCACACTGACACAGTTAGCCTATTGTCACCAATGTTTACTAGGATTAACTATTTTCTCCAGCCCACCACTGCCAACTCCTGGAATGCCTCATGTCCATGAAGCAGACAGTCGTCAAAGACATCCTCTGCGTCATCGCTTACGGAACCTGGGGCGCGAGGCTGTCAGCCGCCAAACTGCTGTTCTACTACTGGCCCCCGTTTGACGCCAAGCTGTTCGACAGGAAAGGCCTGCTGTGCAAGTTTTCAAGTGAGTTTTATACTTATCTATCGTTCTAGCGCTTACCAGTTAGCGCCACTGAAGAGTAAGGTCCTGTCACTTGCAAGTAGCGAAGACAGTGGCACCAACTGGTGAGCACTAAAGTGGTAGGAGGACTATCGTATTTGCACTCATTAAGATGGCGCCACTGTAGAGTAAGGTCCTGTCAATCGCCAGGGGTGCCAACTGTTAAGTATAAAAACGATAGCCCTCATTGAGTTAGTGGATGTGATGTATTTATGATTGAAACTCGGTTTCTCCGATACTCAGCGTTTATGACATAAAATAACGTATACAAATATTTGATGATCGCGGTAAGAGGAATGGAAGTCAAATGAGGGTGGCGCCGTGTGCGATCGCAACCGTTATCTGTCAGATTCGTAGTGTTGTGCGCGCTCGCTAGTGATGTCGTAATCGATTTCGGAACAGTTAGTTAAAAAGTGTTGATGCGAGTGCCCCTTTATGATATTATTGATATTAATACTATAATAGCCTACCGTCACACCACTAATCGATTGATACTTTCTATGATTTGACATAATATGACAATTATATGAAATGGTAAGTTTGTGAGTTGATATATTTAAAAGTCTCCAGAAAAGTATTGATAATTTTAAGTAACTTTCTATGATATCAAATTTTGTTGAAGTTAACATTTGTATCAGCGAAGCCGACACCTTTCGTCTAAAGTCCGGTCCCTGAGTACATATAATTTGGTCCAATGACCCCAAGCTACTCATCCTTATCGCTCGCGCGTAATGATATTGCTGTTGTGCTCGCTCACTCACTGCGGGCGCCCGTCGCACAGTCGCGACAGCAATATAATTACGCGCGAGCGATAAGGATAGGTAGCTTGGGGTCATTGGACAAAATTCTACGTGCTCCGCGACCAGACTTTACAAGACAACACAGTTTTCTCTTATATCAAACCAATTAAAATTATTAATTTAAAACTTTCGCGTTGCATAATTTAATTGAAATTCCATCGCCTCCCAGACGACCTCGTCCCATTCCTGTGCCAACGGGACATGTGTCCCAACGCGGGCACAGCGGAGGCGGCGAAGGTGTGCTACGACCACTGCATCAGCGTCACCTTCGCGTCCGACAGCCCGCCGCCGCTGTACCTGTGCATTGAATGCGCCAACGAGATCCACAGGTCAGTACCTGTGCTAGATACCTGTGCTCGTCTGTGACTGAAAGATACCTGTTACTGGCAGTTTGGCCAGCAATCCTTTTTTGATATTATTTATGGTTTTTTACTTTTTTTTAAATATTGTTTTTGGTTTTGAAGTTGCTTTTTTACTGTCTCTTGAGCGATCTAGTTTTATGTCTTGAGCAAATATACTGTTTTGGCCCTGTTTTGGTGTGTTCCCGTAAATTGCTTCTTGCATATTATAATTAAATTGTCCAAAGATTTATTATTTATTTATTTATACATTTTCTGCGAGTTTTCCATGCACGGGAGAGCATTTTTCTTATAACTAATTAAAATGTAAACAGGGCCCTTATGTGTTATTCTTTGAATATACCGCGCAGTGAGCAAGCGCTACAGTCGCTTTGAAAGAACTAAGTCTTTAATTTCACCGAAAAAATCTGACTTGCCCCATTAGGCTAGAAGCTGGGCATAACTGGCCCCCTTTAGGCCAGAAGCTGGGTATGAATTACCTCCCCTAGCCTAGAAGCTGGGTATGATTTGCCTCCCCTAGGGCAGAAACTGGGTATGACTTGCCTCCCCTAGCTTAGAAGCTGGGTATAACAGCTCCCCTTAGGCCAGAAGCTGGGTATGACTTGTCCCTAGGCCAGAAGCTGGGTACGCCCATGTGTGCAAGGTAATTGTGCAGGTATATGTATACCTGTGCTTGAAGAAGGCTCATCGAATACTGCCAAGATGTGCTACGACTACTGCATCAGTGTCACCTTCAGCGGAGGGCCATCGGAAGCGAAGGTTACGCATTATTGTATCAGCGTGGCGTTCGCTTCTGAAGGCCCTACGCTGTAACTTTGCATCGAGCGCTACAAGAAGATACATTGATTGTGAGTTCTGTACCTGTGGGTTTCTGTGCTAGAAACATGTGCCCAATTTGTACCTGTTTCGTTTCTGTACTAGAAACATGTGCCCAATTTGTACCTGTTTCGTTTTTTATACTAGAAACATGTGCCCAATTTGTACCTGTTTCGTTTCTGTACTAGAAACATGTGCCCAATTTTTACCTGTTTCGTTTCTGTACTAGAAACATGTGCCCAATTTGTACCTGTGCTTAAAATGTTGTTTATATGATTTTGTACTTATGTGTATTTTCCCAAGTACTGTAACATATTTTCCAGTGTTTTTAGGATCAAATTGTACTCGTATCTAATTGAAAAATTTCTTTCTTTTATAGAGAGCATCCGAATCAAAGATTCTTTGATATCCTGCATCCACAACAACAAGTGTCAATGGTCTGCGAGAATAAGGTATGTCTAAATCGTGTATATGTCACCGTAAAATTGTGAATTCCGTCAAAATATAATCTAACCTAACATAGGTTTACAATTTCACGCGTTATATTATAAAGTTACGACATATTATACAAATGAAATTGTTTTTCTTTCAGTGAGGGATTTTTTTTTTATTACAGAATTGCCGCTCTACAGATAAGGCGGCCTTCTCAATTTGCTTCTCGAACGAGTGTGCAAGTTATAATGGCAACCATCCTATCAGGTATTTCTTTTGTTTTTGTATTCTCTTATTTATTTTTTTAGTTATTTATTTTTGACCAGCTTTTTCCGGGAAAAGGCCTCATGTACGCATATATCTCCCATAGTAGCCTTTTACAACATCTACGGGATATAGGGTGGTCCCTTTACTTTGCCAGAACCACACAGCTATTATTGTTTTATACAGGGTGTTACTTTGCATTCTTGCCATATTTACAGAGGTTACTATATTACTGATACTGAACACAAATCCGCAATAAAATAATGCCCGAAAAATTTTTTTTTTAATCTTGAGTATTTTATTTTATCGACAATCTGTTAAACACATCACTAATTATCGTAACGCATGCACATCACTAGTTGGCGATGGCGATGAAGACTTTTTTACTTTTTATTGTATTTTTAAATATCTATTGCAATCTATTGTCTTTAAAATGTCTTTTTGACACTTGTAAAAAACTGAGAAATCCATCAATTACAAATCACGTTATAAATAATACAAAAATGTCTGAAGTGTATTCAAACAACGAATAATTTAATCAAAATGGTGCTTGGCGTGTCTGCAAGACGTCTTAGACGAAATGCTTGATGACGTACCCTTAGCGTTACACCAAATGCTCTACTACCAGCAGGATGGTGCTCCCCCACATTAAGGACGTCAAGTGCGCGAATAATACGTTTGGTGAACAGTGGATTGGACGAGTAGTCCAGTAGCTTGGCCACCACGATCCTCGGACCTGACACAAATGGATTTTTGGAGTGACTTGAAACGACTGGTATGCGCAGAAGAGATAAACAGTGTAAACGAGTTACAGTTAGTTAGTTAGTTAGTTTTGCAGGGCAATCGAATACCGCACTTAGCCTCATGATAGGGCCATTGTGCGCGATTTGTGGTTTATCTTCCTACTCCAACCACCCCAGATCCCCCCAGAAGGCGAGCAGCCCGTCCAGGCTGCTGCAGGCTTCCTGTAGCGACGACGGTGATCGAAGAAATTGAGCCCGTTGTTCTTCCACGCTACTGCACTCCATGAGCACATGCTGCGGTGTTTCCTCTGCCACCATGCACCCCCTGCATAGTGGGCTGTCTGTGACACCTATGTTGTATAGGTGCTTGTTTAGGCAGTACGTAAACTTTGTAAGTAGGAACTTATAAATAAATAATTAATTGTGAATAAGGCGATTTCATTTCATACTTAATTTATTAATTTGTAAAAATAGGGTACAATGTTAAAATTAATTAAAACCCTAATAATTATTACGTATTTTTGACGGTCCTAAGCCCGTAAAGTAGAAAGGAAAATCTGAAATCAACTGAAGAGTATTTTAAAATAATTATTATGACTGGATAAAAAGGCTGGTACCCAGAGCCATAAAACAACAGATTATTAAGAACTAGGCCACGCCCACTAGGTTTATTCCACTTGCACCTGTAGAACGTGCAAGACAAAATGGGTTTATTCCAATTTGTACTGAAAAACCAAATTTACTAAAATCTTAGTGTACTTTCTTTATGGGAGTCTCTTGTTTATCGTAAATAATAGGTGTTGTTCCCTACTTTTATCTCTGTGAATATGGCAAGAATGCAAAGTAACACGGTGTATTTTTCATGTTGTTTTATTTTAGTGTCAGTTCATATTTTTATTTATAACTAGCGGCCGCCCGCGACTTCGTACGCGTGGACTCGTTTTACCCCTTAGGCCCAGAACACACGGTGAAACGCAACAGCAACTTCTAGTTACTTTTGAGTTGCATCTAAGTTTCTGCCATAGATTCTATTGAGAGACCACACATGACGCGACCAGTTTGAAACTGGTCAAACTGGTCGCGTCATGACGTGTGGTCTCTCAACGGAATCGGAAACGGTTGAATTTTGCAAAATCCCGGTGAGCACCTAGCTACGTTCTAAAAGGAACCCGCATGCAAAATTTTGAGACTTTGTAGTATCTGAGATTTCGTGATGAGTGAGTCAGTCAGTCAGTGACCTTTCGCTTTTATAAATATAGATTTCATTCCTGGTTTCAGATACTGCCAACAGTGCCACGGCAACCGCCACAACAGCCGACGCGGTGGCGATCACGTGGTGCACACGCGACTGCCGCACGCGTGGCAGATGGATAGCGATATGCAGACCAACCTCGTGGAAGCCATCATGAGGTACGGGAAACAATGCTTTATACAGGACGTAGTTTTATAAAACAACGTCCATCTCAAGGGTGGTGGTCCACATGAAAGTAGTTACAAGAAAAATATTTGACTATTACTTTATTATAGTCTGGTCCGGGAGCACGTAGAATTTTGTCCAATGACCCCAAGCTACCCATCCTTATCGCTCGCGCGTAATTATGTTGCTATCGCGCTCGCACACTCACTGCGGGTGCCAGTCGCACAGTCGCGACAGCAATATAATTCCGCGCGAGCGATAAGGATGTGTAGCTTGGGGTCATTGGACAAAATTGTACGTGCTCCCGGACCTGACTATAGTAAAAAACCTTGTTCAAACGATTTGTTAGATGCGTTTTCTAATATTTTTATTTTCTTGTATAAAAAATTCCGATCGAGTTTTTTCACTGTAGAAAAATATCATGGAATATTTTATTTTCTTGTATAAAAAATTTGGAATGCCTTTTTTCTCTGTATTTATTTTTAACGCACGCAAAATTTCGTAGTCGTTCATTACCTTATTTCATTGTGGCTTAGAGGCGATAACAGCTCAACTTAAGAAAACTGCACGCCAGACCAACAAATAATATTGGACGTGGAAACCATCAAAGGCACGGCAATAATGACTTTATTTGCTCGGACTTAAAGGCGAGAATAGCCCAACAAAGAGACTGCACAATCGAGAAGAAGTCACGTCCAGTTAAACTCAAAAACTACTTTATTTGTCTGGGCTTAGAGGCGATAATAGCCCAACGGCTTAAAAAGACTGCACGCCAGACCAACGAATAATATTCGACGTGGAAACCATCAGAGGCACGGCAATAGACTTTATTTGCTCGGTCTTATAGGCGAGAATAGCCCAACAAGGAAGACTATACCTTCGAGACAAGGTCACTCAAAAAACGACTTTATTCATCTGGGCTTAGAGGCGATAATAGCCAAATGGCTTAAGAAGACTGCACGCCAGACCAACGAATAATATTCGACGTGCAAACCATCAGAGGCACGGCAATAATGACTTTATTTATATGCTCGGACTTAAAGGCGACAATAGCCCAACTAGGAAGACTGCACATTCGAGACAAGGTCACGTCCAGTCAAACTCAAAAAACGACTTTATTTATCTGGGATTAGAGGTGCTAATAGCCAAATAGCTTAAGAAGACTGCACGCCAGACCAACGAATAATATTCGACGTGGAAACCATCTGAAGCACGGCAATAATGACTTTATTAGCTCGGACTTAAAGGCGAGAATAGCCCAACAAGGAAGACTATACCTTCGAGACAAGGTCACTCAAAAAACGACTTTATTCATCTGGGCTTAGAGGCGATAATAGCCCAATGGCTAAAGAAGACTGCACGCCAGACCAACAAATAATATTCGACGTGGAAACCATCAGAGGCACGGCAATAATGACTTTATATGCTCGGACTTAAAGGTGATAATAGCCCAACAAAGAAGACTACACCTTCGAGACAAGGTCACTCAAAAAACGACTTTATTTGTCTGGGCATAGAGGCGACAATAGCCCAACCGACGACTGCACGCCACACCAAAGTCGTGGAGACCATCATGTGCCACGGCTGTAATGACCATTTGCCGTGGCGCATTATGGATTCTACGAGGTTGGTAGCGCAACTGGCGATGGAGTAAGCACAACGCCAAGTACTCTGTAATAGTAATAGCTTAGTAGCCTTGGAGCTCAGAACTTTCGAAGTTCAATAAAAACTGTGAGCACATTATTAGGTACCTACTTTAAACCAAAATCGAAAAAGTGCCGAAGACAAAAAGAAAATAGCTTGGTAGCTCAACAGCTCGGAAAAGCTGAGAAAGTGCGGAAGACCAGCGACTCAATGCTGAGGGGAAACCTTTTCATCATATTCACCTTTGTATCATTGTAACATAATATAAATGTAATTATGTTATTTACATTTATTTATTTTTAAATATTGTTGTATGTTAAGTCTAGGCGCAGACCACCGACTTTTTGATTTTTATAATATACTAGCTTTCCGCCCGCGGCTTCGCGCGCGTGGACTACATTATCTACATATTTTACGGAACCCTATTTATTTCCAAAATAAAATTTAGCCTATGTTACTCGTGGATAATGTAGCTTTCGAATGGTGAAAGAATTTTTAAAAACGGTCCAGTAGTTTTTGAGCCTATTTATTACAACCAAACAAACAAAGTTTCCTCTTTATAATATTAGTCTAGATTAGTGTAGATTAAACTATTATGTTGCATTTTTTACCATAAAATTATCACTTCACGTTGTTCAGTTGGATCGATTTCCAATTTGTATGAAGAATCGGCCGACACCAAATAGGTGTAATCTGCGCACTTTCATACTCTCCATAGTGATTAACAACCCGACTAAACTATCGGCCGACGAAAAATCGGTGGTCTGAGCCTAGGCTAAGTGTATTATTTATGATCTTCTTACTTCTTACTATATAATATTATAAATGCAAAAGTTTGGATGTCTGGATGTTTGTTACTCTTTCACGCAAAAACTACTGAACGGATTTTGATGAAACTTTGCAGTATTATTGTTTATAACCCAGAATAACATATAGGCTATAATTTATAACGATCTCTGAAAAACTAAATTTCACACGGGTGAAGCCGCGGGCAAAAGCTAGTACTGAATAAACATTCATTCTTACATCAAAAATCGTAAAAGCAAGTAACCCTGGTTTTCCTAAATAAATAATTAAACATCGTTACAGTTTAATGAAGGAAGCGAAACCGATCAGCCTGGAAGACCCTGACAACACCAGCCAGAGTGAGGTCATGAAGCCGCCGGTCTCAGCGAACTTTTCCGACCCCATCTCGGTGGAAGACCGACAGCTTTTGGGCAGGTAAGAAATTGGGTTTATAAACTAGATAACATCATTTCAGCCACAAGACGTTTTTTTACCCGGACTACGCCAGAAGAAGGTATAAAATAGTAAGACACGGGTCTTAACGCGACATTTATTAATGAGTCCGCGAGCCGCACTTTTTTAGTATTTTACTTACGAGCGAGTCTTACTATTTTAGTTGAAATAGAAGGAGGGTTATTAAATGTAATTCGTTGAGGAGGGGGGGCAAACCTTTAGAACCCTTTCTAAAGGTAAAGCTAGGGAGCTTGAGGGATTGCTATCGATAAAATTGTTATTAGATTAAGTACGCTCTTAAAGATTGACCCTATTTTCCCTGGCTAACTTTAAGTAGATACTTTGCATAGTAATAAAATTTAATATTATTTTAAGGTATGGAGTCTGGTTGATGGTAGGACTATGCACGCCAAATCCCGACACTCCAGACGAAGTCTTGGGCCGCTTGCTGTCGGTGCTATTCCACTGGTTTCACGTCACGTCCTTCTCTTATGTCGGTAAGTTTTTAATAAAGTATTTTTCAATTGTCCTAATTAGATGACACCCATTAATGATGAATGGAATTACTCTGAACAAGCTTGATTATTCCTCCGGTATTTCTGTTGCTATAATATATTTTTATTTATAACTAGCTGACCCGGCGAACTTTGTTCCGCCTTAATGGCAATAAATAAGCAGACTTTTTGTTTAATTTCGAACGGGATAAAAAGTATCCTATGTCCTTCTCCTGGCTCTAAACTACCTCCCTGACAATTTTCAGCTAAATCGGTTCAGCCGTTCTTGAGTTATAAGTGAAGTAACTAACACGACTTTCTTTTATATACAGTGTGAGTCACGTTAAAGTGTACATATGAAAATATATGAAACTAGACATATTTTTATCGATAAAAAAGAGGTCAAAAAATTTTTGAGATTTTTTTTTCTTCCAATTACTTATTGTAAAGAAAACGTAATAACTTTTAAACTAAGCGGTATATCCTGATAAAATAAAAACAGTAATAATGCTAAATAATAGGCAATACTAAAACAATACAAAAAATACACAAAAAATGACAAAAAATAATAAAAAATGATGCTTTTTGAAAAAAAATTGCTTAAAAATTCGTATTTTTTGGTTATTTGATAAATTTCTCAAAAAAATGCCCCTATAACAGATGGTTTTTATTACTTTTTATTATTCTCTATCGTATTACTTTTGTAAAACCAAAAATCGCATGTCTCTATCCCTATCACAACGTTTGCAATGATCGTTTGAACTAAGCCTCTCCGGGCGCGCCATTCAACGCTTCGTTAACAACGGAACTGAAAGTGACTCTAGATTTGTAATTTTTATAAAGACAAGTTAGATTTTAAATAAAAACAAAAGATTTCGAAGTAAAATAAGCATTTGAGTTAAAATTAAAATTGTCTCTACCTGTAGCGGAGAAAAATGTGGTGGCAGGCCTTTGTTCAAACGATCATAGCAAATGTTGTGATAGGGATAGAGACCATGTGATTTTTGATTTTACAAAAGTAATACGATAGAGAATAATAAAAAGTAATAAAAACCATCTGTTATAGGGGCATTTTTTGGAGAAATTTATCAAATAACCAAAAAAATACGAATTTTTAAGCAATTTTTTTTCAAAAAGCATCATATTTTATTATTTTTTGGCATTTTTTGTGTATTTTTTGTATTGTTTTAGTATTGCCTATTATTTAGCATTATTACTGTTTTTATTTTATCAGGATATACCGCTTAGTTTAAAAGTTATTACGTTTTCTTTACAATAAGTAATTGGAAGAAAAAAAATTCTATAAAAAATTTAAAAAAAATCTCAAAAAATTTTTGACCTCTTTTTTGTCGATAAAAATAGGTCTAGTTTCATCTATTTTCATATGTACACTTTAACGTGACTCACACTGTATATAGATATACATATTTACTCTCGACTTGGAGGCCTTCGGCTTAATGACGCCACTGAGGGGTGAGTGTGAGTTTACAACAAACGCGCTCACTAGAGAGCGCGTAAAAAATGACATTAAATGTATGACGGATTGTTCAGCGCCCATAGCGGAAACTTTCAAGAACTAAATTTTTCATACATTTTTAAACTCGCTCACTATAGTCTTTTTCACCTAAGATGATCCGTATGACGTTTCGAGTTTGAAAGATTTAGAGATGTCACATAACTAAACCATAGCGATTTATCTATCGATTTTTTTCGAAGAGGTAGTGAAACCTACTTTTAGAGAAATATTTTGTATAGGTGTTATTTAACAAAAAACATATTTTTTTTTAATTACAAATATTATTGTAACAATTTTTTATTGATAATATTCAAATTTCATGGTTCGTGTAAAAAAAAACGATTCCTAAAAAGTACTGGTTCTGTTTCTTTAAATTAAAAACTATAAATTTATTTTCAATGCGTTTATTAAAGTCAATAATCGAAAAATATAGTTGATTTTGTGATGTTTTTAGTAACTAAGTATTCACTGCAATCGATTAATGAACCGCGGAAATAATCGATTTTATTAAACAAGAAATACCCCAGCACTAAATCTATTCCGTTTCACACATTGCGTACATTAAATAAAAAATAATTTTACATCGTATTTAATTAAAATATAATCAATAGACTCAGATTTTACTATATATTTCAAGACAAGTAGTTAATTTTTTTTTTATTATATTGCTAATAAAATACAAATATTTTTTCAAAAATATTCTGCATATGTAGTATGCGTAATATGGATAACCTTGAAGTGTCATACGGATCATCTTACGTGAAAAAGACTATAGTGAGGACGTTTGATGCAATCTCACACTCAGCCCACAAGTCAATGAGGGCTATCGTTTTAGCGCTCACCAGTTAGCGCCACTGTAGAGTAAGGTCCTGTCACTTGCTAGTAGCGCAGACAGTGGCACCAACTGGTGAGCGCTAAAGTGGTAGGAGGACTATCGCATTTGCACTCATCAAGATGGCGCCACTGTAGAGTAAGGTCCTGTCAATCGCCAGGGGTGCCAACTGTTAAGTATAAAAACGATAGCCCTCATAGATTAAAGGTCCTGTCATTCACTAACGGCGAGTGCTCATATTCACTAGTTAGCGCCACTGGCGAATAGGGTTCTGTCAATCGATAGTGGTACCAACTGGTGGATAGCCTATGAGACTATCAATGTGGTGGTTCGCGTCACAATCGAGATAATTGACTCAGACTGGAGACCGCAACCCTTGACTTTAGGCTATGTCGAGTATCAGGTCGCGAGCGAGACTTCTGTCTCGGCTTATTCCCGTTGTCTCCACTAGGCTTGTCCCCACTGATGGGAATTTAGTTAAGTCGTCATTCCTCCGGTCGGTGGGGACGACGGGAATAAACCTCCGTCTCGCGTTTTTGTCTCGCATCGCAAACTGCCGCCTTAATAATCATTCCCATATCCAGGCGAGACAGCAACAACAGTAGAGAAACTCAAGATCGAGCATGCCTGCGGCCATAACCTCTTAATGATAGCGGATCGCGTCATGACCAAGTTAATGCGACGTTACTCGCGTCTCGCTTCTTTATCTTCTGTCTCTGTCACGCTCGCCAACTAATGCTTATTCTTGTTTTTTAAATTGCTGTCACTTACTAAATCTCTTATCCAGGTGAGACAGCAACAACAGTAGAGTAACTCAAGATCGAGCATGTCTGCGGCCATTGTCTTTAACTAATGATGGTGGATCTCGTCGCGAGTAGGACAAAGCGACCGCGACTCCTCTCTCGCTTTATATCCTGTCTCTGTCCCGCTCTTGTCTCTTTGTGAACTGTCGTCTTACGCCCGATTCCCATATTCAATCCTTGTCCAAATCCGGATTACAACTGTCAAATTGAATTCAGTTTTAGATTATATTTCCAAAATTTTCGATGGATTTACACTTTAATATTGTTTAAATAGTCTTATAAACAATATAAAAATGTAAAAACATCAAAAACCGCAGTTATTTTGGCCAAAAACATATTAAAATTTGACAGTTGACAATCCAAATCCGTATAATTTGGATTAGGATTGTATATAGAAATCCAGCATTAATAATCATTCCCATACCCAGGGGAGACAGCAACAACAGTAGAAGCTCAAGATCGAACACGTCTGTGGATGGCTACGCGGGCTCGCGGAGACGCACCGCGACCATGACGAAGCGACCGCGACTCCTCTCTCGCTTTAAATCCTGTCTCTGTCCCGCTCTTGTCTCTTTGTGAACCGCCGCCTTAATAATCATTCCCATACCCAGGGGAGACAGCAACAACAGTAGAGAAACTCAAGATCGAACACGTCTGTGGTTGGCTACGCGGCCTGGCAGAGACGCACCGCGACGTGCTCATCGCGTGCCTCAAGCCGCATCCGCCGCAATACACACGCGCCGCGGGTCACTGGGAGAACCTGGACTCCAAGACCATCCACCTCAAGGACGGGCTCAACAGGTACAGTCACAAAATATAACAGAAGACAAACTCCATACTAAACGCGCTCGAGCCACGCACACATAGACACCGCTCTAGCAAGACTGTCTTGGACGAATGCGAGCGCGACGTGGCGCGACAGACGTTCGCCACACGTTCGCTGTGGTTCGCTTGAGTCACGCGCCGGTCAACCGCCTGTGATATTATTTTGTTTTGCGAAATTGACAAAAATGAGTGAACAGAAAAAGTCGTATTATAATTGTTCGGTATTTGGTTGCTTAAACTCATCATTTAATACCGAATTTTCATTTTTTAAATTACCAGTTGATTCGGGGAGGTAAGTAAGTTATTTATTTGAATTTCAATTGAAATTGAAAGCCAACTCAATTATTAGGATTATCGAATTGTTTTAGAGAGGTTTTAGGAATTATTGGATAACTAGCTTATGCCCGCGGCTTCACCCGCGTGAAATTTAGTTTGTCACAGATCGTCATAACTTATAGCCTATATGTTATTCAGGGTTATAAACAATAATACTGTAAAGTTACATCAAAATCCGTTCAGTAGTTTTTGCGTGAAAGAGCAACAAACATCCAGACATCCAAACTTTCGCATTTATAATATTAGTTCGATAATAGTGTAAACCACTTAACTAAATAGTACTTCCTTCTCGTGTATTTGTTTGCAAACTATTACTATAATAACGTACTAAATATAAATAAGTATACCTGTTATTGTCTTTCTTGCATAGTATTAAGAGTACCTAACATTTTTCTATCATAACGAAATAAACGCAACACATGACAAGACAACCCTAGCGCGACGGCCGAGCGTGCGAGCGAGAGAGGTATGCAAAGCGAGGTACATACATGAGTTTACCTTCTGTTATATTTTGTGGTACAGTGAAGAAAGAAAGAAAGAAAGAACTCTAAGAAATAAAGAAAGAATGAATGTCAAAAATCACATGTCTCTTTCCCACCTCTCTCTCTCATCTTACTCCCACCTCTGTCTCCCACCTCTCTCTCGTCTGTCTCCCATCGCTCTCCCACCTCTGTCTCCCACCTCTCTCTCGTCTTTCTCCCATCGCTCTCCCACCTCTCTCTCTCATCTTACTCCCACCTCTGTCTCCCACCTCTCTCTCGTCTTTCTCCCATCGCTCTCCCACCTCTCTCTCTCATCTCACTCCCACCTCTCTCCCACCGCTCTTTCCCACCTCTCTCCCACCTCTCTCATCTTACTCCCACCTCTCTCTCTCATCTTACTCCCACCTCTCTCTCTCATCTTACTATCTTACTCCCACCTCTCTCTCCCACCTCTCTCCCACCTCTCTCTCTCATCTCACTCCCACCTCTCTCCCATCGCTCTCCCACCTCTCTCCCACCTCTCTCTCTCATCTTACTATCTTACTCCCACCTCTCTCTCCCACCTCTCTCCCACCTCTCTCCCACCTCTCTCCCACCTCTCTCCCACCTCTCTCCCACCTCTCTCTCTCATCTCCCCCCCTCCCTCCCCTCTCTCTCCCCTCTCCCTCATCTCCCCCCCCTCGCTCCCATCTCTCTCACCTCTCTCTCATCTTTCTCCCATCGCTCTCATCTCTCTCACCTCTCTCTCATCTTTCTCCCATCACTCTCATCTCTTTCACCTCTCTCTCATCTTTCTCCCATCACTCTCATCTCTCTCACCTCTCTCTCATCTTTCTCCCATCGCTCTCATCTCTCTCACCTCTCTCTCATCTTTCTCCCATCGCTCTCATCTTTCTCACCTCTCTCTCATCTCTCTCCCAATTATCTCTTTCCCAGGACCATCCACCTCAAGGACGGGCTCAACAGGTACAGTCTATCACACTTCTGTAGCGGATGTACAGCTAGGATCCACATACAGCAGACTGACCACTGGGACAACTCTTGTACAGCCAGGTTCTACAGACGGCAGGCTGATTACTGGGAGAACTTGGCCTCCAAGATCATCCAGCTCAAGGACGGGCTCAATAGGTATAATTTACAGGGCTAAACACTTCTTCAAGGACAATCAACTGGTAGAGTTATAATCCCACTCTTTTTCTCCTCACTGCAATTCCTGTATGGCCAGGATCCATATGACAGAGCGGCCACTGGGACAATGTGACTTCTAAGACTAAAACCAACCGCGCCACACTTTCCACTGCAAATCTTCATACGGGCCGAAGACCACTGGCATAACCTGGCCTCCAAGTGGCACCATATCAAGGCTGGTATAGTCACATCACTATCGCAGGAATCTACTCAGCTACGCATTATGCCTGCTATAAATGTACATAAATGTGTTCTATGGTGTTCTACTCAAACAAGTGTGTGAGTAAGTACTGTTAATTATTTACTTGAAACGGATCTCTTTTGGAAAAACAATAATATTTTTGCCGGGGAGCGTACACACGACAGCCACATCGAAAACGCGGTAAAACCCAACTGACAGCTCCGAGCTGTCAAGGTGACAGCTCGGACTAGTGGGTCTAGACAAAGTGCAAATTAGGCAGTTCGATTTTTTCAAGTTATTTATAATTTTCAAAGTGCAAATTATAATCGCAAACTGGTCGAAAAGCCCCTTTTTTGTATGGAGTTTTGACGGATTCGATTTTCGATTCGATCAAAAAGTGCGTTTTGTCTAGGGGGGTAGGTGTTATTTGAACGTCATGTCACAAGTTCATGATACAACAAAACACAATAGCCATAGAGGAGAAGAAGAATGTAACTGAAAAGGAGATGTCAGCTAACAGTACCTAATGTAGGTATGTGTGAAAATAAATGGTTGTTGTGACGTGACGTGCGTAAGGAGTTAAGAAAATTACGTCACTGACGTCATTTTCTTAACTCCTTACGCAACATACTTGTAATATCTAATTGATTTTGATCTACTTTTTTATATTTTGTATTTAGGTGAATTAATTGACGAAGGTAACTTGGTGTCAACAAAGTTCGCACAGCTGTTACAAAACTATATCGTTGTATGTTTTTGTTCCAGGTTATACTGCCTGATTCCTTACGGCATAGTCACGCAGTCTATTTGGGACATAATCATGCCGACTTGGATGGAATCCATATGCAACGAAGTACCAGAAAGGGTAACACTACAATTATCGTAGAGATATAAAATTAACGTTGTTTAAGATTAGTTAACATTTTAAAAAGATTTTATAAAGCACTTTTTCACGTCCTACTTCAACCCTATTACACTGCTTCGATCAGGCCTGTTCATCTTCGCGAGTTTACATCGAAAACAAAACACACACGATGGCCCACCTACAGGATACTATTCGACAAGGCCTCACATACGAGCGAACATTGACTCACGCACGCGTATTCTTGTGTATGATAGAAGAAAATAAAGAAAATGGTGTACTAATTACTGAGAAGTATTTAACTGCCTAAATAATAATAAAAAACACAGAATGTACTTTTTTAACACCTTCGCTGCCAGCCTAAAAATGGCACTGTTCCGTTCGGGCCATGGGGGACAATGATGGGCGACACTTTAACTTTCCGTTCGGGCCGCGTCGGACAATGATGACCGCGAGTCAGACCTATGTTTAAACCTCTGTATTGAGCCGATGGACAGCATTTCATCAATAATTCTCATATAAGCTGACCCGCGCGGCTCCCAAGATTAGTGTACATCACTTGGTTCTCAGGTAAAGCTCGGACTTAGAAAAAAAAATGTGGATAACGGTAGCGCAATGAAACATGGTAATTATACAATGCATTTTTGCAAATTTATCAACTTTTTAGCAAGATAATAACGGTTTATTAATTAAAACATATCGTTTACTTATTTTATATAATTTATAATATGCAGGACAATAAAAAAAAAAATGTTCCTGTATCGCTAGTAATAAATTAAATATCGTTTTCAGATCGAAATGAGTATTGTTTTGAAGACCGGGTTTGTGAGTGTTACAATATCAAATTCCAACCACAAACCGTATTTAAAGGAAAGTTGTTGGTATTGGGCTGGACAAGTCCGAGATGTAGAAGAATTAAGAAAAAAACAAGGGTAGAGTTCAATAATTCACGCTCTCATCATTAGGCAAACATCTGTGCACAACAACTACTGTGACTCATTTTTGTACTACCACGTTGTATAGTCTAGTTATTTCCAAATTGTAAACGGCTATTAAAACAGCCCTATCGAAATACAGTCCTCTCTTTTATTTAAGTTCCCAGTAGGACCCTTTTCATGCGATTAATTAATGATATTAAAATGTATTATGTAGAATCGCTTTGCCATTGACAGATACATCTGATGACAGAGCTTACATTATTTCTACTTTTGACCACCATGAGCGCTGCGATAGATTATGTTACCCCCACCTAGTACTTCGCACCCAGCGAATAGCTTCGGCGCAGTGCCGATCACTGTCATTTTTCAACAAAATGGTGCTTGACTCTTGAGACAGGCTAAATTACACCANCTTCGCACCCAGCGAATAGCTTCGGCGCAGTGCCGATCACTGACGTTTGTCAACAAAATGGTGCTTGACTCTTAAGACAGGCTAAATTACACCATATTGTTAATGACATTGAGCATACATTTTTTTAAATACCTTCGCGAAGTAAAACTTATGTACGTAGTACTTATTATTATTCTGTGCTTCGATACAATAAGGGGGATAATGTTAAGAAGGAGCAGCGCAAGAAACTCTTAGTAAAGATTTTTATCCGCGGCTTCGTCGGCGTCCATTTTGGTCTGTCATAGAAAGTTTTTTCACACGCGTGTTTCCGCTACAAAAGCCGGGATAAAACACATAACAAACTTTCTATTTAATTTAGATCGGTTCCTAGTGCTTTAAGCTTAATTGTCCGTCCAACCTATCAATAACGGAGACATTATAATAGGATGATATTTTAACGATGATGATTTACTATGATTTATTAATTGTTGCAGGAACTCCTAGACCTAAAAATACCTCTAGCAAAGATCCTAGAGCCAGACGGGACTATGGTGGGAGTAGAAGAGAAGAAACTATACAACTTCGCCATGATCAAGGTCACTGAAACTCCTACACCAGACACCGTGTTGCCCGTGCTGGAGTGGTTCCAGGTTCGAATCTGACACTTACTTTGATATGTAATAACGAAACAACATGAGCTGAACTTCTGTTCAGCTACAATAGCCGAATAGAAACGACAGTAGCAGAACAGTGAAGTTAGAACCCCGCTGCCACTGGACTCTTGTGGCGACCATGCAAAAAATCCCAACTAATATTATAAATGCGAAAGTAACTCTGTCTGTCTGTCTGTCTGTCTGTCTGTTACGCTTTCCCGCTTAAACCTCGTAACCGGTTTTGATGAAATTTGGCATAGAGATAGTTTAAGTCCCGGGAAAGAACACAGGATAGTTTTTATCCCGGTTTTTGAAACAGGGACGCGCGCGATAAAGTTTTTCTGTGACAGACAAAATTCCACGCGGGCGAAGCCGCGGGCGGAAAGCTAGTAAGAAATAAATAAGACGTTGACGAGTTAAATGAGACATGATGATGATGTTTGTGACAGTATAATTTCATAATCTTTAGGTTTGATTCCTGGTTAGGCTAACATTTTTTATAAATCTACTGATGTATTTTGAATTCTTGCGAAAGTAATTTTTGGCAGTATTCGTTTGGAAAAGCCGTCCTGTGTAATAATCAGTAATTTATTTGGTATTTTTGCAGACTATTTCAATGCTGGAAGTGAAGATACCCCTCAACCAACTGTTCGAAGTGTTCAGCCACTGCGTGGTCAACCTGCCTGAAAAGATATTCAAGCCAACTAAAGGTAAGCGTCTATCTAACTCACTATCCAAATAGAAAGAATGGGTTGAAAGCAACATTTATCTCTTTGTAACACTTTTTTGTAAACCCTATACAGGGTGTTGATTCCAATACTCGCCATATTTAGGGAGTTAATTAAGTAGCTTATTCTGATCACGAATCAGTAAAAAAATTCACTTCGAAAAAAATAATTAAGTAATAGTCAAAGAAAAATACCTATTTACACTATCTACTTTACGTGGCTTCCTTCAGTAGGTTATCCGACATGATAAGCGATCATGAGCGATCCGCGTAGCTCGATGGGTGCCGCAGTGTAAACTATTGCAGTATTGCTAGCTACAGTACAGTTGATTTTGCACGGAAAATATTCGCTAAAAATTCCACTTTCGGTTGTAATTTTTTTTTGGTGGATTTTGCGTTTATGTAAGTCATAATAGAACACCTAAATAAATATAGCGAGGATTGAAATCAACACCCTGTATATTGAAAAGAAAGAATTTGAATTTGAATGAATCTATGCTAATATTATCAATGCCAAAGTTTGTGCATGCTTGACGCAAAAAACAACTACACAGATTTTCTTGAAATTAACGCCCGTATTCGCAAACGATGCTTGCTGAAGAGAAGCAGCAAATCGAACGCACAGCGTTGAATAGAGCTCTGTGATTGGTTCGTGTGTCTCCGTGTGTTGTGCATCCACGCGCACTGTGAGACCTCATAGTAATGTTTGTGATTACGGACGTAAGTCTTGAATTAAATAAAATATTCACTTTTCAGATAACACAAAGATAGACAACAGTCCTCCCAACACTCGAGACAGGAACGGAAACGGGAACGGTAACGGGAATGGGAACGGTAACGGGAACGGAAACGGGAACGGGACAGAAAAAGAGAAAATAATAGAGAAGGATGATCATGGGAAACCGCAGAACTTGACCTGCTGCATATTGATGCTTGACATTCTGCTGAAACAGGTAACTATGAAGTTTATTACAGGACTTATAACTCAGTGCCTGACGTAGGGAGTGGCACGGGAGATTGTAGTGTGACGTCAAAGGTCAGCGAGACTTCAGCCCCCCTAAAGTACGGCCAACTAGGAGCGATACAAAAGGTCGATTCGACTGTCGAACTGACAATGGACTAAACTGTGGAATGGACTGTCGTCTGCGGTGTTTCCGGACAGATATGACCTGCAAGCTTTCAAGAAGAGAGCGTATCTTCACCTTAAAGGCCGGCAACGCACCTGTGACGCCCCTGGGTCTGCGGGTGTCTATGGGCGACGGTAATCACTTACCATCAGGTGATCCGTCTGCTCGTTTGCCTCCTGTCACATAAAAAAAAACTATTCTGTCTCTTCCCATCTTGTGTATTTGTCGTAATGTCTCGTTCTCCCGCCAAATTATGTCAAAGTCAAACCCCTGCTATTCCAAATGACCATGACATTGGGTTTGTTTACATTTGGTATCGCTTCTTGTTGGCCGTACTTTAGATAAATTGCACTTTTTGATCGAATCGAAAATCGAATCTGTCAAAACTCCATACAAAAAAGGCCTTTCGATCATTTTTCGACTGGTTTGCGATTATTTCCCACCTCTCGTTCCCACCACTGCAACTCCTGTGTAGCCAGGATCTACAGCTTGACCGCCACAAAAACCCAACCAATGAAGGTCAAGTTTGTCCCGGGGGAAAGTTAAAATGTCATTGGACCCGCAACGAAATTAATCAGAAGAACATAGGAGGAGTTCGAATCGAATCGAATGGTTTGCGATTATAATGTGCACTTTGTCTAGACCCACAGATGTGCTTCAGACTTGCTTTGATGCTTCGTCACATCATAAGTCACTTCAAATCTCAGGCGACTCATTTAATATGCTAGACCTGTAATTGATTATGAGCCTTATCGAACTAAGATAAAGTTTAATTTAGACTGATAAAGGTTCGTCGTTCTCTATTCCCGAGATGTAGTATGAAATCTTTATTTATTTGTTTTTAGATGGAGTTGCAGCAGCGTCGGATCAACATTCAAAACGTTAGCAGTGAGGCAACGAAGCTGCTTCGTCTTATGTTGAAATCTAATCAGCTGAACACTATCGAACATGGTAAGTCTTAACATGCGAAACGTACCTAATTGAATATCAATTATCAAATAATAAAAATATTTATTAGCTTCAATTCCATAATAAACACACCTACTTCTGAAATCGAAGCAAATTTTTGTACTGAAGGGTCAACAGGATTGTAGACTTCGCAACAAAAAAAATGAGTATCAAGTTCTCAGTTCTAAAGGATTTGTTACATTCGCAATCTGCAGTCAGGTCCAAGTAAATGCAGCCATCATAATGTATATTACTTTGACCTGGTCGCAGACCGCATTCAGTGTGGCAAATTCTTCAAAATTAAATGTCTAAAGGTGTTTTTCTAAACTGAAGAGTTTCTTTAAACACCAGTATATTAACGAAATGTTTTCCCCCAGCGGTGTGCCTTGCGGAAGGCGCCTGCTCCTACTGCGAGGCGGCGGCTCTATGGCACCAGCTAGCTGTTCTACTGGTTAGGGCTCTGGTGCCGGATCGGCCGAAGCCTCCGCCTGAGGTCAGTGGAACTAATATTATACACATCATCATTGCATCATCAGTGCTTCCTAGCACAAGTAACACTGTTGCTTAACAGGAAGCTCCAACAACTTTTAACTGAACTAGGCTAAGTTAAAGAAATAAACGAATTTGAATTTGAATCATTACCTTTTATGCCCGTTTTCACCATCAATCCCTAATTTTTAAGTGACCCCTATGGTAACACATAATATGAATTTTGTTGCCATAGGGGTCACTTAAAAATTAGGGATTGATGGTGAAAACGGGCATTAGTCTCCGTTGCAGGAGCACGTACGACCTTGTATATTTTACCAGACGCAAATTGAGCATTTGGCCAACACCCTTCGTTGCCAGACGGTTTGGAGAGGCCGGATATTTGTCACCTTTTACAAAGTATTTGGGAAAATCTGATAATTCCTACAAAACAAGATTTTTTACTATCGCTCTACATCACAACTGAAACTGGTTAGCTTGTTCTGCTTCCCGTGACCTCTATCAGATCGTCGATCTCCTAGTAGTGGGAGGCCTGCCCAAACTATGTCTCCACTTTAGTTGTCTGCCCCAATGTCCATCAAATCTACGAGCTATGTGCCTCGCCCACTGTCACTTCAGTTTGGCAATTTCTGTGGACTATGTCGGTTACTTTTTAGTGTTTGAGACCTGTAGCCTTATTCACGTAACAAAACTTCAATGACAACAAATCGCTGAATGCGATCCTATCGAGTAATCGTTCTATCGAAATGACCCTTATGAATACGGATTTAGAACTGTTTTTCAATGGGACGACGTAACAAAACGTCAATGACAACAAATCGGTGAGTTACGATCCTATCGAGTAATCGTTCTATAAAAATGACTTCGTATGAGAATGATCCGTAGGAGAACCAGAGTGACTGACATAGCCCGCAGAATCGCTAAAATCAAGTGGTAGTGGGCGGGACACATAGCTCGAAGAGCTGATGGCCGCTGGGGCAGGAAAGTTCTTGAGTGGCGACCACGAGCTGGAAGACGTAGCGTGGGCAGGCCTCCTACTAGATGGACCGTCGATCTGGCAAAAGTCGCGGGAAGAGCCTGGATGCGGGCAGCGCAGGACCGTTCATTATGGAAAACCTTGGGGGAGGCCTTTGTCCAGCAGTGGACGTCATTTGGCTGAAACGACGACGATACTTATCATGCGAAAAAATGTTGCGTTTGAGACTCCTCAATTCCAACATAATACAAATAACAACATTCTTCTTCCCCCAGCCACCCCTAGAAGACATGTGGTCCGACAAGAAGAACCAATCGGAAGACGAACGCAGCAAGTCAGGCGGCACGCCAGCCAGCTCGGTCGACGCGTTGCTATCTCTCGCACACGGAACGGGCGCGGATCGCAGTTCAGTGGGCGGAGTTCTGGTGCATATGCCGCATGTGCGTATGGAGATTGATAGCCGCCCGGGGAGGGTGGGGTGGGGGGCGCTTTGGGGGGTCTTAAAGGGGAGGGGGGTTAACTTGCTAGACCTTATACTCAAAGGACGGCGGAGATAGACTAATACTAGTCTTCAAGTATAAAATAAAATGAACACAAAAAAAGATGGATTATTAATTAAAATTATGTAAAGGCTACTGGGACGTCCACCTACAAGGTGGACCGACGACATCGTAAAGGTAGCAGGGAAGCGCTGGACGCAGGCCGCTACTAATCGATCAACGTGGAAAGCATTGGGGGAGGCCTATGTTCAGCAGTGGACGTCCTATGGCTGAAATGATGATGATGATGAAAGGCTACTTCAAATTCAAGTTCAGGATTCAGGAAGAAGAAGAAAGACATCATAAAAACGGTTTACTCTAGAAAATATAAATCAAAGAAGAACAGATAAATACATAGGTGCGCACAGTAGAGGTGTATTATGTAAGCCGCCCCAAAGATGGCGCTGTTTATTATTTTACAAGTAAATTGTGATTGTGGGTTTTGCCACTTGCTAAATATTATTCCGTGACTATTTCGTGTAACTACTACCTACTGAAACTTCTTAATATAATTTTTACGGTGTAGCGTCTCCATGTTTTATTTACTATACGACTAAAAAAAAAATAGATTTTTGTTACGATGTCATAAAAGGAAAAAAAGCAAAAATCCATATTTGACAACAAAAAGACAAAGAAACAAGAATTAAAAAAAATAAACAGCTAAATAATACGGTGGTTCACTAACCATAGATCAAACAGATAAGAAATACCATTTCCCACTCACAACCACCACAGCGCGCCCTACCAACCAACCCCCGGGCGGGGTCGCGGGGCGGACGCGCGGGCCGCTTGCTCATGTCTGTCGTAGTCTCTGGTCTGGATGTTACGGATGTCGGAACTCTGTGTGCTGGCTGGTCTACGCTGCGATGTGGCGTTGTAGGGTAGATGACTGATTTGTAATTTTGTATATCACCTGCAAAACCAGGTATTCCATAGCGGTCTTAAATTTTTGTTCTATATCAAACACATTTGTACCAAACTCAAGTCCCCAAAAGATAGGACTACCTAGTTTGGGGACTACTAGTAAGTCACCTGAAATCCTATTAGTATAATTTGTAAAGTTATGTAACTAAAGTGCATTTTTCCGGAAATAAATTAATTCTTATTCTTATTTATATTGATATACGACTATGTTAATTAAAAAAACAATAACTGAAATGATAACCTCCTCCTTTTGTTGAAGTCTGTTAAAAAGTAATCCGAAGTCATATCTATTCTCATTTTTTCACGAAATTGATCGAGATATTATCAATATTGTAAAGCAATGTGATACATGACAATGTGTGGACATGGCAAACCTTTAACCGATGACGTGCGGTCTCACAGACCGCTCCGGTTTTTGAAATTTCTGGATTGCAATGTTCTACTTACTCCCATGTCCCGAGCGTCTCAGTACCTTCGAGTTTAATTGCCCAAACGCCATTACAGGTTGTGGTTACATCGATGAGGGCGGTTTTAATAAGATAATCGATTTAAAGTTCAACAGCGGTCTGTGGGACCGCACGTCGCAGACTACGTGACATTTTTGTACCATACTAAAACTTGCGTTTTTGTTTTAGGCCACTCATTTTTCGTAAAAATTATGGATCCTGGGTCACCACAACCTAGGAAAAGACATTTCCTAATGATATTATTGATATTTGGACATAATATTATGTAAAATATGGTAGTCTGTAAAAAAAATACCCCGAAACGGGTGGTAAAGCAAACAGTGACATGTATTCTAGGTTCTGACGTGCCAAATCAGCCAGATGTCATTGTACCAGCTGCAAAAAAGACGTACATTTTAGTGCACCTAAATTGAAAACGAAATTATCTTACAGGTGTTACCTATGTATAATACCGGAATTGCTTGGAATGCAGTAAAAAAAATGTCTTGATTGTGCCTAATGTTTACCCTACGTCAATTTTTTTTTGTGCATGTAATGTACGTGTCATTTATTTTTATTTTATTCATAATGTTCACTATATTTAGGAAGGAGTATAGTTTTTCTTGCTTTGATTAAAATTTACAAGTTATATAGGTATTATTGAGCTCTAGTGTTATTTCAATGAAATTAAGCGTCAAAAACGTTTTAGCCATATTTAAATAAATAATTTACATTGATTCTTCACAAATTATACGTATGTTTATTTGTAATACTATAATGTTCTCAAAAAATATAAAATCAATATACTTTTATACAAAAAATGATTACTTTTTGAGTAAACAGTATAGCGGTCCCACAGACCGCACGTCGCAGACGGCGTGACAAAAAAAACACGTCGTCGGTTAAAGGTAAATTAGAGAATATTGGATATTATATTCCAGGAACTTCTCCATCGTTTATAAACTTTTTTATGCTAAGTATTGGTAATGAAACAATCCTATTCCTAATCATTTAATTCTATAATAAAGTTTTAAAATTTATAAAAATCTTCCCTTACGAAGATCGAACCTAATCCCTAATCGCATGCCAAACCATTCTTAAAATGTGTGTTGTCAACTACCCTACATTTGAAGTTGTGACTAAATTATTAAAAAATACGTTTGCCTAACGTGGCAGATTCTGACCGTAGCTCTTCAGACAAATCGCAGCGTTGACCAGAATTTAATTTTAAATACAAAAAAGTCCTTGTAGCATCTTTGTCGTAGATAAATGTCGCTTTGATTTACGATTTCCATCCTATCATTTCAACCTTGTTAAATTTTAGATTGGTTTAAAACAAATAGTTAAAAACTTCTTAAATTGATTTTACAAATTACTAATCTAATTGATAAAAGTTTCATATTTTTTAGATAATTTATTTACGCCCGTGGATATTTAGTGTATGGATTGAACAAAAGTACAGTCACTCTCAAAAGTCCATGATTAATTCCAGTGACAGTTTTATTCATGTAACAAACATGGAACATTTAAAAATTTAACATTTCGAGTGTTATTTCTAAGTATTTAAGGTCTATTTTATTCAGTCCATGCATTATTATCACTCGTGTCCGCCCGCCAGCGACTCGGTCCCTTTTCACTAGAGTACTTCGTATCTATATAATAGATGTATAGTTTGTTCATTTCATGCAACTCTCACTTATAAGCGACGTCGCTACGGACCCCCCACTGACTAAACCGTATGACACCGGTGACGGTGACACACAAACCGGTGACACGCAAGTATGTCCGTTCTATCTCTTTCTTACTTCCTTGCTTCTTCACGTGTTTGTTTGTCTGCATTTTAGTGTTAGATGTTCGCTTGGAGTCGAAATTGGAAACGATTAACTTAACACTTTTGTGTGTGATTGTACTTTATTTGAAGTGTTGGACGGTGTTTGTTTCTGATTTCGGCTCTTGTAATGTGTAGTGTGTTCAGACTTTATTGAATCGTTAGGGAAAGTCGTATAATGATGAAGATTAATTTGGTTATTAATATCTATTACCAACTTCTAAATAATATCTATCTCCTACTAATGATAAACAGTAATATTTCATTCCAATCTACTCTTTCATTAGAAAAAAAGTCAATTTTCTTTCAAAGAAATAATTTTTCTCCAAAAATGAAATGAGCATTGACTAGACCTTTTCGGGTTATCTATTTTAATTAGATCACTATCAGGTAAGTTTAGATTCAATAAAGTCTATCAAAATAGTTTTGTATTAGCTCAGTTATTTTTTGTCATAAATAATCTAGTTCAGAAATATAACTCACAAGTAAAAACTTCAAAATATTGAGCCTCAGTTTTTTAGAATGCTTATTAAATATATATGATTTTTAAAATCAGTAACATTTGGAATTTTTAACGAAAATGCATTTTAGAAAACGGAGGAAAGTAGTCATTTGGTTTGCATTACACTTCAAATTATGGTAAATTAGTTACTTTCATCCCATTGTAATGTTAGGCAGTAGCAAATCTTTCCTAATAGAGTAACAAATAACAAAAAAAAATACGTAGAATAACTAAAAATACAGTGAATATAGTCAATTGGAAATAAAGAACAACAGATAGCGAATATTATTGGCAGAAAACAAGAAATATGTATACATACAAATAGCACACAGAAAATATTTTATTTAAACTATAATATCTAGTGGTTTTGAAAAATGGCACAAAAATGTGTAAATGATAAAATACTAAGCTTCTATCTAGCTTCATCGTAGTTAAAAATAATATTTAAGTTGTTCTCAGAATCAAATGTTGCAGAATTCTTATATTGTATTGATAATCACCGAGTTGAATCAAAACACGTGTAGAGCATGTGTGACACAAATCATCGCTCTTTGATTATTTACTACCAATCAATGCCATCGTATCAGTTAGTCAGAATTGTAGCCCTGTAGACTTCGTCAGTTTGATTTGTGAACTGTTTTCTGGTGCATTTGTTATAGTAACTTTAAACTAACAGTGATAATTATTTTGAGATTTCATGCGACCATAAAATCTAACGGAATTGGCATCGGACTGTCGATTGGTTTATTCCACTTTGATCACCCGGATTCGATCACCCAGGTAATCAAAGTGGACTCCAGTCGAAACTGGGTGTCATTTGAACACCTATGAATAAGATTACCTAGGTGATCGAAGTGGACTTCTTATCCATGGGCGAGCAAAGGACACCAAAGTATCCCCTGGAGTCCACTTTAATCATCTGGGTGACCAAATCCAAGTGATCAAAGCGTAATAGACTTGCAGATTCGATCCCGGTCGACCCCTTGGACTATTGTGATGAAGTCACACCTAACGCAAACATAGTATTTAGCGTTCTTGAATGGGTTTACAATAATTTACTAAATTATTATATATTTTTTTAAGAAAATACTTCATGTAGGTCAGAAATGTAAAATAAGCCCCAAAACAGTTCTCAAATTGAATTTGATCGATTTGTCACAATCGATCATAATAGTACGTGGATACGGTTTGTGTGTGCGCAGATCATGACAGCGACGGTGGAGACGATCACTGAACAGCTGGACATGGCTGCCGCGCTGCCGCCCGCTGACCAGCCGCCGATGGCTACTGCTCACACAATCACGCTAACGGATACTGACGTAGCCACTGCCACTGCTGACGTAAGTCACATAAATACATCTGTCATCGCACCAGATTTGAATCATTGGCGTATCTAGGGTTAGTTTTCAGGAGGGGCTTGGCCCCTGAAATTCCATGTAGCCGATGGATACCTACTCATAGATGGAAGGTTCAGGTGTAAAAATCTTTAAGGTTGTGTATAAAAACCTACCTTTTCTTACATCGAAAAACGCTGTCTAAAGGCGCCTAAGTAATCCGTTTGAGATTTATAAAAGCAGTAATTCCACAATGCACCCGTGCGGTGCTGGGGTGGTGGGTCGCTAAAACATAATAAAATAATAAGGCTCTAGCTAGAGCGGTTAATTAGTTTACTCGGTGACTCGACGATCTGGTGAAAGTTGCGAGAAGCGCCTGAGGCCCGGGAATCCCTACTAGAGATTGCAACCCGGTATGTTTTTCAACCCGACCGGGCCCGATTGCATTCGTCGCTAACCCGTGCCCGGTGTGTGCCTAAAAGGGCACCAGTTTTTAATCTCTAGCCTGGATCCGGCTTTGGTTTATACGATAAACATAATTTATTTTTTTAAATAGGTTTCGACTCCAAACCTGCTTGGCGAGAATGAAGGTATGCCGGAGTCTGTCGAAGAAGATATGACCAACTTCTGGCCGACCTCCGCTGGGAAGTTCCATTTCTGTATTGAAGAGCTGCCTCAGGAACTTCAATACATACATCAGCTGCTACAGGTAAGATATAGGATATAACGTAATTTAAACTTTCTTATAGGTTGTATCTTTAAAAGTTATAGGTACGTCATCTGTTTTGCATTGAAACGAAGCAGATCCTTGTCCTATCTTCTCCTGATTAATTTAGGGTCTAATGACTCTTAAATTTTTCTCTGAGGATAACTCAGTGTTCACAGGTTAAATTTTATTGGCTTTCAAGCTGTAGATACCTACTGGTTAACAGACTACGAGTTGCAGATTGCACACAAGGGTAGAAATCGGTCATACTGTTTTGAGAATCCTTGAAACAATACTAGTTACTTACTTACGTAAGTCTAAATAAAATATGTTAAAAGTTAAAATGTTTTGTTCAGGAACTCAAAAGCACTTCGCGACCAGATGTGCTGTACCATCTCCTGCAGTGTCTTCAAGTGCTGGTCTTGAACGCCGATGCTTTAGCCGATCACAGGGGCTTCCTGATTTGGTGCCAGGAGAATCTTCTTATTGACAAGTAAGCCATATTTGCAGTTATAACAAGTCCAAGGCGTTTATCTCAAGTTTTATCAGATATTCTCAATCTTCTCTAGTCTAGAATATGACTTTCTCTAACTTACTAAATACACATTCTGGAATTAGCCTGTAGGTAGGCTGTACCTATGCCCCCTAAAAACCAACGTGGGGTGTACTCCACTTTGTCTTTTGGGGGGTTAGTCGCCTTTAGTCACGACACCCACCAGAAGTGAGAGGGTGGTCCTTTATGTCCTATAGTTCTGCAGGAACTATAGTTATAGTTCTTATTCTGACGGAGTTTCATGGCTAGGTGTACGTTCTTGACATAATAACGAACAAACGAACGAACATTAATGAACACAGGTTCATTCCTGTTCGTTCGTTTCAGCCGAAAAACGTCCACTGCTGGACAAAAGCCTCCCCCAAGGATCTCCACAAAGACCGGTCCTGCGCCGCTCGCATCCAGGCGCCTCCCGCGACCTTCACCAGATCGTCGGTCCACCTAGTGGGAGGTCTGCCCACGCTACGTCTTCCGGCTCGTGGTCGCCACTCACGAACTTTCCTGCCCCAGCGGCCGTCAGCTCTACGAGCTATGTGCCCCGCCCACTGCCACTTGATTTTAGCGATTCTGCGGGCTATGTCAGTCACTCTGGTTCTCCTACGGTACATTCCTGTACTAATTAAATAATTTTCTTTCTTATCTCCAGCCTATGGAACGTCTGCAACGCCAGCCATTCCCACATCTGCTCAGTAGCAGTCCCAGTGCTTCTCCACTGCGTGACGTTAGCTGGTGGTGCTGACGTGTTCTGCAACCTCATACGCGACCAGTTCCATCACCACGACCATAGAGTTCGATTCACGGCGGTGGAGCGAGTCACCGTTATCATCAGGTAGGCTGGGCTTAGTGAAAACAAAACTCTTTCTTCTTGCAGTAGTTTCGTACTAGTGCTGCACTGCTGTGTGACGTTAGCCGGTGGTGCTGACGTGTTCTGCAACCTCATTAGAGACCAGTCCCATCATTACGACCACAGAGTTAGATTCACGGCGGTGGAGCGAGTCACCGTTATCATCAGGTAGGCTGGGCTTAGTGAAAACAATACTCAGTAGTTTCGTAGTAGTGCTTCTCCACTGCGTGACGTTAGCCGGTGGTGCTGACGTGTTCTGCAACCTCATAAGAGACCAGTCCCATCATTACGACCACAGAGTTAGATTCACGGCGGTGGAGCGGGTCACCGTTATCATCAGGTAGGCTGGGCTTTGTGAAAACAAAACTCAGTAGTTTCGTAGTAGTGTTTCTTCACTGCGTGACGTTAGCCGGTGGTGCTGACGTGTTCTGCAACCTCATACGAGACCAGTTCCATCATTACGACCACAGAGTTAGATTCACGGCGGTGGAGCGGGTCACCGTTATCATCAGGTAGGCTGGGCTTAGTGAAAACAAAACTCTTTCTTCTTTCAGTAGTTTCGTACTAGTGCTGCACTGCTGTGTGACGTTAGCTGATGGTGCTGACGTGTTCTGCAACCTCATAAGAGACCAGTCCCATCATTACGACCACAGAGTTAGATTCACGGCGGTGGAACGGGTCACTGTTATTATCAGGTAGGATTCGGATTTTCATCAGCATACATCATTATCATCATCATCATCATTTGAGCCATAAGACGTCCATTGATGAACACAGGCCTCTCCCGATGATTTCTTCAATGTCCAGTTGGCAGCGGCCTGCATCCAGCGCCTTCCCGCTACCTTTATTAGGTCGTCGGTCCACCTTGTGAGTGGACGTCCTTCGATGAGCTTTGAGGTACGAGACCTCCACTCCAAAACCTTGCTGCCCCATCGGCCGTCAGTTCTGCGCACTATGTGCCCTGCCTATTGCCATTTGCCACTTCAGCTTGCTAATCCGTCGGGCTATGTCAGCGACTTTAGTCAATATGAATATACCACTTTTTTTTTACAGATTCATGGACGGCTCTCCCATCAAAACCAGCCTGCCTCTACAGACAGCGCTGGCGACCGCCTTCTGCTACCTCATCTCGAGTATGGACGACATCAACGTATACGTCGCGCAACGGGCCACGCTGTACATCGGGACTGTGCACGACAATGCTATTGACGTATGTTGTAGTTTGTACTTTACGTAGTTGTAGTAATAGAGGCTATTTTGCTACAAAAATTAAAAGTCTAATGTGCTGTCCACTTTAGCCTAGCAGACTTTTTAATAATAAGTACAGACATGTATAGAAGTGCGCACATTGTACCGATTTGGTATCGGCCTAACTATCGGCTGACTAAAAGTCTGTAGTCTGCGGGGAGTCTTAGAGAGACTTTTCTATGTATGTACACCGATCACGCCGAGATTTCTGCACCGATTTACGTGATTCTTGTTTACATCTATGCGGAATAGTTGCCATTTGGTCCCATAAAAAAAATATTTGATTTGGTTACGTAGTTTTTATTTTATGAGCATTTTTAGTTTTTAGCATGCTCGCGTGAAAACTTTGTTGTGACAATTACGTCGTCTAGGTATATTTATGTAATCGATGTTCACCGATTACTTACAGATTTCTCGTTCGATTTGAGTGATTCTTATTTGTTCGATAGTAGATACTTGCCATTTGGTCCCATACACAATTTAATCTGAAAGTTAAACATGAAAAATCTGCATTATCGTCGATAGTGTAAGGAACCTACTATAAAATCAATCAATCAATCAAAAAAAAATATTATGAGTACTTACACTTGAAGTGAATTTAGGTTAAAGACAGCCCGATTGATATAAAACCTCTCACCCTCAGCTTCTCCTATTCTGCCTGGAGACGCAATTCGACCTGGTCATAGTAGACCGGCCGATGGTGCTGCAGTGCATCTACCAGCTGCACAACACGCTCAGCGACCGCCGCATCCTCACGTGGGAGTTCTTCCTCAACCGCTTCGAGGCGCTCTTACTGGAAGCCAACATCAACTCCAACAAGACCGTGGACTTTACCAACTTGAGGGGTGAGTGCTTAATGCCTGGGGCAGAAGATTCAGTTTTGTATCCAGCCTTTTCTAGCGCTTCTTAAAACCTGGTCCGTGAGCACTTAGAATTTTTTCCAATGACCCCAAGCTACCCATCCTTATCGCTCGCGCGTAATTATATTGCTGTCGCGACTGTGCGACGGGCGGCCGCAGTGAGTGTGCGAGCTTTAGGCACTCTTATTGGAGGTTCAGATCTACTCCAAAAAGACCGTGGACTTTACCAACTTAAAGGGTGAGTCCATAATACCTGGGGCGGAGGGGACCGATTCCAACAAGACTTCATCAACTAGGGCGAGTCTTTAATACTTGAGGCAAAAGGTACAGTTTGGTCTGTCACCTGACCTAAGGATTCGAGTCGCTACTCTAAGAAGCAAGACTGGTGACTACACCTACTTAAGGGTTCTCTCTTTAATGCCTGAGACAGATAAGACAGTTTTCTCCAACAAGACAGTTGACTTCACTAACTTAAGGTGTGTGTCCTTAATACCTGGAGCAGAGGAGACAGTTTTCTCTGACGAGATTGGGACAGCTTTGTCTGCCGTCTAACCGAGACATTTATCTAAGGCATTCTTACTGGTATCTCAGATCAGCTTTATCAAGCCTGTCTGTAACGAACTTGATGAGGTACTGAGTCCTTAATACCTGCGGCAGAGGGTACAGTTTCGTTAGTCCTGGTGATGTGGCCCGGGATGGTGCTGCAGTGCATCTACCAGCTGCACAACACGCTCAGCGACCGCCGCATCCTCACGTGGGAGTTCTTCCTCAACCGCTTCGAGGCGCTCTTACTGGAAGCCAACATCAACTCCAACAAGACCGTGGACTTCACCAACTTGAGGGGTGAGTGCTTAATGCCTGGGGCAAAAGGTTCAGTTTTGTCTCCAGCCTTTTCTAGCGCTTCTAGGCATTCTTATTGGCGGTTCAGATCTACTCCAAAAAGACCGTGGACTTTACCAACTTGAGGAGTGAGTGCTTATTACCCGAGGCAAAGAGGACAGTTTCTAACAAGACTTGACTTCACCGACTAGGATGAGTTCTTAATACCTGAAGTGGAGGTACAGTTTGGTCTGTCACCTGACCTAAGGATTCGAGTCGCTACTCTAAGAGGCAAGACTGGGGTTCTGTCTTTGCCTGACAGAGGGTTCAGTTTCGTCTGCCATCTGGCCTACGGATTCGAGTCTCTAGTGTGTGAAGCAAGACTGGTGACTTCATTAACTAAGGCGAGTCCTTAATACCTGGGGCAGAAAGTTCAGTTTTGTCTGCACCTGATCTCTCCCTTAGAGGCACTGCTGTTAGAAGCAAGATCGGTAACTTAAGGGTTGTGTCTTTAATGCCTGAAACAGATGGGACAGTTTTCTCCAACAAGACAGTTGACTTCACTAACTTAAGGGGTGTGTCCTTAATACCTGGAGCAGAGGAGACAGTTTTCTCTGACGAGATTCGGACAGCTTTGTCTGCCGTCTAACCGAGACATCTAACTGAAGAATTCTTACTGGTAGCTCAGATCAGCTTTCAAGCTTGTCTATAACGAACTTGAGGAGGTACTGAGTCCTTAATACCTGCGGCAGAGGGTTCAGTTTCGTTTGTCCTGGTGATGTGGCCCGGGATGGTTCTGCAGTGCATCTACCAGCTGCACAACACGCTCAGCGACCGCCGCATCCTCACGTGGGAGTTCTTCCTCAACCGCTTCGAGGCGCTCTTACTGGAAGCCAACATCAACTCCAACAAGACCGTGGACTTTACCAACTTGAGGGGTGAGTGCTTAATGCCTGGGGCAGAAGGTTCAGTTTTGTATCCAGCCTTTTCTAGCGCTTCTTAAAACCTGGTCCGTGAGCACTTAGAATTTTGTCCAATGACCCCAAGCTACCCATCCTTGTCGCTCGCGCGTAATTATATTGCTGTCGCGACTGTGCGACGGGCGCCCACAGTGAGTGTGCGAGCTTTAGGCACTCTTATTGGAGGTTCAGATCCACTCCAAGGAGATTGTGGACTTTACCAACTTAAGGGTCACCCCTTAAGTTGGTAAAGTCCACAATCTCCTCACGTCTTTAATACCTGGAGCAGACAGGACAGTTTTCTCCATCAAGACTGTTGACTTCACCAACTAGGTTGAGTCCTTAATACGTAGGGCAGAAGGAACAGTTTTGTCTGCCGCCTGATCTCCCCCTTATAGGCACTGCTGTTAGAAGCAAGATTGGTAAAGGGTTGTGTCTTTAATGCCTGAAACAGATGGGATAGTTTTCTCCAACAAGACAGTTGACTTCACTAACTTAAGGGGTGTGACCTTAATACCTGGAGCAGAGGAGACAGTTTTCTCTGACGAGATTGGGACAGCTTTGTTGCCGTCTAACCGAGACGTCTAACTGAGACATTCTTACTGGTAGCTCAGATCAGCTTTCAAGCCTGTCTATAACGAACTTGTGGAGGTACTGAGTCCTTAATACCTGGGGCAGAGGGTCCAGTTTCGTTTGTCCTGGTGATGTGGCCCGGGATGGTGCTGCAGTGCATCTACCAGCTGCACAACACGCTCAGCGACCGCCGCATCCTCACGTGGGAGTTCTTCCTCAACCGCTTCGAGGCGCTCTTACTGGAAGCCAACATCAACTCCAACAAGACCGTGGACTTTACCAACTTGAGGGGTGAGTGCTTAATACCTGCGGCAGAAGGTGCAGTTTTGTATCCAGCCTTTTCTAGCGCTTCTTAAAACCTGGTCCGTGAGCACTTAGAATTTTGTCCAATGACCCCAAGCTACCCATCCTTATCGCTCGCGCGTAATTATATTGCTGTCGCGACTGTGCGACGGGCGGCCGCAGTGAGTGTGCGAGCTTTAGGCACTCTTATTGGAGGTTCAGATCTACTCCAAAAAGACCGTGGACTTTACCAACTTAAAGGGTGAGTCCATAATACCTGGGGCGGAGGGGACCGATTCCAACAAGACTTCATCAACTAGGGCGAGTCTTTAATACTTGAGGCAAAAGGTACAGTTTGGTCTGTCACCTGACCTAAGAATTCGAGTCGCGACTCTAAGAAGCAAGACTGGTGACTACACCTACTTAAGGGTTCTCTCTTTAATGCCTGAGACAGATAGGACAGTTTTCTCCAACAAGGCAGTTGACTTCACTAACTTAAGGGGTGTGTCCTTAATACCTGGAGCAGAGGAGACAGTTTTCTCTGACGAGATTGGGACAGCTTTGTCTGCCGTCTAAACGAGACATCTAACTGAGGCATTCTTACTGGTAGCTCAGATCAGCTTTATAAAGCCTGTCTATAACGACCTTGAGGAGGTACTGAGTCCTTAACACCTGGGGCAGAGGGTTCAGTTTCGTTTGTCCTGGTCATAGTAGACCGACCAATGGTTCTGCAGTGCATCTACCAGCTGCACAACACGCTCAGCGACCGCCGCATCCTCACGTGGGAGTTCTTCCTCAACCGCTTCGAGGCGCTCTTACTGGAAGCCAACATCAACTCCAACAAGACCGTGGACTTTACCAACTTGAGGGGTGAGTGCTTAATGCCTGGGGCAGAGGGTTCAGTTTTGTATTCCGCCTTTTCTAGCGCTTCTAGGCACTCTTATTGGCGGTTCAGATCTACTCTAAGAAGACCGTGGACTTCACTAACTTGAGGGGTGAGTGCTTAATACCTGGAGCAGAAGGTTCAGTTTTGTGTACAGCCTTTTCTAGCGCTCCTAGGCACACTTATTGGAGGTTCAGATCCACTCCAAGGAGATTGTGGATTTAATCAACTTAAGGGGTGAGTCTTTAATACCTAGAGCAGACGGTACAGTTTTCTCCATCAAGACTGTTGACTTCACCAACTATGATGGGTTCTTAATACCTGAACCAGAAGGTACAGTTTGGTCTGTCACCTGACCTACGGATTCGAGTCGTACTGTAAGAAACAAGACTGCTGACTTTACCAACTTGAAGGGTATGTACTTAATACCTGGGACAGGGACGACAGGGTACAGTTTTGTCTGTCGTCTGACCTAGGGATTCGAGACGATACTGTAAGAAGCAAGAATGGTGACATCATCAACTTGATGGGTGTGAGGCAAAGGGTACAGTTTTGTCAGTCGCCTCGCTTGGCCTACCGTTCGTGTAAGGAGTTTTTAGATACAGTTTCTTTTTGTTTTTATGGTAAAAATTGTTGCTTTGTGTATTTTTCATGTGTGTATGTCAATGAAGTTTTATCTTTCTGTCTAAAATATTTTTTTTTGTCATATTTTTATCTAGTTTTGATTCTTATTTAACTTAATGTCTTGTTGTACAGGTTTACTGTTTTGGTGTGTAGATGATTGTGTTGTGAGTATATTTTTTGTTTTGATTTTTTATGCTTTAGCTATACTTTTTTTTCTACTTAACTTCTATTTGCTTACTTAATTTTGATGAATCTGTATTATTTTGATTTTATTTTCACCCATCATTATACGTACTCGTATATCGTATTTTTTTCTGTCCTTCAATAATATAGAACAATTTAACTCTTGCTTTAGTTATTGCGTTTAGGATCCATATCTAATTCTAATGCAAAACACGCGATATAATTCTTCCACTCTTCTTCGCTTGGACAAAACTTAAGAACCTACCTATCAAATAACCATTACGAATAAACCTGAATTTCAAATCAATAAAAGTTATCACTATTGTCAACAGAACTCGTGAGCAGCGAAACTAGTTCTGAATGGTTCCTGTACAAAGTGCGTCGCGCACACGAGGCCCTTAGTGTGTCTGCGAGGGAACCGAATGCGAACACTCTCAGTGCGTCGTTTGGCACCAAATGGCCCTACAAGAGGACCATATCCGCTCCGGCGACTATGCCACCACACCCAGACACTAGGCATGGTAAGTATATTGTTATACTTATGTAATGGATTACTATTAGAATGGTTCCTATAGTTGAGGGTACTTATCCATGAGGGAATCAAATGTGAACACTCACTATGGCCCTACAAAAAGACCATATCCACCCCGGCGACTATTCCACCTCACCCGGATACTAGGCGTGGTAAGTATAGTAGGACTTCTACATAGAATGGTTCCTATGGCGTATTTTTTCTGTGCCAGAACCGAACGTGAAACGTTATGTTGACTGAGAGGTAACATTCGTTTGCCTGCAGTCGGACGGCTCTCGCTGGTTCTGCAAGAGCTAGTCTTTGCCTGTGTCGGTTCTGAAAAAAAAAGTCCGTCTAGTCTTAAAAAGGAACGAGTAGTTCTGTTCTAATAGAATTGAAAATATTCTGTCAGGCCTTAGTCGAGAAGTTCACAAATATAAATCTGTTAGTATCTCCTATTTTTTCCCATTTTATGTCTAGATTCACAATCAAATTCCTATTTTATTATTTCCAGAGCGTGAGAAAGTGTACTCCCGACAGTACTCCGCGCCGTTGCTCAAGCGCAAGACTTCGAGATTCGGCTTAGGGCAGCTTCTAGCTACGCCGCAGCCTTTGGCACCACAACGCTCTAATAATACTCATGGTAAGCGTCATATGTTTTGAATACAAGCCACGATAGCCGAACGGTGAAGGGGTCGGACTGGCCGACTCGTGATCCGGGGAACGCGGGTTCGGTCCCCGCCGCCGCTCGACTACGAGTATTGTGGTGAGCTCACTCGTGACACAAGCATATTTAGTTTAGTACGAGGGGCTAGCGGGAGTATTAGTAATTTGTGTAATAACAAATAACTAATAATCTTTTATAAAAAAAAAATACAGCATGTGAAACTATCAAAATATGTTGAACATAATAGATTTTGTACCTTATTCCAAAGAAGTAAAGTTCAATATTTGTTGAAAAAATCGCAGTAAAACCTACTATGACTAAACAATAGAAGGAAAATTAAATAGTCGCTCGAATTGGCAGTAGCATTCTCTAAAAAAATGTAATTGGAAAACTTCTTTTCCTCAGTGAAAGCATAAACATAAAAACAACACACATCAATTATTTTACAAGGCATGTTCGTCTTATTTCCAGCAATTTACAGCTTGTTATTTAAAGCTTGGTCTTGAGCTTCGCGTTTGATCTCGCTCGATTTTTGATTAGTTACGTATTTCAAATTCTGGGATTTCTTTATTTTTAGATGGATTCCACTCCCTGTCCGGTCGGTCGACAGAAGATACGCTAACAACAGTGCTGCCTAAAATTGATCTCGAAGAAGCTGACAGAGAGACCACTAATCTGCTGGTATTTCTACTGATGCAGTTCTTATCCAGGTATGTTGAAGAAAAAGAAAGGAAAAAATTAAATATACTTTTTTAGAAACAAAAACAAGTGGTTAGGTTCTGACCTATAGCCTCCTTGCTCTCACTTTTCACTCCCACATTTACGATTTTTACGTGATGTGTGTAAATTGTATGAGATTCACCGGATATGCCGGTCTTAGCCTTTGCCTCTTCGTGATCCCATACAAGTGCTCTCTGCAAGCCATGTACCTTAAGAATAATCTGAAATTAAATGGTTTATACCTAGACTGCATCTCACTTAACATCAACTACATGCGTGTGTTCTACATTAAAAAAACTAGTACCAAACAAATATTATTATTTCTTTCTTTCTTTCAAATGGTCACCTATTCAATCTTATTAAATACTTGCTTGGATTGTTTCAGGTCAGATCAAGCTCACCCCACCGAAGACAAGGCAATAGCCAAAACACAGGAGTTAGTACTGAAGCATCTCTTCCTTTTGCTCGGGTACAACTGTAACGAAAAGTACTTCCACATCTCGCCATATACTCTAAGGTAAATAACTGACACTAAAGTTGGACCGACGACCTCATAAACGTAGCAGAAAGGCGCTGCCACCAACCGGTCATTATGAAAATCATTGGGGAGGCCTATGTTCAGCAGTGGACGTCCTGTGGCTGAAATGATGCTGATGATGATGGTGAAGATTTAAAATCATGTCGTCGACATAAATAGTCAATCAACATTACAAACGAAAACTAAGTAATAAATCTTTTAAAATGTTTGAAATTCATAGACAAAGCTTCTATATTTTAATTAAAGAATTATTGTGTCAATAGGCAATCGTCAATCTTCAACGCGTTTATGGCCAACCTACCTCAAGTGTTGGATCAAAACCACGTCATGGGTGCTTGCATTGCTGAACCTACACTGCTGCTGCTACAGGTTTATCTTTATTTAGTTTTATTAAAAATAATTTAGCAGACCTTAAAGCTAGGCAATAAACTACGATGTATTTTGGTAACTATATTCCCATTATTTTGTAATAATTGCAGTTATTTGTAATTTCCATTGTATCCCTTGATTGTTACCTGTTGTGTATGCCTTAATAAATAAATTCCTTTTCCTCACGTGGATTGCTAAATATTGGACCTCTAAGCTCCTAAGATCCTTCTCGTTTGTTCTTCTCCAATAACTTCAACCACTTTTTAGACTTTGTTGCTTATAATTGAGATTGAGGTCTGATTCGTTATTAAGTTTTTAACCGACTTCAAAAAAGGAGTAGGTTATATGTTCGGCTGTATGTATGTTTTTTTAAAGGTCAAAACAGGCTTTTATTATTGTCTAGCTAGAATATTGCAGTAGTATTAAAGCATCGCTAGCTTACAAAAACATTAGGTGCTAATATTATGATGTTAACAAAACTATTGTATCTTACAATTGCTCAAAACTCATGGTTCAAGTGTTCTTCGAAGTTCGGACGATTTCTTTGGTCCTTAAAACACAAAGTTTACTATCAAGATCATGTTTGTCTCTAACTTACTAATTAACCTAGTCCTAAGACAAAATTATGTACGTAAACCCCTTTGCTTGAATTTGTGTCTGTCTTGTTGGTTGTCCTAAATAAATAAATAAATAAACTTTTTGTAATTTTGTAGTACTGCAGCGGAGGCACCTACGGCTCTACCAATCCGCCGGCCGCCACTCATTCCTTAGCCGCGTTAGAACCGCACGTCAGGAGGCATTGGCTGATGGCGCTACTGGTCGTTTTGTACAAGGTAAACTTAGAGAAAAATAGAACACATCTTATTGTACACAACACAAAAAAAAGAAACACACAAAAGAGACAGCACGATTTAGGTGGTCTAATCGCTATAAAATCTATCACCTTATATTGTATATCATTCATTATGGTTCTAGTTTTCACTACATTATACACAGGAGCTCGACTCTCCTAATTAACTAAAAGGAAATGGAGGATCCTATATTCCCTAAGCCCTAAGTTGATCAGACGCGATCAGGCTTTGATGTCACAAGCTTAGTTGTGTACCTGAAGACCTCTAAAAAAGAGATGGCGTGACCGCACATACTAAAACTAGTATCTCTGTTACATGTTCATGAAAATTGGTACAAATTAATGCTACTCTCTTTGCCCGAAGTTTAAAGTTATTTATAGCTACTGTTAGGATCTTCTTTATATCTAGGAAATGTTAGCAACGACATTCAAATTGGTTGAGAAAGTGTTTCTTTATCGATCTAAAATTCACTTCAATGTTGTAGGGTATCTCCACATTCATAACTTAACTATTATACCTGTTGACGTCGGGTTAAGGTTTTGTGGTTTACCGATAGATGTCACCGCGCGCTGTGACATCTATCGGTAAACCACAAAACCTTAACCCGACGTCAACAATACCCTCATTTCCAGTACCACTACAGCAGCGGGCCGGTATGCAACCAAGTGGTGTCGCTGGTGCGGATAGTCCTGCATACCGTGGAAGCGCAGCATCATCAATGCAAGAGGATCCCGCCGATGATTGTTATGCCGCATATACCGCGCCCGAGAGGTAAGTGCTGGAAGACTGAACTTTGTTTCAAAGGGATAAGGTTTAAAATTATGATGTGCAGCATCAGTGCAAGCGGATCCCGCCGATTATTGTTATGCCGCATATACCGCGCCCTAGAGGTAAGTGCTGGAAGTCTGAACTTTGTTTCAAAGGGATAAGGTTTAAAATAATGATGTGCACCATCACCAGTGCAAGAGGATCCCGCCAATGATTGTTATGCCGCATATACCGCGCCCTAGAGGTAAGTGCTGGAAGTCTGAACTTTGTTTCAAAGGGATAAGGTTTAAAATAATGATGTGCACCATCACCAGTGCAAGCGGATCCCGCCGATGATTGTTATGCCGCATATACCGCGCCCGAGAGGTAAGTGCTGGAAGACTGAACTTTGTTTCAAAGGGATAAGGTTTAAAATAATGATGTGCACCATCACCAGTGCAAGCGGATCCCGCCGATGATTGTTATGCCGCATATACCGCGCCCGAGAGGTAAGTGCTGGAAGACTGAACTTTGTTTCAAAGGGATAAGGTTTAAAATAATGATGTGCACCATCACCAGTGCAAGAGTATCCCGCCAATGATTGTTATGCCGCATATACCGCGATACTGACAATTCAATATTGTTTTGAAAAAAGAACCGATCGAAAGTGACACTACAGTGATGGATGAAAAATTCAAAATACAGTCAAACAATTTCTAAAACGTCAAGTCGCAAAAATTGGATTAATAACCCAGTTGTTAGTAGCACCTTTCTGTAAATTTCATAATTATATGGCTGTCCAACGAGGCAAAAATGGGAACTAATAGTTCAGTATTGATAGTAGCGCCTTCCTGACAATGCCATAGCTGGGACGGCTCAGTTTTGGACAACTTTTATACAAATTATTGATAAATTCAATTTTTTAAATAAAATTTAAACCTTTTTTAATTAAAACAATTTGAAAAAAAATCACTTTTAGCGTTCCTTTTACGGTATCATCGATTTTATTTATTATTATTTTTAATCACTATTTAAGACTTATCCTGCTAGTTTCGTTTCTCATTTTATACCTTATAATATTCCTATTTATGCGTAATATAATATATCAAAAACCTACCAATGTACAACTCTTTATTTTTTTGGTTGTTCTCCTTTTTTTTTTGGATGCGAGCGGGGATGGTCGACAACATGACCGCGCGGCCCTACGGAACGGATTTTCGAATTTTCGCTCGCTGGGGCCATGGGGCTCAATGATGTCCGACGCTTAATAATACGATGTAAAGACTCAAAAACAACTATATGTTAATAAAATCCTTTATTTATGTTTATAATGTAACGATTTAACAAAAAAAAACAATCGACGAAAATTTAAAACAATTGAAATTTTTACTTGGCCTGGTAGGAAAGTGCAGTGTCGGACAACATTGACCGCGTTGGCGTTCAATGTGTTAAGTTGCCTCAAGACACTGAGAGATAAATAAGTAGTTAATATTATTCATGATAATTCATGCTAAATCATGTATTTCCTCCGCCATTTTTCGCAGTTTGGCACCACACGTCACATCATTTTACCGAAGTCAGCCCTATTGGCTCCGTGCACGATTACAGCGCCAACTAGCGTCCACAACTTTGTGGGCTCTGTCACATTGACATTTAGGTCGTATATTTGTGAAAAAATATCGAAATGAAAAAATAACAAATATTTTCAACTAATAAATTGTTGTGATACCACGATTTGGGTGGAAAAAAGGTTTTGAAATCATTTTGGTCATTCAAATCAAATGAGGTAAGTCCAAAAAGTGTGTTTAATTTTGATTGTGTCAGGGTTTGTTTATAGATGACCCACGCTGAACTGTCCCGCCAAACTCAATGACAGGGGGGCGCTACCATCGTTCAACTATATGGTTTCCAACATGGCAAAAATCTGAACCAGCGATCCGGTATTGACCACTGTCAATGTCATCGACAGGACAGTCCAGTATTTTGGAACTATACTTCATTTATAGTTGTAGTTTTACAGTAAAACAAAAAGAAAAAGCTACTTTAACGGTTTCATTATATAACAGTAANTTCAAAGGGATAAGGTTTAAAATAATGATGTGCACCATCAGTGCAAGCGGATCCCGCCGATGATTGTTATGCCGCATATACCGCGCCCGAGAGGTAAGTGCTGGAAAACTTTTATTGATTTTGAGTCTTTATTAAAAGTACACAAGGTTCGAACGTAGGTAAATACTTTAAAAACAAAATGAGAAGCCGACTAGCTGTGAACTATTTTTTCAAATTTAAGTCGTTTCAAGAAAGGCACTCGCTGTCTAATATAATATTTGCCCACCAATGTTCTTTTCGTGGGCTAACGCTCCAGAGACTATCTAAGCGTCATTTTACTCTATAGTACGAATAGCCCGTCGCCCTCCCACACTGCTTATAGTCCAAAATCTATTGGGTCCCGATAAATTGTCACGCGTGATGTTTTTAAGCGAAAAAATGAATGATTGATTTATTTGTTTTTAGGTACGGTACATAGAATACCACTATTTACCTACTAGGAAAATACAGCTGCAAATCACTTACAAATCTGTGATATAGTTAATCTTTTTTTCTCGTTGGCGGTGGGACAAGTAACTCACGCACAGCGTCAAAAAATATCAAGCTACAGTATCTCTTGAAGACACTTAATTTAAGTACTGTATTCTTGCTGTTTCTTCTCAGATCTCAGCCAGCCGTCTCTCAAGACAGAGTTAGAAGCGACAACCGCGGCGGCCGGCAGCAGCCCGCTGGCAGCCCTGGAGCGCAAGCCCAAGCTGACCGCCAAGCCACACATGCACACGCACTGGGAGGAGCCCGCCAAGGCCGCCAAGTGAGTGCTGCTAAAGCCTGGTCCGTGAGCACGTAGAATCCCGTCCAATGACCCCAAGCTAACCATCCTTATCGCTCGCGCGTAATTATATTGCTGTCGCGACTGTGCGACGCGCGCCCGCAGTGAGTGTGCGAGCGCGACAGCAACATAATTACGTGCGAGCGACAAGGATGGGCAGCTTGGGGTCATTGGACGGGATTCTACGTGCTCACGGACCAGGCTTTACCAGAGTAAATACAAATGAGTAGGTCATCTTCATAGAAACGCACGGGCGCGGTTTGTATGTGAGCGCGCCAACGCGTATGCGGCGCGCACGCACACACTGACAAAATTCGGCGCAACCACGACTGGCTCCCCGCTAATCCCCGCTAAAGGCCTACTCATTTGTATTTACTTTGGTGCTACTGTTCCGCCGGAGCGCGAGCCAAGCTCACCGCCAAGCCACAAATCCTGCTACTGTCCCATACAGATGTACGCCAAGGGTCGCTTTAGACGGAGCTGGAAACGACTGGCAGCAACTGTAGTCCGCAAACATAGCCTAGGTAGGAGTCTGTCAAGGCCGCCAAGTGAGTGCTGCTACTGTCCCTGGAGCGCGAGCCAAGCTCACCGCCAAGCCACACATGCACACGCACTGGGAGGAGCCCGCCAAGGCCGCCAAGTGAGTGGCTCTTACTGTCCCATACAGGTGTAGGCCAAGGGTCGCTTTAGCTGGAGCCTAAAGTCACCACTGCAGCGGCTGGAATATATGGCAGCCTGGGAGAAGCCCGTCAAGGCTGCCAAGTGAGTGTCTGGTACTGTCCCATAGAAATGTATGCCAGAGGTCGCTTTAGATGGAGCTAGAAGTTGGAACTGCAGCGGCGGGATGCTTCCAGTTGTAATCCACAATTCCATATACATATATAGCCTACGCCACATACTTGGCATCCTTGAAGGAGCCCGCCAAGACCGTCAAGTGAGTGGCTACGGGACTATTCCCATCTCTCGTTTCCACCGCTGCAACTCCTGTGTAGCCAGGATCTACAGCTTGACCGCCAATAACAACCCAGCCAGTGAAGGTCAAGTGAGTGGCTGTTCCTGTCCCATACAGATGTAAGCCAGGGGTCGCTTAAGATGGACCCAGAAGTCATCACAGCGGCTGGTAGTAGCTGTAGTCCACATACATAGCCTATCTACTCGGCAACCTTGGAGGAGTATGTCAAGGTCGCCAAGTGAGTGCTGCTACTGTCCCTGGAGCGCGAGCCAAGCTCACCGCCAAGCCACACATGCACACGCACTGGGAGGAGCCCGCCAAGGCCGCCAAGTATGTCATCATCATCATTAGTTCATTTAGCTGTACTGTGGCTGTACTTTCAGTTCTAAGGCCTCAGCCTCGAATTTAGCGGGCAGCGGCGCGGGCAACGCAGACCCGTTCTCGAAACAAGCGGGCAGCTCGCGCGGCGCTTTAGCGGCGAAGTGTTGTGTTCGGGGTTGTGTTGTCGAGATATTTGTTTTTATTCGCGAACGAAATATCTGAACTACGGCGACAATTTTATTTTGATTCAAATTTATTCGTAACGCTCGATTTATTGCGGGCAAAAGAAGGAGTGCGCTGCCCGCTCGTTGCCCGCTCCCGCGCCGTTGTTTTCGAGAACCGGTCTATTTGATTTTACGCATAAGATCCTGCCGCTCCCGCGCCGCTACCGCCGCCGCCCCGCTGCCCGCTAAATTCGAGGCTGAGCCCTAAGACAGTCATCTCTAGAACAGCCTTTCCGAAGCTGAGTTAGGCAGCGGAGCGAGACCAGAGGCACCAGAGGTGAACCAGAGGCAAATGCAGTATTCGGCCTAAACTCCCCACACTGGCTAGATGAGTAGGAGGGGTGATATTCACATATTTTATCCCTATAGTCACAGAATAATAATAAGTAATACGTACAGAAGTTTTACTTCGCGAAGGTATTTAAAAAAATGTATGCTCAATGTCATTAACAATATGGTGTAATTTAGCCTGTCTCAAGAGTCAAGCACCATTTTGTTGACAAACGTCAGTGATCGGCACTGCGCCGAAGCTATAGTGCTGACTTCGGTAAAATGATGTGACGTGAGGTGCCAAACTGCGGAAAATGGCGGAGGAAATACATGATTTAGCATGAATTATCATGAATAATATTAACTACTTATTTACCTCTCAGTGTCTTGAGGCAACTTAAAAAAGTACATTCTGTGTTTTTATTATTATTTAGGCAGTTAAATACTGCACAGTATTTAGTACACCATTTTCTTTATTTTCTTCCATCATACACAAGAATACTCGTGGGTGAGTCAATGTTCGCTCGTATGTGAGGCCTTGTCGAATAGTATCCTGTAGGTGGGCCATCGTGCGTGTTTTGTTTTCGATGTAAACTCGCGGAGATGAACAGGCCTGCTATAGTCGCCTATTACGACATTCACAAGAAGAATGGAGGTCTGATTCTACTCTGCCGGAACACAAAAAACATTTTACATTCCTCATTTGCTCTGCTCTGGCAGCTATGATACTGAGTCAAAAACTCTAAGGAAAATTGCATTACAATTTCAACCGTTAAAGCGTCAAGAATATAAGGTACAATAGTATTCGTCACTCAAAAATCCCTTGCCGTTCCATCATCCCTACGGTGTGCGCAGTCCCTAATACTCAATTATATGTCTCTATTTAGTTATGAAGTCTTAATTTAATTTTACTATGTTTCATTCTAGATATAAACAATGGAGTTTGGAACAAGAATCATCCGAAAGCGAGTTGATAGCAATTCCAGAGACCAGCGACAAATCCGATACTACTGTCCATGGGAGCACTGCGCCGGTAAATACGTATAATTTATACATAGGTATCAAAATAATGATTACAGTGCATTTTGTATGTAGTCAACTTCAATGAATATTTTCATAATGAGCAAACATTTTACTACTATTAAAAAGCTGAAGGGTTTGTTTGCTTGAACGCTTTAATCTTAGGAACTACTGGTCCGATATGACAAAATATTTTTGTGTTAGATAGCCTATTTATCGAGGAAGGCTTTAGGCTGTATAAAATTATCCTGCAGCCAATAGGGGCGGAGCAGTAAAGAAAAATGTTGCAAAAACGGGAAAAAATATTCAAAACATTTTCACGCGTAGGTACACACGGCCACACTGTTAACTATCCATTTCCGTTTTTGCTCTCGCTCTAATCAAATGGTGATTCTTTGCGATAGAACGAAATGACATGACGGGCCATGGGCAGTTAACACTGTTGCCGATAGTACGTAGTCGCGGGCACAGCTAGTACCTAAATTTTTCTATTGGCAATGTGTCTTGTGCTCGTGTTTTGTGCTACTATTTTGTTACTGTATTATTATTTTGGAATACTTTTTAGGGATCCTTCGATGAGCCTTCTCACTACGAGGACCCGCCGCCCAAGATCGAAACGCCAGCCGCCTCAGCTCATCCACCGTTGAATAAGATTAGTGTAAGTTACATTATAAAACTTTTAACTAAAGAGATAGAGCACTAAGGCTGGGTTGCACCATCTTACTTTAACTTTAATAAACGTCAAAAGATTGTCAAACTCCATACAAAATCACTGGTTATTGTTATAGTTACGGTTAAATCTAGGTGGTGCAACTCAGCCTAAATGTTGAAAAGTTTCATTGGTTATCTTACCTACCTTATGATAAGTGAATAAGATTCAAATTATACGGCGACAATATATGGCACAGATCCCTATAAAGGGCTAGTCGGCTTAACTACGATGGCGTCAAATCAAATAAAATCATTTATTTACATACAGACTCGGTACATTTGATGGTAAAAAATAAAATAAAATATATCTACATATCTCGCCATGGTTTATCGTCGCCATCGTCGCTATAGTTTTGTTGTTATACGTTGTATATTGCACTTGGCTTAGCTATGGTGTGTACTGTATATAAATCGTATATATTTCTGTATACGCAGACGGCCGTCGGGTCTCGTTCTGCTCACCAGCTGTCTACCAGTTCATCCGTGTCGATTGGCAGCGATTCTTCTAATTTGTAAGTAAATTCGTATACAGGTTGATTACTTAATTTTCAGATGTAAAATGATGATGTAACTTTTTAATGTTGATGTCGCTCCCATAGGGAACGCTATTGAAAACAGTAGAATCAACCCTTTTCGTTGTTGAAATACAAAGAAGTTGGAAAAAGTGTAGAAAATAATATAGTAAATTATGTACTTTTGTACCTTTTAGAAAACTTTTCTTATTTTCAACCGACTTCAAAAAAAGGAGGAGGTTCTCATTTTCTCTCATATTCGACCCGTATGTTTTTTTTTCCTATGTTTGTTACGCGATAACTCCGCCAATTATGAACCGATTTGAACAAATCTTTTTTCGGCGTATAGGTAATACCTCAAGGGTGGTCCCATTTAAATTTAATAATAAAAAAAACAACCCCCAAGGGTGGAAAATTGGGGATGAACTTTTTTACACGCAATATCTCCGCCGATTATTAACCAATTTGAACGATTATTTTTTTGTTGAATAGTTATTATTTGTGTTCACGCATTTGAAGTCGGTTTTTTTTTAAAGTTATGTTATTGGTACAGAAAATCAACCCCAATGAGCGGCCAGTCGGTGGAAATATGGCCCGACCAGTTGCATCAACAGACATCCCCTCGGGCTAAAATACTTGGAAAACAGAAACGGATTGTTGGTAAGTCTAAATTTAAAACAAACAAGGATATTTAAATATTTGTTTACATCCCATAAATCGATTTATGTTATTTAGTTATTTTTTTTATTTTTTATGCAAGACATAGCAGGTTTTTGACCGCAGTCTTGCAGTCTTAAAAATTGAGTAAAGTCACGCCTTTAAAAATATGAACATCAAGTTGAGCAAGTCTGAAACATAGCTACGCTGGTATCAGCAGGAAACACCTACTAATATTGTACGCAAAGTTGTCGTCTTGTATATTTAGGGAAATTGTGTCCATTTGCTAGCACTACAGGCTGTATATTTTTGCCACAGTGGGTAGCAGTACTTCGCCTGATACGGCGCCGTCTTCGAACGGCGATGGACTGGCCGCGACGCACCACCATCCCAGGCACAGGAGTCCAGGCAAGTAATATCATAACTTGTTAGTTCGGTCATTCGTTTCAGCCGAAAGACGTCCACTGCTGCACAAAGGCCTCCCCAAGGATTTCCACAAAGAAAATCCTGCGCCGCTCGCATCCAGGCACCTCCCGCGACCTTCACCAGATCGTCGGTCCACCTAGTGGGGGGCCTGCCTACGCTACGTTTTCCGGCTCGTGGTCGCCACTCAAGAACTTTCCTGCCCCAGCGGCCATCAGCTCTACGCCGCCGCCCACTGCCACCTGATTTTACAATTCTGCGGGCTATGTCAGTCACTATGGTTCTCCTACGGATCTCCTCATTTCTGATTCGATCACGCAGGGAAACTCCGAGCATAGCCCGCTCCAACGCCCTTTGGGTGATATTGAGCCTTCTTATGAGGCTCATAATAAGCGACCACGTCTCAGATCCGTATACTATCACTTTTGTCTTGAGACACTGCAAAATCCTTGGATTGAAACTTGTTAGTAATCTGTGGTAACTTTGCATAGTTTGGGACTAGAGGCGCGGTGTAAAAAGATAGGATCCAAGTATATTAATATTATAAGTGCCTCCTGCAATGCCACTACTTTAATAGTATAAGTGACTAAACTTTTAGACGATAAGTGCATGGGCTTGTTGTCTAAAATCAATAAAATGTCTCGATAAAACGATATAATGGCGCGCATTCCAGGCTAGCAGATGATGATGACGTTAAAAACGACTAATATTTATTATTATGCGTGTACGCAGTGAAGTGTGGCAATCCCTATGCGTCGCCGGAGTCTCCGCTATCAAAGATGGAACTCGCGTGGAGCGCCGTACCGCTCGCGCCGCATCCACCGCCTCACCAGCCCTTCCACATCCCGCCACAGGAGAGGTAAATACTATTGAAATATGGCCGTAAATAAAATATATTTCTTCCATTTTAAACTGAATATATTTCATCAAACTAGCTTTCCGCCCGCGGCTTCGCCCGCGTGGAATTTTGTCTGTCACAGAAAAACTTTATCGCGCGCGTCCCTGTTTCAAAAACCGGGATAAAAACTATCCTATGTTCTTTCCCGGGACTCAAACTATCTCTATGCCAAATTTCATCAAAATCGGTTGCGAGGTTTAAGCGGGAAAGCGTAACAGACAGACAGACAGACAGACAGACAGACAGACAGAGTTACTTTCGCATTTATAATATTAGTTGGGATAAAACACCAGAAGCTATTACACCCGTCTATAGAATCAGTTGACAATAAGATGACGGTCATCAAAACATAAAGAAGAAAAGTATGCTCTATGGAAGCTATCCACGGAGTTCCGTATAAACAGTAAATTAATTTTTGCACTTCAAATCAATTACATTCAACAAATGCAGGGTGACTTGTTTATTTATTTATTTATATAAACCAAAAGAGATACATAGAAAATATTAGTTTAAGATTTAGACTGATAATATAGCCAATAACAGGTTTCCCTCATTATAAAAGTATAATACATGTTAGGATTAAACATCCTTCTAATAGATTATAGTACCGGTTACCTAAATGCGACCAATTTAGCTATGCTTACGCAAAAGTCAATAATTTATGAAATATTTTGATTTTAAGTTTCTCTTGTGAAATTAAATTGTTTCACAAAGCCCAATTTATATCATTAATAGTTAATTTCAAATACTGGTTAAAAAAATCGTAAATCCGTGGTTGACTATCCCCAAAACCAGTGGCATGCAGGCATACCTTTTTGTAAATTCCCTTTTCCATAAACTCTCCATTTCTTATGTCAATGCCAACGAAAATCACATTTTGATTTTTTGCTTTTCCCCCCAATCGTCATTCGTAACTTCCATATTTCATTCCATTGGCCATAGATAACAAATAATTATGATTTGTTTCAGACTCTTGCCAATAGGACCGAAACCGAACAAGGAGCAGTATCCAGTGTTCAATGCTTTAGTCGATCGAGTGAGAGAAGCATTAAGCCTACCCGCAGGTAATTAATTTACGTTAACAACTAAAACCTATACAAAAGAATTCATTGTCAAGTTATTAATTAATTTTGAAACATTTTTACAGACGATTCAACAGACAAGACTGATTCAAGTCGATCGGAGCAAGAACCTACGCCCACTCCTCAGACGAGACCTCAGGACTTGACCAAAAAGCTGTCTTCTGAAGGGACAAGGTAGTTATGTCAAATTATAAAATATCTTCTTAAACGTAAAAATACAGTTATAAAGACAGAAAATTCGCGGCAATGATTTACGCATGCAAGTTTGACTTGCAGTGAATTTATAGGCGTCGCTTTTCGGTGAAATCGCGCGTTCAACGAAATGTAAACGTCACGTGATATCTCATTATATCTACCCCTACAATTTCTGATATTTATTAATTTATTTAGGAAAACCAGGGTTATACAGTGTATACTAATGACAAGTTAGGCAACAAGTAAACCACTTATACACTCGCGAGCAAAAGTATGGAATCACCCTGTTTGTTATGATCGATCGTAAGAACTAAATGACTTATAGAAGATAAATAAAAATGGTACCATTTTAAAGGTGACATTATATACTTTAAATTGATGCCATAGATACATTCAAAGGCATTCAGTTCTTAAGATGGCTCGGAACAAAACACAAGGGGGTGATTCCATACTTTTGCTCGTAAGTATAGTTTTCTACAGGTAAAAAAACAATTTAAACAATTAGCGAGCCTTTGCACGGATTACACACTACGTACAGTACAGTATAATACATGTTGTAAAATAGCACCTACCACAACAATATAAAACGCCACAGTGTTAAGTTGACATGTTCCCCTTTATATGTAAGGTTGTAATAGACAGTTTGACACCATACCCCAATAATTCGAAACCACAACTGTTTTAAAAAGACTTCATTCTGGTCTTAAAAACCTAATTTATTTTAAATTACCTGTAAATTTCGATTTTTGTTCGAATTGTGATTGAAAAAAGTAGTTTAATTGGGTTGACAAAATAGTGACGTCACTTGCTTGTAGTGCCATACAAAATGTATGGGAGAGTTTCGTTTTGACAGTTTTAAAAAGTACGTCAATTGACTGTGGTGTCAACATGTCTATTGTGTATATTGTATCAGGTCGCGGGGTGCTTCGCCCCGGAGGCTGGCGCGCCAGGTGGCACAGACCGGCTCCCCGCCGCATCATCATATGCCAAGACGTCCGCTGTCCACTGGTCAGTATACCTTTAGTCATCGCGTCACGTTCAGATGAATGTAATTCTTAAACGCAATGGTGAACTTAAATGAATTTTTAACCAGTTTATAATGAAGAATTAAGCTACCTGCCCAATTTTTTTCAGATTTTTGTGTTGGCTAGAAATATCCCATTCTCATTTTTTTTTAACACCTCTCTTTGCTCGACAGTATTGCCAATTTGTAAGCACTAATACCAGGACTTTTCATCTCCGCGAGTTTACATCGAAAACAAAACACGCACGATGGCCCACCTACAGGATACTATTCGACAAGGCCTCACATTGACTCACGCACGCGTATTCTTGTGTATGATGGAAGAAAATAAAGAAAATGGTGTACTAAATACTGTGCAGTATTTAACTGCCTAAATAATAATAAAAACATAGAATGTACTTTTTTAAGTTGCCTCAAGACACTGAGAGGTAAATAAGTAGTTAATATTATTCATGATAATTCATGCTAAATCATGTATTTCCTCCGCCATTTTCCGCAGTTTGGCACCTCACGTCACATCATTTTACCGAAGTCAGCCCTATAGCTTCGGCGCAGTGCCGATCACTGACGTTTGTCAACAAAATGGTGCTTGACTCTTGAGACAGGCTAAATTACACCATATTGTTAATGACATTGAGCATACATTTTTTTAAATAAAAACTTCTGTACGTAGTACTTATTATTATTCTGTGCTAATACTCAAGCCTTAATATCATGGGATATGTCCACAGATAGCGGCTGCGAAGGCGGCGACGCGGGCGACTGCGGCTCATGCGGCTCTGGCGGCTCGGGCGGCTGGTGGGACGACGGCTCGCGCGCCGCACACGCCGCCGCCGCGCGAGCCGAGACCGCGCTGTGCTACCGCTGTGAGTACAGACACCGCGCTGTGCTACCGCTGTGAGTACAGAGACCGCGCTGTGCTACCGCTGTGAGTAGTCGAGTACACTAACAGATAGCGGCTGCGAAGGCGGCGACGCGGGCGACTGCGGCTCATGCGGCTCCGGCGGCTCCGGCGGCTGGTGGGACGACGGCTCGCGCGCCGCACACGCCGCCGCCGCGCGTGCAGAGACCGCGCTGTGCTACCGCTGTGAGTATACCTACCTACACATGTCATCATTGTCATCATTTCAGCCACAGGACGTCCACTGCTGAACATAGACCTCCCCCAATGATTTCTACATCGCACGGTTGGTCGTCGGTCCACCCACAAGGTGGACCGAAGACATAATAAATGTAGCAGAAAGGCGCTGGACGCAGGCCGCTACCAACCAGGCAACATGGAAAGCATTGGGGGAGGCCTATGTTCTGCAGTGGACGTCCTATGGCTGAGATGATGATGATGACGGTTGGTATCGGCCTGATTCCAGCACCTTCCCGCTACCTTTATCAGGTCGTCAGTCCACCTTGTGGATGGACGTCACACGCTGCGTTTTCCAGTACGTGACCTCCACCAGTTCTGCGTACTATGTGCCCTGCCCATTACCACTTCAGCTTGATAATCTGTCGAGCTACAAAAATGCCACCATGTCGGTCCGAGTACAGGAGCAAAGCTTGACGGCGATACCTCTGCAGCGAGGCGTGAGACAGAGAGAAATTATATCTCCGAAACTGTTCACAGCTAAATGGAAAGGATACACACATGTATCAGGTCAATAGATCTCGCACACAGTCAGTGCCAGAAGTATGGAAGCGGCGCGCACTTAAAACTTCCCGTGTGGCTCCCATACCTACTGGACAAAAGCCTCCTTCAAGTTTCGTCATCGTCTTAACTAAACTGGGAATGCATAATCAGAATTCAAGTTGAGTTCTTGAAAATACAGGTTTAATAAACTTCTAATACAATAGTAAGACACGGGTCTTAACGTGACGTTTATTAATACATACATAATAATGTTACATTATGGTGATGCAAATAAATATCTATATATCTATCTATCTACCGTGAGTACATAATGTAACTCATTAATAAACGTCGCGTTAAGACCCGTGTCTTACTATTGTAGTTGAAATTGAACGCGAAAGTTTAAAACCTCATAAACTTCAAATTTCCAGGTGCTGAATGCGGGATAGCAGTGGAACAGTACAGCGACGAAGAACTGGGCCTCTGCGTGATAGCGCTCGCTACATTCGTGCACAGGGAACCAGCTGCGGCCGCTGCTGTTCTGCCCGCACTGTTACACGCCGTCAGCAGGTAAGGGAGAGTCCGCTAATTTGGACCAGTTTTTTTCAATCCCATTTTACACATAGTTTTGTTTTGTTTTTGCTAATGTCCATGGTATATAATAAAAGATACATTATTCAACTTACTATTTCATAAGTATTAATTAACATGATTGTTGTATATTTAGCACAAATTAACAAAGTACAAGTTCAGAGCTTCGGTCCAATTTAGCCAACCGGTTTGATAATTTGTACCACAGGGTTACTAAATTGGATTTCAATAAATTTCAAGCCTATAAAAAAACTATGGCAAAATATTATACGATACATTCTTAACAAATTAGGAAACGAAAAGGAACAGTAGTTAATAACATAGACAATCGATATTGATTTACACGTTATCACGATTTTGAGTACAAGTTTTGTAATTCCAATTATCGTAACGCACACTTGTACCTAATCTACTTTGCCAGTCTTTTGCTTTCATTTATTGTTAGTCAAACATAACTACGCTATTACAACTTCAAAATATGATTTACTCAAAAAAAATTCAAAATCCTTTGGTAAAGTTCCATACAACTTGATGTGGTACAATTTAGCCGACTAGGTGATAGTGCTTTTAAAAAATCGGTAAAAAATATAGCTCATAAATACCGAAAAATGTTTCAAATAATTGTAATCCACACTAATTTACGCTTCTAAATAATATATTAGAAACACCCTGTGATTAAATTTAACAAAATTACAAACTAAACATGTATTGTCAAAAGTTACTTGAAAACAATGAAAAAATACTTTTCAAAATAAAACTCACGTGTTTGTTGTCACGGCAAAAACCACATGGCCGATATTAATTGATTTTAGTTGTGTATCGCTGAGTGTTGCAATTACAGACATTCAATAAATACTTTACGAAATATGGGGGTGGTACAATTTACCCGGCGGTACAATATACCGAACTCTCCCCTATATTTAATTTATTTATTTCAAAACTTGATGGCACAAATTTGATAGTATTACAGCTAAAAACTACCATCGAATGGGAGACATAGTGTGGGTAGGCCCTCCACTACGTGGACCGACGATTTGGTGACGGTCGCGGGTGGTACCTGGATCGCAGTGCAGGAGCGATCGTTGTGTAAATCTTTAGGAGAGGCCTATGTCCTGCAGTGAACGTCATTCGAGTGAAACGAACAGATAAAAGCGTGATCTCTGCCAGTCTACCTTTGGGACTTGCAACTTAACAGTAACCAGTGTCAGTGAAGGCTTAAGCTGTTTATAAGTGTGTTTAAACTGTGTATAAGCATGTGCAGGCCTTAATTTTTTTTTATTAACCCTCAACATTCTGTTTCATTGACCACACGTAACAAATCATTTGTGCAAAAATGAACCTTATCTCTTCACTCACAAGGTGGTACATAGGGAACTACTTAGCCCATCCCTCGTTCCAATCTGAACCTTATCTCTTCACTCACAGGGTGTCACAGCTAGGCAACTACGTAGCCCATCCCTCATTCCAATCTGAACCTTATCTCTTCACCCACAGGGTGGTGCAGCTAGGCAACAACGTAGCCCATCCCTCATTCCAATTTGAACTTTATCTCTTCACCCACAGGGTGGTGCAGCTAGGCAACCACGTAGCCCATCCCTCATTCCAATCTGAACCTTAATTCTCTACTCACAGGGTGGTAGTATAGCTAGGCAACTACGTAGCCCATCCCTCGTTCCAATCTGAACATTAATTCCTTACCCACAGGGTGGCACATCTAAGCAACTACGTAGCCCATCTCTCATTCCAATCTGAACCTTAATTCTTTACCTACTTTACCCACAGGGTGATGCAATTAGGCAACTACGTAACCCATCCCTCATTCCAATCTGAACCTTAATTCTTTATCTATAGGGTGTCACAGCTAGGCAACTACGTAACCCATCCCTCATTCCAATCTGAACCTTAATTCTTTACTCACAGGGTGGTGCAACTAGGCAACTACGTAGCCCATCCCTCATACTGAACTCTCCTGATTCTGAATCCCTCATTCCAATCTGAACCTTATCTCTTCACCCACAGGGTGGTGCAGCTAGGCAACTACTCGTGGCAGGCCGAGACAAACACGCGTCTCCCGGGCAGCGCCGTGTTCGTTGCACATCAGTTCTTACGCTGTGTGCTTCATCAGCTGGCGCCTAATAACGTCTTCCTGCAGATCTTCCTTCAGAGGACCCCTGGTGAGTACTAGAATAAGCTTTATGTATGAACCTTCCATGAAACATGTTTGTGTTAGTGCCCAATAGATGTCACTGTATTTTGAGACGCGTAAAGCTGTACCGCGGTGTCCAGATTTTTTTCCCCGGCTTTATATACCTGGAGGATTTTGACACCATTGTGAACCATTGACAACCTGTGTCAAGCATTAAATTGTCACCTACATATTGACGTCTTATTTATACCTAGATAAGAGTCCCTTAAGTGCGCCGAGAGTATCCGTAGTTTATTCACTTTATTTGGATAAGAGAGTTCAAAATTACCATTGAGTTTTGGACCTTCGTTCGTTGCAGCCGAAAGACGTCCACTGCTGGACAAAGGCCTCCCCCAAGGATTTCCACAAAGACCGGTCCTTCGCGACCTTCGGTGACCTTCACCAGATCGTCGGTCCACCTACTGGGAGGCCTGCCCACGCTACGTCTTCCGGCTCGTGGTCGCCACTCAAGAACTTTCTTGCCCCAGCGGCCGTCAGCTCTACGAGCTATGTGCCCTGCCCACTGCCACTTGATTGACTTTGGACCTTAACATAAGGGAATAGGGTTCCAAGTAATGTGGTTACTATGTTACCAGGTGCTCTGGTGAAAACACAGAATAGCTTCTAAAATGACTCATAGGCGGATATTCGGAGATCAGCAAGTAAGATATATGTTTGTATTTGAACTGACAGAGAATGCCTTAAGGCATTAAGTTCGCCTTTTGTACTGCAATTCTTTTGTTTTGTGTGTAATAAAATTATGACTACGTATGAAAAATCCTGGCTCCGTGAATATTACGTAGCGATTTACTTAACCGATTTAGTCCCAGACGGCACCCATTGACTTTGTATTGTTCCAGAAAAACAACGCCTGATGTTCTTCAAGAGCATCGCGCAAGCGTTCGTGGACTTCAACGAGTTGTACCCGTGCGGGCCTTTACAGCTTGTGGTCGAACATCTGAACTCCAAGAAGACCCTGCCGATTGACGTAAGTGTAGCATAAAGGACGTAGCATACTTATCAACTCGGAAGGGGAACGTAACCGTATCAACTCGAGGCGTAGTATTCTTTGTATGAAACTCCATACTGCAACGCACACTTATGCGCACCGTAACGTAAAATCCTCGCCTCGCGAAAGGCGATACGGTGTTGATCCCTTTCCGAGTTGATAATAATTCTGCTATGAGTATAGTATAAGTCGACACATACATTTTATGTTCAAGGACCGAGTAGCCAGTCCAGGATGCTCGCCGTATTAAAATCTGACCGATGATTTTAGACGACAAAATATATGGGTATATCGCGTAAAATCGATAAAATAGCGCGATAAAAGCTTATCGCGGTATACATCCTAGGCCTACAGGACACGATAATCTACTTGATGATCGTCAAAACCCGATTCCCTTGGACGAATAAACCACTGGACGCGTAACGAGTGACGTTTTCGTCTTTACCCCGCTAGCACTTACCAAGGCTAAATTAGCCATGGTAAATGTTGTCAGGTTGTCACTTTGTCAGTATGACGCGAGCTCTCGAAGAGTAAAAATATCACGAAAAATGGGTAAATGCGCCGTACTTTATTGCAAAAATTATTCCGGTCACACAAGAAATGTTTCTTATCACGCGTAAGTACATTTTAAATCTATTATAGTAGCTATTTTTTCGTAAAATAAATAAAATTTGATATGTAAACAAAATATGATTACGTCATTTTAAAAAGTACTCATTGTACATGTAAATGCTTAAAACATGTAGCATATTTAATTTGGTTGGATTATAGGTTTCATTCATTCATTCACATCTCATTTTTTATGACGTAAAGGGCTTGAAAAATGTCCATAAGTTTATCGATATACCAAACAAACTGAAACTGAAATTATTCAAATTAATTTTAGATTTCCAGTGGATCCAAATAGAAGGAGAAAGTGGATAGAGGCAGTCAGAAGACAAAATACGTGGATTTCAACTAAAAACCACTACATTTGTAGCATTCATTTTGCGGAAGAATGCTACAATGCCAATTCTACGAAACAGAGAAACTGCACAAAGATTCTATACCTACATTGAATTTGCCTAAATTTGGAAGTACAATCATTATCAAATTTTATTAGATATTTTATCTTAAAAGTCAACTAATTCACCAAAATATCAGTAGACACAAAACATTTATGGTTCAAATTGTGTAACTGGTATGGCTCAAAAAATAAGGAGACATATAAAGTGCCCTAAAGGGCTACCTTTTTTAGGGTTTCGTAGTCCTGACAAGGAACCCTTATAGTTTTGCTATGTCTGTCTGTCCGAGGTTTTGCTTGGAAACTATTGGCACTAGAGAGCTGTAATTTTGTGGAGGTATGTATATTAATCACGCCGATAAAACAGTAAGATAAAATTTTGAAAAAAAAATTTATTACGGTAGCTAGTTGCTTTACATCTAGGGGTAGGTACATGTAAAGTGGGGGTGAATTTTTTTTATCTTCTACCTCATCGTGTGGGATATCGTTGGACAAGTCTTTTAAAATTGCTTAGGGGTTTCTAAGTCTATTTTTCCATTTAGAGATCTGTTTGCAAATTATTAAAGTTTAAAGTGCCAATTTTTTTTCGAGTCCCCTCTAAAAACTAAACCGTTAGCTTGAAAAATCTGGGAAAATTCATAATAATAATTTATTTTATGAACTTTCAAGGAAAACTATAACGGTTAAGGTACATCAGTTAGTTTAGGAGTAATAGTCATTTGACTCATGTATTATACTTAACTAATAAAAATTCCTTAGAAGAAAATACAAAAAGTTACTTTAATGAAGTAATTGCTTGCTTCTAAAATATATTGTGTTAACGACGGACAACAATCACGGAACCCTACATTACGCGTGGCCCCCGCCCGACACGCACTTGGTCGGTTTTTTTTTAAGTCATCTTTGACATTCATAAGTGCCAAAACACTGGTCAAAAGACAATGCCGGAAATTGGCGTCTTTTTTTTTTCGCGCGGCCCTCGACCAAACTTTGTTTTTTGATTACAAAATAGTGTAATAAACCAAACTTACTATGACATGTATACCTCTAAACTCAGTCTGAACTGAGTTACGAGCATTAGAAGTTTGATGATTTTCATACTAGATTTGCTTTTTGCGCGCAAAGTTTTGTAAGAAATTGCAACAAAATAGTGAGATTGTATCGGCCGAATACTGAAACGCCATTTAAATATTTGACGGCTTCTCAAATAGTTAAGCAGCTCCTAAACTTACATTTCGCATACTCAAAACAATATCTGAGCAGTTCTCAATTTTTAAGCACCTCTCAAATTAAGTTGGACTCAAACGCCACTCAAATGAATTTTCGCATACTGAAACGCCATTCAACGCTAAGCATTACTCAAACAACTGTCAAATCGTCTTGAGCAGCCGTTAAATTTGAGAGTGCTTGCGCGGTATCTTAAATCCTATTCTTATACCTAAATCGACCTAAATAGTGGTAAATAATGTCTGTGTCATCGTTATCATTTCTTTCGAGGCTCGAGGAGATACCTAGATCTAATCGCAGGAACGTAATAAAGCTGAACGCTATTGAAAAATATTATTATAATGACATGCAATTCCGAGCGAGGTTCCGCGTCTCTAAAGAAACGGTGTTGTTTCTGGATTCATAATTTGGAAGCTCTTTGAAACCCCTCACCAAACGCCATACAACCAGTGGACCAAATACTTATTATAACCCTACTTTTCTACGCAACGGGAAGTTATGAACGTGTACTAGGTGATATCTTCCACATCTAACAGCCAACTGTGCATCGTATAGTGCACGAAGTAACAACCAAAATAGCTGCTATGAAATCGCATTACATAAACATGCCTATTTCTGAGGAATAAGGGGACATCGCATAGCAGCATTTCCAAGAGTTGTTGAATTGATTTGTCAATTTGATGCTCTGTCAACAATGATAAATGTCAATTGTGGTTACGTTTCGGTCCACGATCGCCACTTAATAGATTTCAACAATAAAAAGTATCACCTTTAAAATTGTTTTTTTAATTCAATAATAATGCAAGCATTATTTTTTTTTATATGATAAAACGAGATTTATATTTAATAGAAACTAAAAATAAACTGTTCTATGTTAAGTTGATTGAGTATATTTCCATAAAAGACAATACATAACCAAACGATGCTGCGTGTAATGGATAAAAAACGTAAAGTTATCATTTGTGTAAATGAAAACATACTTTTTTTGGTAAATGTTGCCATTATGGAAACATTTGAGAGCTGCTTAGCTGATCATGGCTTCAAATCCGTTGAGTGGCGTTTGAGAATACCATTTAAAATTGAAGGATACTTAAATTTAGGAGCCCGTCAGCTGAGTGACAGATTTGAGTAGTGTTTCAGTATTCGGCCGTTAGTGTAACAAACAATACCATCCATTAAAGGCTCCAGACATCAGTATGGAGCAGAATCAGCGTAATAAAAAAATAGCGCAATATTTTGTTGCAATTTCTTACAAAACTTGCGCACAAAAAGCAAATCTTGTATGAAAATCATCAAACTTCTAATGCTCGTAACTCAGTTCAGACTGAGTTTAGAGGTATACATGCCATAGTAAGTTTGGTTTATTACACTATTTAGTAATCAAAAAACAAAGTTTGGTCGATGGCCGCGCGAAAAAAAAAAGACGCCACCTTCCATACAAAATCTGGCATTGCCATTTGAATAAAATATTTATGATTTGATAGATTTTTTTGTTTTGATAATTTTAGTCACATGAAACAAAAGATGATGAGATCGACATAGATGGAACATACAAAACAAGCACACCAGTAAATGTAAGTAATAATTACACCTTTTTTGAAATATGTTGTACATCAAAATACTGGTCAAATTTGAATAAAATATTTTTGATGTTGATTGATTTTTTGGCTTTATTTTAGTCACATGAAACAAAAGATGATGAGATCCACACAGATGGAACATACAATTTAAACTTTTCATTGCATCTAAATATTAAAACAAATTACAAAAATACGCCAAATGACTACGATTACATTATTATTATTTTTTATTTTATTAGCAGGTTTTATTTTCGGTATGCAATACCGAGGTGGAACCTTTTAGATCGGTGTCATCCATCACGTTTAGTGAAATACCGGGGTGGTTGGAACTTGATTTGGTCCATCCTGTCATCAACTGTTTTTCAATGGGACGACTTCTGAACATCAGAGAGATCTTGACTGTCAAGATACGTGAATTAGGCCACTGAACTTTTCAAAACAAAACCAACACAGGTGAAATATCTGAGCATCTCCCTTGACAACAAATTGAACTGGGCGAGTCATATCGACAACATGCATAGTGCCTAGCAAACATAGCAGCCACGGGTTGTATGAGAACCACTCTTATCGGCATCACTTGACTTCTTTCTGAATCTCAGACATTTAGACCTCATTATTCAGGAGGAAGCACAAGCACCCACTCTAAGACTTAAAGGAAACGATCTATGAAAGCAAAACAAGGAGACAGGATATCCCGCGATTCTGCACAAAACCCTAAAAGAAATACCCCTCATCAACAGGATAGGTACCCTGTGTACACATCTTCGACCAAAGATAATATCCAGCTTACAGCGGAAACGCGAAATTGCTCTGGAATCAATGAAGTTAGGATATACCTACCGACGTCCTCAAAACCGAAATAAGTACTTGAATTCTTTCTGAATCTCAGATATTTAGACCTCATTATTCAGGAGGAAGCACAAGCACCCACTCTAAGACTTACAGGAAACGATCTATGAAAGCAAAACAAGGAGACAGGATATTCCGCGATTCTGCACAAAACCCTAAAATAAATACCCCTCATCAACAGGATAGGTACCCTGTGTACCCATCTTCGACCAAAGATAATATCCAGCTTACAGCGGAAACGCGAAATTGCTCTGGAATCAATGAAGTTAGGATATACCGACGTCTTCAAAACCGAAATAAGTACTGGGAGGTCTTCTCGAATGACCTAAACATAAGAATATTAACAACATTAGATAAGAATTAAATAATCTCAGATAGTGCATCCGTACTGAAAGCGCTACAAAGCAATACATTGTCATAATGATATCAAATTGTGTTTTATGAAATGTATAGAAATAGGCTATTGATGAAACTTTTGTCCGTGACGTGAGACAGATTATAACATTTGTTGAGACCAAAAGCTAGTTAGCAGTCGATCGTAACAGAATATTACTTGTTTATTGCTTTACGAATTTGATAATGATAACACAGCCAAAAAATATTTCACCTAGTTACCTACCTATATGAATAATTTGTAATATTATTTGTACCTATGATTTACCAATGGCATTATAATAAACACGATACAATAATTAATTATAGTCTTTCAATTAAAGAAACTTTCAATATTAAATCAATCCATAATTCATTTATCTCGTTAGGTTCATTCATTCATTCATTTACATAACTATCGATAAAAATTTACGATCTTTTCCCAGCACTAAATGTCATTAATTGACAATTGTCAAACCTCTCCCCCCGCAAAAAGTGGTTGATCGTGTTTCCTTAGAAATCTTGTAGGTTTCGTGTCCAGTGGTTTATTCGTCCAAGCCGATTCCCCAATACGAATGACGTCACTTTTTCGCTTACTTAAATTACTCAACATGAATTTTCGAGACAATTTAAAGTGAATTTTAAAAAAGTGGTGTCGTTTAATTCTGGTTTTTTGTAAGGTATAGACTACACCATGATTATATGTTTATTTTAACTTATTTGTCCGCAGCAAATAACAATAATAGCGGGCAACATAGCGATGTACCTCGAATGTCTCGCGCCCGAAGCGCTAGGGCCGCCCAGCGCGTGCGCACCGTTACTGCAGCAACTCGACGCGCTTCTGCGCAGCACTGCGCTACAACTGCAGCAGTTAGATGACGTGTTGCCACTGCTGCGGTGTGCCATCGCCATTCTTAAGCTACCCGCCGCTGCCATGCACAAGGTATATACCCTTGGTAGTAGTGTCATACCCCTAAATTTTTTATTTATATGACAGGAGGCAAACAAGCAGACGGATCACCTGATGGTAAGTGATTACCGTCGCCCATAGACAGACCCAGGGGCGTAACAGGTGCGTTGCTGGCCTTTAAGGTGAAGATACGCTCTCCTCTTGAAAGCTTGCAGGTCGTATCCGTCCGGAAACACCGCAGACGACAGTCCATTCCACAGTTTGGTTGTACAGGGCAGGAAGTACCCCTAGACTTCCCCATCCCCAGTCGACAAAGTACATGATGTCGTGCCCTGCGTGCCCAAACAACGGCACGCAGGAAGATTTAAAGTAGGCTACTGACAACGCCCTCTCGTGGCGGAGTTTTGGGCTGACACTGTGTAGGTTTGTTGTCGATACGACAAGATAAGATTAAGCTATGTCATCAAGAAGAAGTAGAGCAAAAGATGTCTCGCGCCCGAAGCGCTAGGGCCGCCCAGCGCGTGCGCACCTTTACTGCAACAATTGGACGCGCTTCTGCGCAGCACCGCGCTGCAGTTACAGCAATTAGATGACGTGCTGCCGCTGTTGCGGTGCGCCATCGCCATTCTTAAGCTACCCGCTGCTGCCATGCACAAGGTACATACCCTTCAGTAGTAGTGTCAGACTCCGCTCAAGTACTTCTAGATGACAGCACTTTCAGCTTTATGGATTCTTGGATGGCTCAAACTTGGAGTGCAAGTGTGGTTTTGTTCCCCAGTCGACAAAGCACATGATGTCGTGCCCTGCGTGCCGTTGTTTGGGCACGATTTAAAGAAGGCTACTGACAACGCCCTCTCGTGGCGGAGTTTTGGGCTGACACTGTGTAGGTTTGTTGTCGACACGACATGATAAGATTAAGCTATGTCATCAAGAAGAAGTAGAGCAAAGATGTCTCGCGCCCGAAGCGCTAGGGCCTCCCAGCGCGTGCGCACCTTTACTGCAACAATTGGACGCGCTTCTGCGCAGCACCGCGCTGCAGTTGCAGCAATTAGATGACGTGCTGCCGCTACTGCGTTGTGCCATCGCCATTCTTAAGCTACCCGCCGCTGCCATGCACAAGGTACATACCCTTCAGTAGTAGTGTCAGACTCCGCTCAAGTACCTTTAGAAGATAGCACTTTAAGCTATGTTATCAAGAAGAAGTAGAGCAAAAGGTGTGACAACTCGACGCGCTTCTGCGCAGCACTGTGATGCAGTTACTGCGCTGTGCCATCGCCATTCTTAAGCTACCGATCGCACTTACACACAAACACTCCCTCAAGTACCCTTAGACGACAGCACATTAAGCTACGTCATCAGGAAGAAGTAGAGCAAAAGGTGTGACAACTAGACGCGCTTCTGTGCAGCACCGCGCTACAGTTACTGTTCTGTGCCATCGCCATTCTTAAGCTACCGATCGCAGCTATGCACAAGGTAATCCCCTCGGTAGTAGTGTCACACTCCGCCCAAGTACCTATAGGATGACAGCACTTTCAGCTCTATGGATTCTTGGATGGCTCAAACTTGGAGTGCAAGTGTGGTTTTGTTCTTCAGTCGACGAAGCACATGATGTCGTGCCCTGCGTGCCCAAACAACTGCACGTAAGAAAATTTAATGAAGGCTACTGACAACGCCCTCTTGTGGCGGAGTTTTGGGCTGATACTGTGTAGGTTTGTTGTCGACACGACATGATAAGATTAAGCTATGTCATCAAGAAGAAGTAGAGCAAAAGATGCCTCGCGCCTGAAGCGCTAGGGCCGCCCAGCGCGTGCGCACCTTTACTGCAACAATTGGACGCGCTTCTGCGCAGCACCGCGCTGCAACTGCAGCAGTTAGATGACGTGCTGCCGCTACTGCGGTGTGCCATCGCCATTCTTAAGCTACCCGCCGCAGCTATGCACAAGGTACACTCCGCTCAAGTATTCTTAGACGACAGCACATTAAGCTATGTCATCAAGAAGAAGTAGAGCAAAAGGTGTCTCGCGTTCAAAGATCTAGGGCCTCCCAGCGCGTGCGCACCTTTACTGCAGCAACTCGACGCGCTTCTGCGAAGCACCGCGCTGCAGTTACAGCAGCTGGATGACGTGCTGCCACTGCTGCGTTGCGCCATCGCTATCCTTAAGCTACCCGCCGCAGCTATGCACAAGGTACTTACATCCCTCGGTAGTACTACTAAGCTGCTACTAAGCGGCACACTTCGTCCAAGTACCCCTAGACGACAGCACATTCAGCTTGAAGCAAACTTGGAGTGCAAGTGAGGTTTTGTTCCCCAGTCGACGAAGCACATGATGTCGTGCCCTGCGTGCCCAAACAACGGCACGCAGGAAGATTTAATGATGGCTACTGACAACGCCCTCTTGTGGCGGAGTTTTGGACTGACACTGTGTAGGTTTGTTGTCGATACGACAAGAAGATTAAGCTATGTCATCAAGAAGTAGAGCAAAAGATGCCTCGCGCCCGAAGCGCTAGGGCTTCCCAGCGCGTGCGCACCTTTACTGCAGCAATTGGACGCGCTTCTGCGCAGCACCGCGCTGCAGTTACAGCAATTAGATGACGTGCTGCCGCTACTGCGGTGTGCCATCGCCATTCTTAAACTACCCGCCGCAGCTATGCACAAGGTACGCACCATCAAGTACCTCTAGAAGACCACTTTAAGCTACGTCATCAGGAAGAACTAGAGCAAAAGGTGTGACAACTAGACATGCTTCTGCTCAGCACCGCGCTACAGTTACTGCGCTGTGCCATCGCCATTCTTAAGCTACCGATCGCAGCTATACACAGACACTCCCTCAAGTACCCCTAGACGACAGGACATTAAGCTATGTCATCAGGAAGAAGTAGAGCAAAAGATGCCTCGCGCCCGAAGCGCTAGGGCTTCCCAGCGCGTGCGCACCGTTACAGCAGCAATTAGACGCGCTTTTACGCAGCACCGCGCTGCAGTTGCAGCAGCTGGATGACGTGCTGCCACTGCTGCGTTGTGCCATCGCCATCCTTAAGCTACCCGCCGCAGCTATGCACAAGGTACACTCCTCTATAGTAGCGGCACGCTCCGCTCAAGTACCCCTAGATGACAGCACATTAAGCTATGTCATCAGGAAGAAGTAGAGCAAAAGGTGTGACAACTAGACGCGCTTCTGCGCAGCACTGCGCTGCAGTTACTGCGCTGTGCCATCGACATTCTTAAGCTACCGATCGCAGCTATACACAAACACTCCCTCAAGTACCCCTAGACGCCAGCACATAAAGCTACGTCATCAAGAAGAAGTAGAGCAAAAGGTGTGACAACTAGATGCGCTCCTGCGCAGCACCGCGCTGCAGTTACAGCAATTAGATGACGTGCTGCCGCTACTGCGTTGCGCCATCGCTATCCTTAAGCTACCCGCCGCAGCTATGCACAAGGTACTTACATCCCTCGGTAGTACTACTAAGCTGCTACTAAGCGGCACACTTCATCCAAGTACCCCTAGACGACAGCTCAGCTATGTGGATTCTTGGATGGCTCAAACTTTGAGTGCAAGCTTGGTTTTGTTCCCCAGTCGACGAAGCACATGATGTCGTGCCCTGCGTGCCCAAACAACTGCACGCAAGAAGATTTAATGAAGGCTACTGAAAACGCCCTCTTGTGGCGGAGTTTTGGGCTGATACTGTGTAGGTTTGTTGTCGACACGACAAGATAAGATTAAGCTATGTCATCAAGAAGAAGTAGAGCAAAGATGTCTCGCGCCCGAAGCGCTAGGGCCTCCCAGCGCGTGCGCACCTTTACTGCAACTTGACGCGCTTCTGCGCAGCACCGCGCTGCAGTTACAGCAGCTGGATGACGTGCTGCCGCTACTGCGTTGTGCCATCGCCATCCTTAAGCTACCCGCCGCAGCTATGCATAAGGTACATACCCTTCTGTACTAGTGACAGGCTCCGTTGCCGTTTCAGTACCCCTAGACGACCACATCAAACTATGTCATCAGAAAGAACTAGAGCAAAAGGTGTGACAACTAGACGCGCTTCTACGCAGCACTGCGCTGCAGTTACTGCGCTGTGCCATCGCCATTCTTAAGCTACTAATCGCAGCTATACACAAAAACTTCCTCAAGTACCCCTAGACGACAGCACTTTATATGTCATCAAGAAAAAGTAGGACAAACGGTGTCTCGCGCCCGATGCGCTAGGGCCGCCCAGCGCGTGCGCACCTTTACAGCAACTGAACGCGCTTCTGCGCTGCAGTTACAGCAGCTGGATGACGTGTTGCCGCTGCTGCGTTGCGCCATCGCCATCCTTAAGCTACCCGCTGCAGCCATGCACAAGGTACACTCCTCTCGTTAGTAGCTCCGAGGAGAGCACATGCGATAATGACATAACAACTGCCGTAGTCAGATGGCTCTATGAAGTGCCATCATGTAAAATATTTGTATGGAAAATATGGAAATCTATTCTGCTATGACTTGTGGAATTAGTAATTGCCATAACTCTAGTTTTATCTGTATTTGAGATGCTTCTAGCTTCGTAATAACAATACTCGGACTTCGAAGAATCGCTGGAAAAAAGCGATTAATTTCGAACTTAATCTAAAGGCTAATTTACACGTATTAATTAGTTAAGTATTTAAGTAAGTTGGTAGGTGGGGCTTGTCACTTGACATGTTTTGACAAGCAGTTTCATAGTAAGCAAGATCTTGATATTTGAAGTTAGATCCCAAAATAAAACAAACTCATTTATGCATTGACTATAACATCTTCATTATTCCCCAACAGAGCATCCTCGAGCCAATATCAAAGATAATCAGCTACGGCATCCAAAACTTCGTGGTCAAGCTCTCCGTAATCTCCGAATTGTCTGTGGTCTGCGTGCGCGCCTTCAGCCGCGACAGAGACAAGTTGCTCGTGTGCAGAGTGCTTGTCTATGAACTCGTGCAGGCGTTGAGGACTAAAACCACTGTGCCTGATGATAACCTGTTTATACTGATACAGTACGTGCTGCAAGGTAAGTGGACTGTAGTGGATTGATTTGATTTTGTAATTAATTTGTTCTACTTGTCAATACAACATTCTTGTTTAATTTTGAAATCATTTACGACATACAATTTTTAAAAGTGAAACACATTGACCTAAAGAAAAATAAGATTAAGATCTTATTTAGGTCCTAGCTAGTGTCAGAAAACGATTAGAAATTATTTCTTAAAATATTTTAAAAAGATTCAAGAGCTGTAATTTACGACTTATCTTGTAAACTGACGGCGTCGTTTGTATATGAGCTTATAAGCTTTCTTTCTTTCTATAATGTCTCTATAAGGCCCCTCGTCTACGGTGACTTTTTGTAGCGATGCAGTAGCGATTCTGTCGCGATTCCGCATCGAAACAGTCACAATGCGGTCGCTAGCTGTCGTCGCACAGTCTTTTATTTTCCCTTAGAAGCGGACATCCCTGTTTTATTAATGCAATCGTTAGATCTACTATTATGCATAAAATTGATGAAGGAACTAGTAGTTGTATTTGTTTAGTTTCGAAGAAATATTCGATTTTGTGATTTTATAAAAAAACAGTTTTAGAAGCATATTTTCTAAAAAAATTACATTAAGTCAGAATTTTGTAAATAAATTTACCTATCACTAAAACGTTTACCTTTATGCAGAAATAAATGGTTATTGCTGCAGTAATTTAGGAATTATTTAATAATTTATGATTTTCAGAAAACATTTTTTTCTCCGTTACACTAGAAAATTGGCAGCTATATTTACTTTATATTGATGCATGATATAATTATCTATAATACCTGAAAATATTACTTGCCTATCCCGTGGAAGTTGGATGATACGACTAGAAAAATTAGTCAAAAGTAATATTGACTAAGGCCATCGGTCAAAACCACTATTAACTGAAATTTGCAGTCAAAAGTGGTTTTGATCGATTATGAGTTTTGACTGCAACATATATATCGATGTTTCGAAAACGATAGGATTTCCAATAAGCCGCCAGAGGGCCAACTCTATAATTATCAAACTCGACCAGACAAATTAATAATGGTAAAAGCAATTAATTTCAATAGTTATCTAACAAAGGCATTATAACCGTATTGTTACGGACGGCATTTAAAAAACTAAAAAATATTCAGATGACAACCCTATTTACATATAAATTTTCTAAACTCATAGAAATTAACATATCATCCAACTTCCACGGGATAGGCAAGTAATATTTTCAGGTATTATAGATAATTATATCATGCATCAATATAAAGTAAATATAGCTGCCAATTTTCTAGTGTAACGGAGAAAAAAATGTTTTCTGAAAATCATAAATTATTAAATAATTCCTAAATTACTGCAGCAATAATCATTTATTTCTGAATAAAGGTAGACGTTATAGTGATAGGTAAATTTATTTACAAAATTCTGACTTAATGTAATTTTTTTAGAAAATATGCTTCTAAAACTGTTTTTTTTTTATAAAATCACAAAATCGAATATTTCTTCGAAACTAAACAAATACAACTACTAGTTCCTTCATCAATTTTATACATAATAGTAATATCTAACGGTTGCATTAATAAAACAGGGATGTCCGCTTCTAAGCCAAAATAAAACACTGTGCGTCGCCCACATAAACACGATTCAGTTGTGATGCAAACGCGATACTGTCGCGCTTCTGTCGCGATGCCAACGCGATTTAGTAACGGCACAAAATTACTTGCAATCGCTGCTACAGTTGTCACGCCATCTTCCCTTCGTTCTTCCCCCGAAGTCGTCCGACACGGTCGCGCGTTTGCATCGATACAGTCGCGATGATGTAGCTTGTTGGTAGTGCCTTGGCATCACTTCTGTAGTTCGTTGTAAATGCGACTAACGCGCGTTAGTAGCGATGCTGTCTCTCGCTTACGAAACGCGTGACGGCATCAATACAAAAAGTCGCCGTGGGTGAGGGACCTACGCATTCATATTTACGTCTCTAAGGCCTCAGCCTCGAACTTAGCGGGCAGCGGGGCGGGAGCGGCGGCGGCGCTGGAGCGAGGCGGGCAACGCAGACCCGTTCTCGAAACAAGCGGGCAGCTCGCGCGGCGCTTTAGCGGCGAAGTGTTGTGTTCGGGGTTGTGTTGTCGAGATATTTGTTTTTATTCGCAAACGAAATGTCTGAACAATGGCAACAATCTTATTTCGATTTAAATTTATTCCTAACGCTCGATTTATTGTGGGCAAAAGAAGGAGTGCGCTGCCCGCTCGTTGCCCGCTCCCTCGCCGCTGCCCGCTCGTTGCCCGCTGCCGCCCCGCTGCCGCGCCGCTGTTTTCGAGAACCGGTCTATTTGATTTTACGCATAAGATCCTGCCGCTCCCGCGCCGCCGCCGCTGCCGCCCCGCTGCCCGCTAAGTTCGAGGCTGAGGCCTAAGGCCCGATTCGACCAAATTTTTACCCGACTACGGCAAAGCAAAAGAAGGGTTATGATTTTTTATCCGAGAAGTAACAACTGGTATAACTGGCACATTGACAGTTTCAGTATGTGAAATATGTCAAAATATCGAATAACTGACGATTTATTCTAAGATTAATATTTACTCTTGTTGGGTCGAATCAACCCTACGCTGAAAATCAGTTTCGAGACAAGCCCTGGCGCGGTCTTGATGTATGCTAAGCGGGTGCCTTTTTGTCATAGGGGCACATCTATCTGTCCATTTGTGTATCTCTTTCATTATGTACCTATGTCTTGCATGCTTGTATGCCTTTCTTTCAAATAAACAACTATTTTATTCTATTCTAAGGCTCAGTTTTTTTATTCTTAGTTAAAATAACTAATTGTAAAATTTTGCTACTAATGGTTAAATATTAACAAAACGTAAACAAATAGTTGAAAATTGTACAAAAAGTCAAGTAACCATTGTTCGAAAACCATTTTTTCCTGATATTTAACCACTTGTCATTTGACATCTGTCAAATTTGACCATTGGTTATTTTAACTACGAATCAAAAAACCGGGCCTTAGGCGGTTATCACACTGCGCCGCGCTCCGCCGCGGAGCGCGTGATTTTCATATAAAAAAAATCACGCGCGTGGACGCGTTGTCAGTGTGAAGTGCCGCGCGTGTTTTCTATACAAACTGGGGTACTTGCATACAATGATTAAATCTGTCGCCCCGCGCTCCGCGGCGGAGCGCGGCGCAGTGTGATAACCGCCTTAGGNAGGCGGTTATCACACTGCGCCGCGCTCCGCCGCGGAGCGCGTGATTTTCATATAAAAAAAATCACGCGCGTGGACGCGTTGTCAGTGTGAAGTGCCGCGCGTGTTTTCTATACAAACTGGGGTACTTGCATACAATGATTAAATCTGTCGCCCCGCGCTCCGCGGCGGAGCGCGGCGCAGTGTGATAACCGCCTTAGGAACGTTACAATAGCATTAGTCTGAACTGCATTCTCTCCTACAGGACACGGCTGCACCCTCCTTCTACCGCCTCAGTTAAACACAGGCGACCTACTAACGGCAGGCCCCAGTGGGGCCGAGGCGCGCGAGCTCGGCGGCGGCGCCGTAGACTGCATGCGGCCGCACCTCGCCGACATGCTCGAGCTGCTGCAGGACCCGCACCTGCTCAACAAGATCAAGGTCCCCTTCTTACTGTCCCCTATTTGTCTTTTGCTGTCCCCTATTTGTCTTTTACTGTCCCCTATTTGTCTTTTACTGTCCTCTATCTGTCTTTTACTGACTCCATTCTGTCGTTTACTGTCCTCTATCTGCCTTTGACTGTCCTCTATCTGTCTTGTACTGTCCCCTTTCTGCTTGTTACTGTCCCCCCTGTTTGGCTGTAACTGTCCCTTTTCTGTCTGTTACTGTCCCCTGTCTGTCACTGTCTCCTGGCTGTCACTGTCCCTGCCTGGCTGTCGCGGTCCCCTGCCTGTCACTGTCCCCACGTTGTCCCGCCGCCACTGAACACGGCGACTGCCGACATGCTCGAGCTGCTGCAGGACCCGCACCTGCTCAACAAGATCAAGGTCCCCTTCTGGCTTTTACTGTCCCCTATTTGCCTTTGACTGTCCTCTATCTGTCTTTTACTGACTCCATTCTGTCGTTTACTGTCCCCTGTCCGTCTTTTACTGTCCTCTATCTGTCTTTTACTGACTCCATTCTGTCGTTTATTGTCCCCTATTTGCCTTTGACTGTCCTCTATCTGTCTTTGACTGTCCCCTTTCTGTCTTGTACTGTCCCCTTTCTGTCTTGTACTGTCCCCTTTCTGGCTGTTGCTGTCCCCTATCTGTTTTACTGTCCCTTGCCTGGCTATCACTGTCCCTCGCCGACATGCTGGAGCTGCTGCAGGACCCGCACCCGCAGATCAAGGTCGCTCGCTGTCCCCTGCCTGGCTGTCGCTGTCCCTGCCTGGCTGTCACTGTCCCCTCTTTGTCTTATCGTCCCCTGTCTTTTACTGTCCCCTTTCTGTCTGTTACTGTCCCGTTTTTGTCTTACTGTCCCCATCTGTCTTTTACTGTTTCCTATCTTTTTTTACTGTCCTCTATCTGTCTGTTACTGTGCCTTTTTTGTCTTTTACTGTCCCCTTTCTGTCTGTTACTGTACCCTGTCTGCCAGGGTCCCCTATCTGCATGTCAGCGTCTCTTGTCCGTCGATCATTGTCGCCATGCTCTCCTGTCCTAGGGGATTCACATAACATGAAAACCGACTCTTTCTCCGCGCGTAAAGGATGAACGTCCCCCACTACTACTTCTACTACTCACAGGTAATTTAGTATCAACTGTAGCAGAATGACATCTAATTCACCGATGATGAATGGAGGACTTCGGTTACACTCCCCATGACCAGACGGGTTGGGGAGGTCTGATGTTGTGAAATGTGAAAATGTTTTATTTTTGATGTTATCATATTTCTCTCTTAGTTGCCTCTTACAAAATTTCCAAAAAGAGTGGGATCGGTCTATGTTAACTATGTTACCCACACGGCTACCTACAGTCTACACTCGCCTTTGTCCGTCATCACGGCACGTCCGTCATAAATACCAACGTTATGATATATGGACGTTCTGAGTAACCCACTAGCTCCGATAGTAAGTGCAAAACGATAGCACTTCAACAAAAAAAAATCTCGATTCTAAATCAACTTACATTAAGATTCACTTTAATAACTCATATGTTTTCAACAGGGTTCCGTCTCAAAATCAATCGTCAACCGCAACCTGATTTGCCTGAACGAAGACACCTTGGGCTCCATCGTCAAAGGCGGCATCGCGCAGTATGTGGCAATGGAGTTGGCTTTGGAACACGGGCGAGGGAGGCAGGACCGGCCGGCTCATAGGCACATGCCGTGGCTCACCGCTTCGATTCCCGGGTGAGTCGACGTTTAAATCGCTCGGAATCTTGTATTTGATTTATTTTTTCTGAACTCTAAAAGACGTCTAGCTATGCCAATATTACATTAATTACGGTTACGGTTGTATAGATTCCTCAAGAATTTGTAGCCTTTTTTGTTGTTCACCTTTGAAATTAGGGCTCTTAACTATGCATAAAATTGGATTTCATGTCTTTGCAGGGTATTTTTAATATTTTTATGTCATCTTATCTCCATTTGACAGCTTGTTTCATTAATATAGATGACCCACGCTAAACTGTCCCACCAAACTCAATGACAGGGGGGCGCTACCATCGTTCAACTATATGGTATCCAACATGGCAAAAATCGGAACCAGCGATCCGGTATTGACGGTGGCGCCCCACTGTCAATGTCATGCATAGGACAGTTCAGTATTTTGGAACTATAGATCGAAAACCTGAGCTTTAGTTTTTGTATAGTCGTATCGTCGTCGTAGAATGTTTGAAATATCCAATTAGATTTCATTCTGTCAATTTCATTCAATCTGAATGACATCTGATTGGTTGTTCAAAACATTTATCTGCTCCCCTCCGCCTCTGTGGAAACCAGGCCTACTGCTGCACTTCATTCAAATAAGATGCTACAGGATTTAGTTAGCTGTACCAGGCCTGTTCATCTCCGCGAGTTTACATCGAAACAAAACAAGCACGATGGCACCCTACAGGATTACTATTCGACAAGGCCTCACATACGAGCGAGCATTGACTCACGCACGCGTATTCTTGTGTATGATGGAAAAAAATAAAGAAAATGGATTATTCATGATAATTCATGCTTAATCACGTATTTCCTCCGCCATTTTCCGCAGTTTGGCACTTCACGTCACACATCATTTTACCGAAGTCAGCCCCATGGCTTCGGCGCAGTACCGATCACTGACGTTTGTCAACAAAACTCTTGAGACAAGCTAAATTACACCATATTGCTAATGACATTGAGCTTAATTTTTTTTAAATACCTTCGCGAAGTAAAACTTCTGTACGTAGTACTTATTATTATTCTGTGGCTGTACGTACAGGTAATCTAAACTTGCCCGTCCCTTGCACAGGTCCCGCGAACTATGCGAGTGTGTGGGCCGCGCGCGACTAGTGTCGTGGCTAGTGATGGGCGCCCTGTGCAACGCGCGGGGCTCGCTGCCGCTGCACCAGCCCGTCCCGCAGGACGCGTCGTGCCACATCACCGACCACATCCAGGTGTGTTAGCATTCATCGTCATCATCATTTCAGCTACAGGATGTCCACTGCTGAACATAGGCCGCTGAACTAGCCTATCCCGCTGGGTATGCCTCGTGCCACATCACCGGCCACATCCAGGTATGCACAGGGCCCGTGAGTTGTGCAACGCGCAAGGTACCGTGCCGCTGCAGTATTGCGTGCTTTAAGATGTATATTTGACCATCATTATGTTACCTGTTTCTGGCAAATAAATAAATTTGAATTTGCGTGCTGTAAGATACTTCGTGACATACTGACCACATACAGGTGAGTTTTGACACTTGCACATTAGCACTGATCATATTATGACCTGTGCAACACGCAAGGATCTCTGTCGCTGCACCATCTCGTGCCGTAAAATACTTCGTGATATCACTGATCTCATACAGGTGGGCTGAAGACACTTGCACACTAGTGTAGTATGTGTACGCGCCACCCTCACACTAATATACAATAAACCTATATATTTGATGTTGCTGCGTAAACTGATACTCAAATACACTCGCACAGTAATAAACTACTTTCATTGATAACTCCCGGTCCCCACATTACATGGCGACCCTGCCAGTGCTGCCTTAGGGCAGTGCTGTGGAATAAAATAATAAGTTAAAATTTTAATTGGTGTTTATGTAAATGGACTAAAATGAAGTAAAATCAGTGAAGAATCGGAATAAGAAGTGACATTACACTAGCACAGGGTCCCATGAGCTGTGCTACGCGCGAAGTTTCCAGTTGGTCTACCATCCCATATCGTAAGATACTTTGTGACATATCACCGATCACATACAGGTGTGCACAAGTTCCGCACTAGCCCATGTCACAAAATGTTTCGTGACATCACTGACCAAATACAGGTGGGCTGGGGGCACTCGCACCCTAGCACAGGTCCCTAGCTGTACGGTGCAGTAATACTTCAAAAAGAGCTGAGCAATGCGTGAGGTAATGACAGGTCTCCCCCAGAGATTTTAACAACGAACGGTCTTGCACTGCTCGCATCCAGGTGCTTCTTTTACAGATCTGATTTTTTAAATAGGAGTTTTGACAGCTTCAACCACTTAAAGTTTGCCAATTGCAACCTCGCTAGCGAACTGAAGGACGTCATTTCCAAGTCCCACCCATATTGATTCCAAATCTATTCTTTTCAGACGATAATGGCGTCTTACGTGGAACAATCCAAACCGACAGCGCAGCGCATGAACGCTTTATTCCACGCGTTCATCCTCTGCCAACTGTGGACGCTATATCTGGAAGAGCTGGCCAATAGTAGCACTCCGAGTAGCGAGCCGCACAACACTACTGTATGCATCTTGCTGGAGTTCTGGTGCAAGCTCGTGCCAAGTATCTTGCAGGTCACCGTCACGTCCAAGCTGGTGAGTATAAGGAAATGTCACGTTTGTTCCCAGCTCTAAAACTCCTGTTTACGAGACTATTCCCATCTATCGTTCCCACCTCTGTAACTCCTGTATAGCAGCACGCCTAGTAGCGAGCCGCACAACACTACTGTATGCATCTTGCTGGAGTTCTGGTGCAAGCTCGTGCCAAGTATCCTGCAGGTCACCGTCACGTCTAAACTGGTGAGTATAAGGAAATGTCACGTTTGTTCCCAGTTCTAAAACTCCTGGGTACGGGACTATTCCTTACATCTACAAGTCCTGTGTACGGTACTGTTCCTATTTTCTCGTTTCCACCTTTTCAACTCCTGTGTACGGGACTATTTCCAACTCCCGTTTCCACTTCTGCAACTCCTGTGTACGGGACTATTCCCACCTCTCGATCCCACTTCTGCAACTTCTGTGTACGGGACTATTCCCACCTTTCTTTCCCACCACTGCATCTCCTGTGAACGAGATTATTCCTACCTCTCGTGCCTAGCTCTACAACTCCTGTGCACGGGACTATTCCCACCTCTCGTTCCCACCTTTGCAACTTCTGTGTATGGGACTATTCCCACCTCTCGTTCCCACCTTTGCAACAACTGTTTACGGGACTATTCCCACCTCTCGTTCCCACCTTTGCAACAACTGTTTACGGGACTATTCCCACCTCTCGTTCCCACCTTTGCAACTTCTGTGTATGGGACTATTCCCACCTCTCGTTCCCACCTTTGCAACTTCTGTGTATGGGACTATTCCCACCTCTCGTTCCCACCTTTGCAACTACTGTGTACGGGACTATTCCTACCTCTCGGTCCCACCTTTGTAACTTCTGTGTATGGGACTATTCCCACCTCTCGTTCCCACCTTTGCAACTACTGTGTACGGGACTATTCCCACCTCTCGTTCCCACCTTTGCAACTTCTGTGTACGGGACTATTCCTACCTCTCGGTCCCACCTTTGTAACTTCTGTGTACGGGACTATTCCCACCTTTCGTTTCCACCTCTGCATCTCCTGTGTACGGGACTATTCCCACTCTCGTTCCCACCTCTGCAACTTCTGTATATGGGACTATTCCCACCTTTCGTTCCCACCTTTGCAACTTCTGTGTATGGGTCTATTCCCAACTCTAATTTCCACCTCTGCAACTCCTGTGTAGCCAGGATCTACAGTTTGGCCGCATAAATGTGAAATCTAATTTATAATTTAAGTATGCGAGTGCGCTAATGTCTATTTTTTATTGTCTATTTTTACAGCTCGCGGAAACTGTAAATCTCCATTTCTTGAGCATCTTGGAGTCTCTACTGGAGTGCAACTCGACGGTCTTGAACAAACTACTACCGCTGTGGACGCCTATACTGCACTCTCCCTTATTCAATGTAAGTATGGATTATACTGCTAATGTAACTCTGTCTGTCTGTTTAATTCTAGTCTCATGTTGTATCAAATTCAATCCACTTTAAAACCGTCCTGGGTAGATATTATTCCTTTAAGATTAAAAAAAATATAGGTTTATATTTTCGATATTTGACAAAAGCAATTATTGTCAAAAATAGAGATCACAAACTTGGATGATTCATTGGGCTAACATATTAAATAAGTCTGCAAAATCAGAACAACCGAATGTGGCTCAAGATCTGATAATTATGTGGAGTTACTGGACTATTAGCTGATCTTAGGAATATCATACTGCCTAATCAACGAATGTCGAGCTGGTACAATAAAAGGCATCTTTGTATATTTCCAGATGCCACGCCACGTCGCGCAACGTTTAGACGTCTGCCGCGAAGTAAAACCAGAAGCGGTGCGGACTTACAGCTCCGTAGCATCGTCTACCACCGTCGCCTGCAGCGGCGGCGTCACCAGCGGGCCGGCGGCGCGCGCGCATAGGAGACTGCACCGATTGTTGGCCAAGATGGCGCAGCTAGAGTTGCAGCCGCATACTTTCTACTTGATATAAATATGAAGATAAAGATACATAAAGATTTGTGGCTATGACGGCGAGTGTCACCAGCGACGTAATGCGACCAATACTTCACGTGACATATGACAGATGTCATGACACGCGACTACGTAGGCCACTGTTATAGATGAACTACACGAACCGTCCCACCCGTGACATTGACAGGAGGCGCCATCGTCAATACCGGATCGCTGGTTCCGATTTTGGCTACGGTTGGAAAACACTGAAATGTCATTCGCAGGAGGGCGCTGCCATCAATACCGGGTTACTAATTCCGATCTTACATACCTTCTACTTGATATAAACATGAAGTTAATGTTCACCTATTGTCCTAGATGAGCGACGGAACGCGACATAAAGCCACGCGACGCGACGCGAGGTAATGCGACCAATACTTCACGTGACGCGTGACAGATGTCATGACGCGGCTACATTGGCAACGCCACAAAAACTTATTTTTTATTCACATAGGACAACGGGCTTTTGTAGGTTTTTATCTTAGGCCATAGTTAACTATCAGATCAAATACAAAACCTACAGATCCGTAGCGTCCTTTGCCACCGTCGCCTGCAGCGGCGGCGTCACCAGCGGGCCGGCGGCGCGCGCGCATAGGAGACTGCACCGATTGTTGGCCAAGATGGCGCAGTTAGAATTACAGCCACACACCTTCTACTTGATATAAACATGACGACAAGGGTAGTTGCAATGATGCCTATGATGAGCTAGCGTATCTTACACCTAGGTAAACACATCCTAGCCCCCCAAAAGATACTGCAGTCTGCACTATAGATTCAGGAGTCAGAGGCTACCTGTAACATAGTGACGATTACAATAGTTCGATACCGGTCGCAGTGATACTAGCCGGGGCTAGGATGCGCGCTATGATAAAATCTTATCAATGATTTAAGACGACAAATGTATGGGCTTATCACGTTTACGTGATATAATAACGATAAAATAACGCGATAAAAACTTATCGCACCGCTCATCTTAGGTATAAAAGACTCAAATCAAATCAAATATATAAAATTTATTTGCATAAAACAGGGTTACAATGGGTCTTTTACATTTTCATGTTTCGAAGTGTCAGTGCCTGTTCAGCCATAAGTCTGTGGGAGACGAATCGAACGCCTCCTCACATTAATTTAGCAGAAGTAGAATTTATACAAATTATAAGCGGCTTTCAATAAACAAATATATTTACAACTGACTAAATTACAAAAACATTAAAGAAATAAAATTATCAATCTGAACAAAATCAAAAAAGCGAGAGAAAAGCTAGTGTCAAAGGTGACAATATAAAATCTTCTTTTTTATTGCCGGCCAGGAGCGCGCGGCACGGAGCGCCGCGGGCGGACCAATGAGTTCATGAGCGCACATAGATCGCCACAAGTCATAGCATGCAAATATTGAGAATACCTCCGTTGAACTAGAATGCCCCGTAGCGTCGTCTACCACCGTCGCCTGCAGCGGCGGCGTCACCAGCGGGCCGGCGGCGCGCGCGCATAGGAGACTGCACCGATTGTTGGCCAAGATGGCGCAGCTAGAGTTGCAGCCACATACCTTCTACTTGATATAAATATGAAGATAAAGATACACAAAGATTTATGACTATGACGGCGAGTATCACCCGCGACGTAATGCGACCAATACTTCACGTGACATATGACAGATGTCATGACACGCGACTACGTAGGCCACTGTTATAGATGAACTACACGAACCGTCCCACCCGTGACATTGACAGGAGGCGCCATCGTCAATACCGGATCGCTGGTTCCGATTTTGGAAAACACTGAAATGTCATTCGCAGGAGGGCGCTGCCATCAATGCCGGGTTACTAATTCCGATCTTACATACCTTCTACTTGATATAAACACGACGACAAGTCACCCGCTATTTAATGCTACCAATACTTCACGTTATATGTTTAAGTCTGAGAGTCAACCTGGACATGAGCTCCCCTGGCTTACCTGGAAGTTTTTAAATAGACTTCGGACGCAGGTCGGCCGTAGTAAGAACAATCTGTTCAGGTGGGGATTCTTGGATGGCTCAAACTTAAGAGTGCAGGTGTAGTTTAGTTAGTCGAAGAAGCACATGATGTCGTGCCTTGCGTGCCCAAACAACTGCACGCAGGAAGATTTAATGAAGGCTACTGACAACGCCCTCTTGTGGCGGAGTTTTGGGCTGACACTGTGTAGGTTTGTTGTCGACACGAGAAGAAGATATGACGGATGTCATGACACGCGACAACTATCAGGTCAAATTCAGAAGCGGTGCGGACTTACAGCTCTGTAGCATCCTCTACCACCGTCGCCTGCAGCGGCGGCGTCACCAGCGGCCCGGCGGCGCGCGCGCATAGGAGACTGCACCGATTGTTGGCCAAGATGGCGCAGCTAGAATTACAGCCACATACTTTCTACTTGATATAAATATGAAGATAAAGATACATAAAAATGTATGACTATGACGGCGAGGGTCACCCGCGACGTAATGCGACCAATACTTCACGTGACATATGACAGATGTCATGACACGACTACGTAGGCCACTATTATAGATGAACTACACTGAACCGCGCCACCCGTGACATTGACAAGAGGCGCCATCGTTAATACCGGATCGCTGGTTCCGATTTTTGCCATGTTGGAAAACACTGAAATGTTATTAGCAGGAGGGCGCTGCCATCAATGCCGGGTTACTATTTCCGCTCTATGCCATTTGACGTTTCAAAATCGCCCAACTATACAAAACGACTACTTGATATTTTTGCATCGGGTCGCGATGCTGCGTTTTTCATTCACCTAGGACAACGAATTTTTGTGGGTCTTTATCTTCGGCCATAGTTAATTATCAAGTCAAATACAAAAGCGGTGCGGACTTATAGCTCCGTAGCATCCTCTACCACCGTCGCCTGCAGCGGCGGCGTCACCAGCGGCCCGGCGGCGCGCGCGCATAGGAGACTGCACCGATTGTTGGCCAAGATGGCGCAGTTAGAGTTGCAGCTGCACACCTTCTACTTGATATAAATATGATGACGAGAGTATTGCAGTATAAGTTTGTCCCGGAGGAAAGTCAGTGTACCTGCAAAAAAAAATAATTAAAAGAACATAAAAAGAGTGAAATTAAGGATCGACTTCTGCACTCCTTGCCTACGTGGATAGTTGAAAGTTTGTTTGGAGAATCAATTATTTCTCAAATACATTCGTTTCATAATAAGAGCCTAAAAATCAACGCTAATAAATAAGGCAGTGAATTGGAAAATTATAAATAACTTGAAAAAATCTAACTGCCTAAGGCGGGAATTGAACCCACGACCTTCCGCTTACCTGGCGACTGCTCTTCCAACTGAGATTGAATTTGAGATGCGACTCAACGCTAAAAATTAAAATAACTAGGGCAATGAATGTATTGAAACAGGTACAATAAGATCTCAATTTGTGCCAAGTGAAAATGTGTAAGTCCTCCAAAGTTCTCTTAAAATGAATTAAAACTAATTATGTAACACAACGATTTAGAAAGCTGTTAATTCTATGCAGTAATTAATAAATGTGATTGTAAACCAAAATTTGTTGATATTAGGTTTATGAAAGTATTGGAATAAAATCTTTTTGAAGACGCGTTTGAGTTTTATTTTATTTTGCATGTAAATATTCCTCCTCCAACTCCATATTCCATATCCAAATGTGCATGTGGATTGAGTGATCCTTGCTTCAATCTTAACAAAAATCGAGGAAGTTTTACTTAAAATATGTTAAAACATTGCGATGAAGTTTAAAAATTTGTTAAACCTAAGATAAAAATGTTATGGCCAATAAATAGGAGCACTCATACCGCACGCTTTAAGAAAACGTCAACATGTTTATTTCAGAAAATAAAGCCTTTCCACTTCTTTTTATAGTATTGAAAAATTGTTAAGAATATGTTAAAACTATTAACAAATTCAGAAATTCCTTGCACGTCCCGTTCCAAAGTTATGACGATTATTTAGGATCACTCACACCGCACAAGGGCCGTATGAGTGCTCTTCAAAATAATGAGTCATTATTTTGAAGAGCACTCATACGGCCCGTGTGCGGTGTGAGTGATCCTAAATAATCGTCATAACTTTGGAACGGGACGTGCAAGGAATTTCTGAATTTGTTAATAGTTTTAACATATTCTTAACAATTTTTCAATACTATAAAAAGAAGTGGAAAGGCTTTATTTTCTGAAATAAACATGTTGACGTTTTCTTAAAGCGTGCGGTATGAGTGCTCCTATTTATTGGCCATAACATTTTTATCTTAGGTTTAACAAATTTTTAAACTTCATCGCAATGTTTTAACATATTTTAAGTAAAACTTCCTCGATTTTTGTTAAGATTGAAGCAAGGATCACTCAATCCACATGCACAGGTAGATGACAGGGGTTCGAATCTTTTCGCTGAAATATATAGTTTTTTCTGGAGAAGTTATAAATGTTTTGTCTATGAACCATCATTTATCAGTTTTGTTTTGAACGTGTCACTGAAATGACCTTTGTCATGTAATTTTTTACGATTCCACACTTCTAGAATGTGGCTTTACTTTGATTTCTCTCCTTCCTTGAGTCTTTCTTACTACATCCTGTCTCCTCCCACACCTATTAATTTGTAATGTCAAAACTGCACACGTGACATTGGCAAAATCATGGTGCCCAAATCCAAAGTCGGCCTACAAAAAGTAGTTATGTGGGTAGTTACAGAATATGAAATCTATGGCGGTTAAGTGACGCGTAGTGTTCGGGAGTTTTGTTTATTTCCTAAAATTCGTGTTAAACCGAGTATGAGTGTGAAATAATGGTGGATTATTAACTATTAAGTGTTCGTGAACGTGCATGAGTGTAGGCAAGTGAAATAAAAACAGTGCAATGTGACTTCGAAAACTCTCAAGATGTCCGCCTGAGGCGTCAGTAGTAAAGGGTAGAAGCTTCTTTGAAACTCACGGTAAGATTATTTGCTTTTAATGATCATCATCATTTCGACGTCCACTGCTGAACATAGGCCTCCCCCAATGTTTTCCAAGTTGATCGATTGGTAGCGGCCTGCGTCCAGCGCTTCCCTGTTACCTTTTTTCCTGTTTTTAAATAACTTGAAAAAATGGAACTGCCTAAGGCTCCCGCGACCTTTCGCTTGCCGGCTAGCGACTCTAATCGCTAAGAAATGTTAAGATGAATTGTGTTCAAAATTTTAAACCTTTAATTTGTTTTATTTTATTATTTAATAAGTATCTACCTACTATAAAAAGTTGCAACTTTAGAAAAAACACTATGTTAGCGCAATTTTTGCAATATGTCGCAAGCCTTTACATTATTTTTGCTGATCATCATGAAAGCCCATCCACGCACGTTATTATTTACTATGTAAGTAAGTGTGTCTTAAACCTGACACTACCGATTTTCTATGCTTATTAAATGTTTCAAATCAACTGATTACCAGAAATTATTTATACGACATTGCATCAATTTGCATCGTCGCATAGCGAACATGACGTGACCTATGGAGAAAAAGTTGCAACGGGTTAATACAATAGTATGGCACAATCGATTCCTTATTAGGTAGGTACAAAGATGATTCGGTAAACAACAGCTTTTTTGTTTTCTTTTGTAATAGATGATGTAAAAAATAAATAAAAATTATAATTTCCATAATGTTGTAACTTCTAAATCTAAGTCTAGCCGCAGACTACCCTACACTTTTTTTTCGGCCGATAAGTAGTTGGATCGGGCAGTTAATCAGTATGGACAATATGGACATGTATGAAAGTGCGCACATTGGTACAGTAGAACGCCGATTATCCGAACGCCGATTAACCGAATCGCCAATTATCCGAATCGGTCCTAAGCATAATATTAAAAATTAAAACCAAGTACTTTTTGATTTGTTTTGTTGGAACTCAGATATATGTATTTTAAGTGAGTGTTATTGTAGCAGTTCTATAATAACGCTCAGTAGAAATATGTCTGTTTGATAAACATAATAAAGTTTATTCTATGTGTGACAGTTCCTTTTTCTCTATTACCAGTCTATGTCCGATTATCCGAATTTTCGATTATCCGAATCGACCCCGGTCCCAATTAATTCGGATAATCGGCGTTCTACTGTATCGGCCGATTCTTCATACAAATTAGAATCGGGCTCAACTATCGACCGACTAAAAGTTTGTAGTCTGCGGGGTGACTAACACCCGTATTCACAAACGATGCTTGCTTATGTGAAGCAGCAAATGGAACGCACAGCGTTGAATAGAGCTCTGTGATTGGTTCGTTTGTGACCCTGTGCGTTCACGCGCACTGTGTGACTAATGTTTGTGAGTAATGAGTAATGTTTGTGATTGCGGGCGTAAGATAGCAGTATCTTTCAAAAAATGCTTGTTTTACATCATCACTGAAAAGTTCTGTTTTGGACTGGGAAGTAAGAATTTACACTATTTGTTCCAACAGATAGATCCTATTTGAGCTCAGAACCCAATTCGAGACTCTCGACCCGAGAAAGTTCAGTTTTACTCACTGGACCATTAAAATTTGATTCATATTGTGTTTTTAAATAGTTACGATGCGTAAGGTAGGTACAATCAACAACATGTTTGTTACAAATTCGTCTCTATCACGATTGCAATAAGGTGCCACAGTGTTAATCTTAACGTGCCGTTTGTTCATTATTTTACACATCACAAAACTAATGTGCTACATAAAATGTTAGTGTTCGCCTATCAAGAATATTGACAGACATAACATAACACTGAATTTCTATTACACGCGCCATTAACCAACACTCAATAAAAGTATGATTACCAAAGACAATACGATATGGTACCCTCTAGCCCTTTCTACAGACCATCGACAATTTGACTCAGGAAGACCTTTGTTCTGCCTTATGCAATCAATGGCAGACAGATATTACACGCCTGTCATCGGATTACATAAGTAATCGTAATCAATATCGATTGATAAATGTATTTAATTGCTCCACTGTTCTGCCTTCATCGTTTTTTGGTGAGAAAATACAGTAGGCTCGCATTATCAAGTAGGATTGACATAATCAAAGTTCGACTGGACCAAGTAAATCATGAGGTTCTCATGTTTTGTAAGTTAATTAACAAAAAAAGTGTTTAATTTCGAGCGTTCCTACTTAATGATTAATGATCTGTCATAATATCAGTTTAGAAGTGTTAGACACAAAACTTTTCCAGAAAATTATGACCTAAGTTTGTCCACTTTTTCCTTCGTTGTTTTTGGAGCTTAAACATAATTGTTTTACTCTACATTTTTTGTATGTGACTGAGAATGCGCATAAAACTTACTTATACTGATTTCAGTTTTCTTAAAAAGTAGGTCTATTAACTAAAGATTAGGTACTATCCGTTCGCGCTAAGTTTGCCAGTTCGTGAAATGCGCGTCCCCTTCTCCAACCGCGATTAAACGCAAATAATTAGTGATTTAACGCAATTGAGTGTTTTATTTTACGCAAATACACAATTTTTATCAATATTAATAAATAAAAAATATTTTCAATATAGTTTGCTAAAGTTATAGACGCTTTCCTTCGAGTGACGTCATATCGTCAGCGGCAAACTTATCGCGAACGGATAGTATAGTTATTGAATTGCGTCGTTCAAGCTAGCCCGGTTGGTCAAAAGCAAAATTTTCACCGTGCCTACTGCATCTTACTATAGTACCATTTGTCTGCGCGTCCGCATCAACAGTTCAGTATAGCACTAATTACTTTCTTGAACTGTAACCCCCGGCTGTGTTATAATTGTCAGAATTGTCATGCGGTATCCATCATCTTTCTATGTGGGCTGGCTAGGTCATTTCACATTTTGTACATGGATTATTTAATTGTTTAACACAATGGAGAGCTTTGATAGCGATCATTAGAGCTGTTTGTGTTTGGATCAGTAAATTGAATTGAGTATTAGAAATATTTTGTAAACTTTTTTTGTGATGAAATGTGTAAGATTCAGGCCTGGTTTTGACCAAAGTGGAGAGGACAGGAGATATTGTGTTTGAATATCAATTAGATTCCGTTATGTCCTCATCATTTCTCCGCTCGGATTCGGTTCAGAAATCTTGTTGGTTATTCAAACATTTCCTTTTTTCTCCGCTTTTTATCTAGAAAAGTTTGGATCTTGAAAAGGCTTAACCTCAGTAGTAGCTGAAGCAGTGTGTCGGCTTCTCATATACATGATATCAGCGAATGATATGATGAGAATTAAGTAAACTATGTTCATCATCATCATCATTTCAGCCATAGGACGTCCAATGCTGAAGATAGGCCTTCACCAATGCTTTCCATGTTGATCGATTGGTAGCGGGCTACGTCCAGCGCTTCCCTGCTACCTTTATGATCTTCATAATAAGTAGTAGTAGTAATACCCTTTAATTAATAACATAAGTAGGTAGGTGGTACCTTCAATTTTTCATCAAACCCTTTCGAAATAACAGTGCAAATTGTAGGCAAGAGCTGCCTATAGCTTATCTATCAACATCAGACAACCAACGCAATTGGAGATGGTATCAAGGAGTTCTCGGATCACTTCACGCGTCATCAAAATGGATCTTGACA